AAAATTTTTTTTTTCAATATTTGCAAACATTTATTTCTATAAAATTTCCTGTGAAAAAAGAAGAGGAGGGAATTTTTTTTTAAAATGTAGTTTCAATAAAGAAAGAGAAAAAAATTCCTTTATAAAAATTTTATGTCATTTTTTTCTTAAATAAAATAAATTTTTTAAAAAATATTTTTTAAATTCGTATGCATAAATCCAAAGTCAAATGAAAGTTATCTCTTTAATGTTTTTTCTTTCATGAACTTCGTGTACATGTAAAATACAAAGTCAAACCAAAGTTATCTCCGCGCTCTTTTATTTTTACTTTAATGAAATTTCACGTCAAATAATATTTATATATTAAATAAATTTTATATAAATTTATAAATAAATTATATAAAAATGTCCCTATAATTTCCGTTTGTACCTAATTTTTTCTTTAAACTTTTTATTTTCTTTTTGTGATAATTTGTTATTATAATCTTTTTTTTTTTGCTAAAAAATATTGTTTAATCAAACTGAAGTTTATTATTTGCATTAAAAAAAATATAAACATTAAATGATTTTAAAAGAATTTCTTTTTATTATAAATAATAAAGATAAAAAATAAAAAAAACATAATTTACTATTTTTTGTAATTGTGAAAGTAATTGTTATTAATTTATTATTATTATTATTATTATTATTATTATTATTATTATTTTTTTTTTTTTTTTTTTGCTTAGGGACTTTTGGGAAATCTGCCTACAGATACCTTGGATTCCGCACTCCAAGGTTATGTGGGGTTGGTATGATAAAAAAACAAAAAGAAATATAAAAAAAAGAAAAATAAATAAATGTTATAATAAATTTAACAAACTGGCGACCTACTACCAGCCCGACCCACTAAAACCCGTAACCCTTCTTTTGAAGCCCTTTACCCTCCCTCGGAACTGTCGTAAGACTTTAGCCTTCGAGGGTGGCGCTCCGACTCTGTCGCTAATGCGACCTTCTGCTTTTCTCTGCGGTTATCCTGCGTTAATAGTTAAAAATTTAAAACTATTTCAATATAAAAGCGAAATTAACAGCACAACAATAATAAAAAAAATGTTTAATCAAGTGTAAACAGTCAAAAGATAAAATTGCAAACGGATATATAAAAAAAAAGAAAAAAAAATAATAAACGCGTATATAATATTAAAAACATAAAACGGAATAAATTAAAATTGTATAAGGACAAATAAATCACAAAATAAATTAATAAAAAACAAACGAATAAATTAAAAGCTGTTTAAATTACGCTTTTTGGCGGCCGTCGAGATCCTTCCTCGACATAACCGAGATTATGAAGTTCTCGACTTGCCGCCAATTCTCCTCTGACTGGGTCATCATGATGACATGGTATCGCTGCAGCGATACCATGTTCTCCGGTGTAACTTGACTGTTTACACCTTCGAACATGGCCCGCCTCTCCAAGTCCCATTTCTTGCATGAGAAGAGGGTGTGCTCCGCGTTGTCCTCAGGGAACTGGCAATATGCACACACCTCGTTCTCGCGTAATTTAAAGCACCTGTGCATCCTTACTTGTATGCAGGTTGACTTGAAGGAGCTTTAGGGATTTGCCCTTTTAAGTTTCTCCAGTTCCTCCTTGTAAACCGGGCAGGAAATTCTTCCAGGGATATGGTTGACTTCCGTTTTTCCCAAATCTGTACACGTTATGCACTTTGGCTTGTCACTAGTACACTTTTTGGAGAAGTGTCCCGCTTCGCCGCATCTCCGACAGTTTTTTGTTCTGTCGGGGCCCTTGCGAATTCGGGTCACGTGTCCATAGGCTAGGCACTTTTGACATCTTGTCACTTCTAAGTGCGTTCGGATGGATGCGTTTATCCAACCAATACGCACTTTGCCCAGCTTAAGCAGACTCTCGCTGTCGGTTTCACTCAAGCGTACTAGTGCCACTTTTGTACCACCAAAACGTGTCAGAAGTCGGCAAGTCACATCCAATTCGGGCTTTTGCAACTTCTGCTTTAAGACGGTTAAAACGTCCTCCTCTGCAGTTGTTTCGTCAAGTTCCCGAATTTCGAGGGTCTTTTTGCTGACAAGGGCCGTAACCTCGGCCTTGTCCTGAAGAACGGAGGTAAGATTCTGAGCGAACTTAGAAGTTTCACCCCCCTTTTTTACCACAACAAGAACCTCTTTTTTAAGAGTTCTCCTAATTTTCACAATCTTTGTGCCAGTTTCCTCTGGCTTTACCGAAGTTGTTGCCAGTTTTATGAGATCATGGTAGGTATCTGGATTCCGGGCCACAATTTTTATTGCCTCCGTTGTTCTAATTATGGGGGGGCGCTTCTGAAGTCGCTCCCTCTCCTCCGCTTTCTTCAAGGCCTTTCTCTTACGGGCCTCCCGTTTCCTATTGGAGACGGTTTCAAAGTCTTTTTCGTTTTCAGGCTTATTTACCACAGTTGCCTCCGAATAAGAAGCAACCCTGGCCGAAGCAGCCTTACTCACCTCTGTCTCCATAACAGTAGGGTTTGCCTTGGTCTCCTTGCTCTTAACCCTCTTACCCTTGGGAGTGGTCACAGTAGAATCAGTCTCCGGACCTTCATACTCTCTAGGGCGCTTTTTTGGGTCGATGGGCTTGCTCTCGCCAGATGTGGCGTGCGACATCGATCTAGGAATTTCAGGATTCGACTTTGGATTGCTTGGGCTAATGAAGGGCCTAGGTATAAAACGCAGGTTACTGCGAAGCACCTCGTGCACCTTCCCCAATTCCACCATTCCATCCTTGCTAATGTTTCTTTGTTTCCTGCAAGCACGCCACATGCTGTCAAGTATTTTTGGGATCAGATCGACCTGTTCTAAAACATTTTCTTCGAATCTGCTAAGTCCCACATCCTCAGAATTTTTGCTTTGGCTCCCTCCAAAATCCTTGGAGCCGTCTGCACCGACTACCGGGGCTTCAACCCGATCAGAATCGGTGGTGGGATTACCCTCTACAGAGGTACCCACTTGGAGTAATTTGTTTGATTCTTTATCCATTTCATTTTTTATTCTTTGCCCCGTATCGAGGGAACGATCGAGCCTAAACAGGGTACTACCATCTGGCCAGGATGGGCCCTGAACCGCCTCCGTTAGTTACATAGACGTTATAGCATTGCCGGAGCATTGATGCGACGTCTATGATATCCAAGGGCACGTGAACATGCATGTTCGGACGTGGAGGTCGATGTGTCTCTCCAAGATAGCAGGAAGTTTCCGCAAAGGGAGTGCATCCCGGTATCTCTTCACAGAGTTTACCCTCATTATTATTATTATTATTATTATTATTGTTAATTAATTGTTATTTTTTTAAAAAAACTAGCATTGAAAATATTGCAAAATACTTTTTCTAAAGCAGATTTTAGAAATAAAGAAAGGAATCATTTTTAAGTTTTTATTTAATTTCGCCTAAATTTTTCTATTCTTTTTTTAAAGAATTATAAATTTAATAAAAAAAAAATTAAAGTTTATGCAAAAACACTATTAATAAAAGTATATAAAATAATATAAAAAAATAAATATGAATTTCAACGAAATAAAATCGAAGAAACCAAATACCTAATAAAATTTTATTAATTTAAAAAAATTTATTTTTTTCTATTTTTATTTTTTAAATAAAAAAAACGTAAAAATATATGAAAAGTAAGAAACCAAATATTATGTGAAGTTGTAAAATTAATATTACAAGTCACAATTTTATAGATTATTTTAATTTCATAAAAAATCATGAAAAATATTGTTCAACAATTTTTTTTTTCAACTTGATGATTAAAAAATATTAATTTTTTAAATATTTTACGAGTTGTTGAAAATGCATTAACTGAAAAGTTGTACAAAAGTGCTGATGTTGGTGGATTTCTTTTTTCCTTTGACAAATAAAATATTTTACTTCTTTTTCAATATTTTACGATTTATAAATTTTTTAATAATAAAATCTATTAATAAATAAATTATTTCAATTCCGAGAAAATGTACATTCGTACATTGTACTTAACAAAGTATTTAACAAATTATAATAACAATAACAACAATTATATTGCGCGCGAATAAATATTTTAGTTTTCGAAAGTGTTAACTATTCGTAATGAGGATTTAAATTAAAAAAAAAATTTTTTCAATATTTGCAAACATTTATTTCTATAAACTTTCCTGCGAAAAAAGAAGAGGAGGGAATTTTTTTCAAAAATGTAGAAATTTCAATAAAAAAAGAGAAAAAAATTCCTTTATAAAAATTTTATGTCATTTTTTTCTTAAATAGAATAAATTTTTTAAAAAATATTTTTTAAATTCGTATGCATAAATCCAAAGTCAAATGAAAGTTATCTCTTTAATGTTTTTTCTTTCATGAACTTCGTGTACATGTAAAATCCAAAGTCAAACCAAAGTTATCTCCGCGCTCTTTTATTTTTACTTTAATGAAATTTCACGTCAAATAATATTTATATATTAAATAAATTTTATATAAATTTATAAATAAATTATATAAAAATGTCCCTATAATTTCCGTTTGTACATAATTTTTTCTTTAAACTTTTTATTTTCTTTTTGTGATAATTTGTTATTATAATCTTATTTTTTTTGCTAAAAAATATTGTTTTAATCAAACTGAAGTTTATTATTTGCATTAAAAAAATATAAACATTAAATGATTTTTAAAGAATTTCTTTTTATTATAAATAAAAATAATTTATTATAAATAATAAGGCTAAAAAATAAAAAAAACATAATTGATTATTTTTTGTAATAATTGTGAATGTAATTTTTTTTGTTATTTTTCTAAAAAAAAAACCGCAGCATTGAAAATATTGCAAAAGATTTTTTCTAAAGCAGATTTTAAAAATAAAAAAAAAGGAATCATTTTACGTTTTTATTTAATTTTGCGTAAATTTTTCTTTACTTTTTTTAAAGGATTATAAATTTAATAAAAAAAATTAAAGTTCAATATAATACAATGCAAAAACATCATAAATTAATAAAAGTATATAAAATAATATAAAAAAATAAATATGAATTTCAACGAAATAAAATCGAAGAAAGCAAATAATCAAATTTAGAGTTGAATATGGCAAAGGTAAGATAATTAAAAATAAAAAAAATAAATAAATAAAATAAAAATAAAAAGCATATATTTTACGTTACTTTAGCTAAATCGTTTCTTATTGACAAAAAATTGTAATTTTTATTCAAATGAAATATTTAATTATTTAAAATGTTGAAAATTAAATTCTTTAAGTTAAATTGGAATCATTTATATTATAAATTCTTCAATATTTACTAAATAAAATTTAATTTTTTCATTTAAAATACGAAATTATGACATTGGACTAACTTTTATTCCGATTCTTTGTCCGATTACTCTCTTAAGTTAATCAACTTCTCTTTTTTTGAAAAAAGTTTTATTTTCAGTTTTTTTATTTTTTCTATTAGAAAATTCTTCTTGATGTATATATATTCTTAAAAATTATGCTTTAATTGTTTTATTTTGAACTTAATATTTATGAGAGATATTTTTGTAATAAATTCGAGGAGACTGGGAATTGAACCCGAGTACGACGGATGGTAACCAAAGACCCTATCCAACAAGCTAAACAACCAAGTATTAGAGACAAAAAATCTCGCCCGCGACCTGAACAAAGCTGCGAGGTTGTTGCAAGCTCACAGCAGGTTTGCTATAAATTTCAAAATATTTCTAAAATTACAAAAAGAAAATTTATTTTCAGTTTTTTTAAGTTGAGAAATATTCTTGAAAAATTGCAGCAAGCTTCAGATTATTATCTTTAATTATTTCACGGCAATAATTTTCAGCTTATTGCATCAAGAACATTGAAACATCTCAAAGAACGTTTTATAGATCAAAAAATGTTAGTGAGGCTAACTATACTAGGCCACCCAGGCCTGATAGTGACACTGAGGAAGACTCAGCTGCTGAATCGGATTTTGGATCATCGCCGGACTCGGACTAAAAAATATGTTTACCATCTACATATAAATTAATTGCAGTACATCACAATTAATATGGCTTATATTCAATGTAAAATCCAGTAACAGAATAAATAAATAATTTATTTATAAAAATTAAAACCCATCTATATTTTCTATTAACCCATTCAAGCCCTTTCCAAATTTATTTATATATTTATTTATTTATATAGTTGGATTTTATTTATGAATGACGTAATATCCTTTGACAAATAAAATATTTTACTTCTTTTTCAATATTTTACGATTTATAAATTTTTTAATAATAAAATCTATTAATAAATAAATTATTTCAATTTCGAGAAAATGTGGAACAAAAGATATTCAAGATTTTTTTGGAAAATAATGCTTTAAAATATTGACAATTATAAATATTTCTAACATATATCTATTTTACTTTAAAAATTGTTTTAACATTTTATTATTTCATATTGCTTTCAATTTTCCTTGCAAAAATTGAACCGAATATTAAAAATTGTTAATTATAAACTCGTTGAAATTCATAAGTGTGAAGAAATAAATAAAAATAAATTTAAATAAATAAATGCAAAAACTTTTTTTTTTAATTTCTGTAAGTTTTATAATTTAAAAAAATGTTTTTCAATATTTTATTCAATAAACATTCGTATAATTTATCATACAAAAATGTAAAAAATAGAAAAGCTTTTTATTAAATGTATAAATTTTAACGAAAAGAAAAAAATATTAATTTATATAAATTTTATGTTGATTTTTTTTAAATATAATTAATTTTTTAAATTCGTACTCGTAATTTATCTCTGCACATTTTTATGTTTTTTGCTATCATGAACTTTGTGTATGATGCATAAAATCCAATGTGAAACCAAAGTTATCTCTTCACTCTTTTGTTTGCTTTCATGAATTTCTCCTAAAATTCTTTTTAATATAAATATAATTTTATAATAAGAAGTAAAAAAATTAATTTTATGACAACTTTTTCTTCAACTCTTAAAAATTTGTTTCAGAATAGCCGAATTTTAAAAAATTTTATATTAAATTTTTTGGTCTTTGCATATTTTTTAGAAATATAAGTTGTAGCTTTTTTTAATTTTTTTTTTTTTAAATTAAATTTCCAGATAAAATAATATGTAATCTTGCAGCAACTGTAATATTACGGCAAAATTGTGCTAAATTCAAAAATATTCAAAAATATTTTGAAAAATAATGCTTTAAAATATTAAAATTGTAGATATTTTAACAAATCTCTTTCACCTTAAAAATATTATTATTCCTCAACTCATAAAGTTTTAATCTACGATTTTTTTAATATATTTCAAAATGATACAACAAACTGAAAAAAGGGGATAAGAACATTATTTTTTATTCTAACAAACATTTTATCAATTTTTAACGATTAGAAGAAGCTATATAAGTAGACATTGAGAAAGTTAAAAATTGTTATTTAGAAGCATTATCAGGTGTACAGTAAAAACATTTAAGAAAGTTAAATAAATTTAAGAAAAGAAAATATTGTAATAGAATAATTATCAAAAATTTGTATTTAAACAATCGTAATTATGCGTTTTGCTGCCTTTTTTTTAATTTTGATTACATTTTATTGTAATTGCAAGGCCCAAGATGAAGTGTTTCAGAGCGTAATGGATGCAATTCGTAAGTAATTTTACAAATAATTTATTCGAGTTGTTTTCGCAAACTTTGGAAACGTATAAATAAGCCTCTTTAAATTTTTGATTTAATTTACAGATTATTGTACTGTAAATGTAGGACATGAAGATAATCCTTTGTACAATTGCAGAGGCTATGAACGCAATTATGTAGGACATGATAGAATTGAATATGGCAAAAGTAAGATAATTTAAATTAAATAAAAAGTATATATATTTTAGGTTACTTTAGCTAAATCGTTTCTTATTGACAAAAAATTGTAATTTTTATTCAAATAAAATATTTTATTGTTTAAAATGTTGATGATTAAATTCTTTACGTAAAATTGGAACTGAACAATAAAGCTGCGAGGTTGTTTCAAGCTCACAGCAGATTTGCTGCAATTTTAAAAATATTTTTAAAATTACAAAAAGAAAATTTATTTTTAGTTTTCTTAAAAAATTTGCATCAAGCTTCAGATTATTAGCTTCAATTATTTCACGGCAATAATTTTCAGATTATTGTATCAAACAAAACGATACACCTGAAGCTACGTTGTATAGTTGCGCAGAAAGTGTGAATGAGGCTAACTATAGTGCTAGATCACACAGGCCTGATAGTGACACTGAGGAAGACTCAGCTGCTGAATCAGATTTTGGATCATCGCCGGACTCGGACTAAAAAATATGTTTACCATCTACATATAAATTAATTGCAGTACATCACAATTAATATGGCTTATATTCAATGTAAAATCCAGTAACAGAATAAATAAATAATTTATTCATAAAAATTAAAACCCATCTATATTTTCTATTAACCCATATTCAAGCCCTTTCCAAATTTTTACCTTAATTTTAAATGAAAGACTTCAAAATACTGGTAAGATAAAATATAGTTGGATTATATTTATGACGTAATATTTGTTTGACATAAATATAATGTGATATAAAACTCAATTTAATTTTTAACAATTAATTCCCATTTTAACATAATAATATACATTGCAGTACACTGTTCTTCCTTTTATTCTTTGAGATCGTTAATCAAATGTTTCGTTTACAACAGGAATCGATACTCTTTTACTACATTTAGAACAATATTTAACATTGTTAAACGTTACGTGTAGTAATTGTTGACAATCTTCGTGCGCAAAATATTTTTTTGACACGACTTACTTTAAGGAAGATTAATTTCGCAAAATAATATTAATAACGTTTTCATTTGACGAATTACAGACTAGATTTTCTTTTATTTGAAAAAAGTTTAAACAGTTTTCCGGTCTTGTATTTTTGTGGTGCAACTTTTTTGATATAAAGATTCAGACTTCAATTTATTTGAGAATCTGAAGAAACACTTTGCTTTTCTGCTATAATGAAATTGATTAAAATTTCTGTTAAAAGAAGGATTATGGCCAAAGTGTATCCAATAGTTAGCACGTAGAAGACAACCAATAGCAATTTTTCTTTTTCAATTATATCTAGAGTTGTTCGAACTTCCTTTTTTTCCAGCTTGTGTAGAAATATTATTTTTAATAAAAGAGATATTCCTATAAATGTTACTTTATTTAATTATATGTGAAAATGACAATAAGTAATATCTTATTGACAATAATTAATATCTTTTGAATTCTTTTAGAATAATTGACATTCAATTAATGTTCTTTAGTCTGCTCTCATTCGTAGCCGAAAAAGGACTGTCCCCAGAACAGCTCATCGTAGCCTCGTCCACCAGCTCGTCTTTGTTCATCGTAGGCTATGTTTTGTCTACCAAAAGTTGATAAGCCCAAAATGTTTATAAGACGAGCGATCAGGCCACCATTTCCCCGAACTCCTTGGTTCCAATGAAAATGTTCAAATAATTCTACTTTACTTGTATAGTCATAGAAAAGTAGTTTTTGCAACAAACCGTGATCAAAGGGTTTCAAAATTATTTCGTTAAAACGATCTTTAAAGGGTGAAAAAGTCCTTGAAATCCAAGTTATTGGGAAATACGCGATGGACTCCTGTAGTATTCTGATTCTCAATTTTTGAGTTTTACTGTTAAGTATTTTTTCATCAGTTTCAGCGTCAATCAATAAACAAGTAACGTTTCCGTTCTTGAGCAAGTATTGTAAACAATCGTAGTTCAATCCATTACCAGGTATGACAACCGATTTGTATGCTAGTTTTCGAACATGAACGAGAGGACTGTTTAACATTGTCTCATTTATGAAAGCAGTTGTCATTGGCGTCAATGACGAGTTTACCAGCTCTTCGAGAGTTGAAATTTGAGGTGCTTCTCGGAAATTAATGTCCAAAATCACTGAGAACACGTAACCAGAGTAGACCATGCAGCTCAACATGAAGGCACCAAAAACTATTCTCTCTGTTAATTTTCTTGGTTCGTTGACTACAGACATTCCCATTATGATTTGACTGATGCTGAACGTGTTCCAAGTGCTTCTTTCAAATCGCAGCAACAAAGCTGCAATTCTAATGGCAGCAATAGCAACAGTTGTAGCAACTATCATGTAAATCAATTCCTCAGAGACTTCAACTACTCGAGTTTGACTTTTTGCATTTGGAATTATTGCCTTTGCTGTACTATACAGCAAGATACGCATTGGTATACTATTAATAGTATCATCCACTTCCTTTAATGTCAGACAATTTATCGTCATTTCTGCTTTTACTTTATCTAGATCAAATGAACCCAATCTGAAGGTTTAATAGTTTGTTTGGAAACCATTTTGTTCGTGGCTTAACTTTCTGTTTTGTATATTTTTTTGCAAAAAGATTAATTCTGTGAATAGTGGTCACGTCCGCGCTGTTTGGCATGTTTGATTTTGAACTACATTTTCGAGTATGGAAATGTCTAGCATGTCCTTTGTTCCAGAGTAATTTTAGCAAATTCTCGTAAGAATAAGCCTTTCTTTGATTACAGTAGTTGATTAAGCACTTGGGGAATGAATGTGCATAGGAGAGAATCCATAGTTCATCTAATATAGCTCTTACATGAATATTAGTCTCTTTTCTAAATATTTTCAGAATAAAAATAAAGATAGTCGTTCTTCTGTGAATTTGTAGATATGTAATGAAAAGTATTTTTCCAATCCATTTTGTGCATCATGTAAATTTAGACTCAATGATGGAAAGTGGTTAGAAACATCACGAATAAGTTGTGCGTTGGCATTGAATTCTGCATTTGCAAGAAATCGATCATCAATTATAAATATTACCTGACGGAGTTTTGATTTTTCTTTAAGGTATCTAATTAATCCAAAAGTGTAATTGCTCCTTCCTGACACACCCAGAAAAATTACACTAAAGAGTACGAGACCAAATGTCATTCCCAAAAACTTCATCATTTTTTTAATCTTTTAACGAAAAGTTAACTGTTCCGTATGTGAGAGGAATCAATTGTTCTTGTAGTCTTACAAAAACGATGTTGTAGGTTTGATGTTCCAGGCAAATGCGAGTACTCCTAATTTTCAAGTCGCTCTGTAGGCGCAAAATTTAGTGTAAGGAATGTATATAGAAATATTGTAAGAAGCGAAATTTGTAAAGAGACACTTGTATAGCCAAGCTATGTAGGCTGAAGACAGGTGTATAAACAAAATAAATAAATAAAATTATGTTCCGTAATGTTTGAAAATTCAGGGTTGTTTGACTTTTACAATCTTATTATTCAACGTACTTGATTTTTATGACCGTTTATTATTATTTTTGAAAAATAGACAACCATCTTCTTTTAACTTGTCCAAAGCAATCAAAATTTTTTATAATTACCTGTGTAAAAAATGCCTCATCTTTGCCCTGCTATGTATATTTATCATATAAATATCTCAAAATGATTTGGAAGGAAGATAACCGAGATTGTTGAATTTATTGTTTTTGAAGGGAGTTTAGAAGAATTCATTAAAAGAATTGAAGCAGAAAATAATCTTAAAAATATAACTTCTAGAGATATTAAAAATGCATTAACTGGAAAATTGTACGAAAATGCTAATGGTTCAAAATCAACATTAACCGAACTTACAATTAGAACAATCATGAACGATAGTGTTCGTCGATGTTTTATCCACTTAAATAAAAAATATCAATTTATTTAATATTTTACGAGTTATAAATACTTTTCGAATAAAGCTATTATCTTTATTAATTCAATTTCATTTCTTGATCATTGAATTTTGAAATTAAAGTGTAAAAAATATTTCTAAACAAATTTTTTTCTGTAAATTTTTATATTTAAAGAGACATTTTTTTCAATATTTACAAACATTTATTTCTATAAAGTATAAACTCTCTTGCGTGGAAAAGAAAAAAGAAAAATCTTAAAATTCAATAAAAAGGAGAATAAATTTTATGTTGTTTTATTTCTTTCCTTTAAATAGAATTGAAAGTTTAAGTGTAAAAATTGTTCGAAATGCATTTGAAAGATCTTTCTCGCATTCAGTTGATATTGATTTCACACGTCTACCACCGGGTCCAACGACGATTTTCGATATTCTTTCATTTGGACAAATTATTTTTACTGTTGACGCAATATTCCCTTCTTTTGAAACAACAAAATGTTCCAATTCAATTGTTAATCTGTATGGCATTTCTTGTGGTAAATTGTCCATTAATTTTGCCCTCACTGTACGTTCGACAATTATTTCCGGCTTTTGATCTGTATACATTTCCGTATTATATTCCCACTTCTTTTCCTTTGCAATGTCCAAAAAGTAATTCTGAAATTCAAATGAAATTACTATTATAATAAATAAACTAAAAATAAATAAAATGATAATGTCCCTAAAAATTAATAATTTTTAGAGTGAATCAAAATATTCTTTAGAGTCAGGGATAAAATCAAAATTTTATCTGGAAATCAGGGAAAAACAAAAATAAATTTTAGTGGCAACCCTGCAATAGAAACAAGTTAATATAATTAATAATATAAAATAATATTTATACTCTAATATCAGTGACGCCATCGTTATGAAGTGCAGAAATCATGAAAATATCCTGAAAGTATGGCCAATTTTTTTTGTTTGTCAAATTTTTGATTATTTCCAAAAGTGTTGCTTTCCTCTTAATACGATCGATTTTATTTAAAATAAGAATAGTTGCTCGATCTTTGCCATAGGCATCAAGTAATGGTAATAATCGTTTACTAATATTTTCATGTGCACGGGGATTTTCCATGTCCTGAACAACGCCAACAATATCAGCTTTACGTAATGATTTATTCACGTCGTCTCTAAATGTTGATCCCATTTCGTAAGCTTTTAAATCACGATTCGATACTAAGCCAGGTGTGTCGATAATTATTAATTGTATATTATCAGAGACCAAAATTGCCTCTGCCTTTTCTCGTGTCGTGTGAACTTTTTCCGATGTTGGGCATATCTGTAAAAAAAATTTATTATTAAATTTATTTATTATTTAAAAAAAAAATTCATTAAGTTAATTAAAATTAAGATTATGTTAAAAATTGACATTTTTTTGTTTTCTTATTTAAAACTTTTTATTTTTAATTAATTTTTAATAAATTTTAACGTTAATTTATGTATTTTATTTATTTTGTTTACTTATTTATTTTATCCATTTTATTTACTTATTTCTTTTTTATTATATTCAGTTTATTTATTTTAATTTTATTTAAATATTAAATTATAAGATGGATATTATGACTCGGTCGTATTAGTAATTAAGAAAATGTTAAGATAAACGATCACTCCGAGACAATGTAAATAAGAATTTATTTTTTTTATTTTTATTGCTGTTGAAACGTAGAAAAATAAATTCTCATTTACACTGCCTCGGAGTGATCGTTCATTTCAACTTTCTCATAATTTCTTAATTTATTTAAATCTATTTTTATTAAATATTTAATACTATTTTAATTGAAAACAATTTTCCATTTTAAAAACATAAGATATCAACAATTATTTAAATACTATATTTTTATTTTATTATAATTTTCTTTATTTATTTTACCATTTTCTTTCATTTTCATATTCTTTATTTTATTTTATTTATTAAATAAATAAATAAACAGAAAAAAACTAAAACTTTTAAAGTGAATGAAAAAGTAAGATAAAAAATTTAATAATCGACATATTTTTTTTATTAGCAATTTTTTATTTAGGGAAAAAAATACTTTTTACTTTAAAAATCAATTGAATAAAAAGGATTTCTTGAAAATTAGTTTAAATACTAAATTCATGTAATTTTTATTAAGCAACTAACAATATTAAAATTACTTAGTTTTCCTTTTTTTCAATTAAAAGATTAAAATATTAATAATTTTGAAAGTACTTTCCCCTCTTTTTCTTCTCTTTAATTAAATATTGAAAAAATGAATAATATTTAAAATTATTTCTCTCCTTTTTCTCTTTTTTTAAAAAAAAATTGATAATTAAAAAATTTACATTACAAATGAAAATTTTAGTAGAAAACTGATTAATTTTGATTAAATAATTGAATTTAAGTAGAATTAAAATAATAATATTAATAATAATAAAAATAAATTGTAAAAAATAATACTAAATTAATAATTACAAAGAAGAATTAAATTTAAAAAATGATTCGATTTTTATTATATAATTGAATAATTAACTTTGCAAAAAGAGAATTCAAACACGAATAAAAAATTTTGGTAAGTTTTCATTTTTAATTAAATTATTTTACAAATTGAAATATATTTTTAATGTAAAAAGAAATCACGTATAATTGTATACATCAAAATTTTAATTAAAAAAAGACAAAAATTAGTAATTAATATTTATTATAATAAATTTTTTAAAAAAATATTTAAGAGTACAAATGTAATAAACTAATATATAGAGAAAATAATTCATAAAAAAGTTTCAGGTTAGATAAATGTGTAAATTTAATTTCGTTGTTAATTTTTTTGTAACATTAAATTTTCAATTAATTAAAATAAAAAGGAGAAAAATTAATTTTAAATTATTGTTTATATAAAATATAAATAAATAAATAAAAGAAAATAATTGTTTTAAAATAATAAATTATAAGTTAGGTATATGCTTTATAATATATTGTTTTATATTATATTATGTTACTAGCTGTCGTACCCGTCTTCGACGGGTTGTAGTTTCTGATAATGCACTTAACAGTGTATCTACCAACCTAGAAAACCGGAAAATAGCCGGGAATTTGATTTGACAGGGAAAAAATAATAATTAGTTACTATTGTCTATTTCATTAGGAAAATAATACCATTTGAAACAGTGACCGACTTTTTATTATCAAATTAGTTATTTTTAACTAATTCAAATGCAGAAAACAATATTTCTCAATTTGTAGTACTTCAATCAATATAATGTATTAAAATCAATCTAAAATTTCCTCCAGTTTTTTGAGTTATAGTACAGTCTAATTCGAACTAATTGTATAGCAAGTAGATCCAGTTTTTCTCGGTTACATTAAATTCCCTGATATTTTACGTCTTTTCTGGTTGGTAGACACCCTGTTAAATGTATTATTAAAAAACACCCGTCGAATAAACCAGGAAAAATTTGGACAAAGCCGGAAAATGTTTTAAACCAAAATAAACACCGTGTTTAACTTTTGTCTTTACATTGATCAAGATATCTCTAAAAGTTAAATCAGAGAGCCCACAAATACTATTGAATTAAGCTTCATAGCAATTGGTATCAAGATAATTTTTTCAATTTTTTGATATTCAAAACATTTTTATACTTACATCTTCGTTATAAGAAAGTATTTTTGAAAAATTATGCTAAAATGTGACTAAATAATATGTAATATTCAATTATATAAAGTTTAAAAGCTATCCATTGAAAAATGTAAAATTTAGAAATTTTCGATTTTTTAAAAATATTTTTATATTTCCATTTTAGTTACAAAGTATTATTTTTTGCAAAATTATGCTAAAATGTTAATAAATAACATGTAATACTCAACTATAGAAAGTTTAGAAGCAATCCATAAAAAAATATAAAATTTAGAAATAATTTGTGTTAAATAAATTCATTTATTAGAGTCAAGTATTTATTTAATTAATCCAATTAAGATTTATTTGATTTAACTAAATAAAATTATTTAAACGAAATAAATTTTTATTAGATCGAAATAAAAACTTTTAAATAAGATATTATATTACTATTAGGTATTAACGTAACTTACAATCATAGCCTTATCCGATTAAAAAATATTAACTTGAACGAAAGTTATGACATTTTTCCAAAAAATTCGAAAAATCAAAAAAATGCAAATTTTTTATCTTTTGTAAAATAAATGCAAAACTATCATTAGCTAACTTTTTCAGATAAATAAAACCCATTTCTACAATAAAATTTTTAAAAAAGACGTATTTGAAATTTTTTTTCGTTTTTTTAGATTAACTTTTTTCTAAGAAAATAGTGATTTTTAATCTTTAAGCAAGCTTTTCAGGAAAAGTTATTAAAGTTTTTTATTTAAAGATCAGTATGTTAAGTAAGAAATTTGCTACATTAAACCAAAATAATTAAGCTAAATGCCATAAAAAAGAAGAAAAAATGTTAAATTTTAAGAAATTCGGTTTTTTGAATTTTTGCTAATTTTCCATAATTTTAGATTTTTTACCGAAGGGTGGAGACTATTGAATAAGTAAAGTATTTTTTAAGAGCACAAAAATAATAAAGCTAAATGCCATAAAAAGAAGGAAAAATGTTGAATTTTAAGAAATTCATTTTTTTGCATTTTTGCTATTTTTCCATAATTTTAGATTTTTTACCAAAGGGTGGAGATAACAAATTAGGTTAAGTATTTTTGAAGAGCCCAAAAATAATGAAGCCAAAAGCCATAAAAGAGAAGAAAAAATGTTGAATTTTAAGAAATTCCGTTTTTTGAATTTTTGCTAATTTTCCATAATTTTAGATTTTTTACCAAAGGGTGGAGACTATTAAATATAAGTAAAGTATTTTTGAAGAGTACAAAAATAATGAAGCTTAATGATATAAAAGAGAAGAAAAAAATGTTAAATCTTAAGAAATTCGGTTTCTCGAATTTTTGATAATTTTTGATTTTTTGCTAAAGGGTAGAGACTATTTAAATAGTATAATTATACTACCGAAATAGCTAATGGTTACTAATTATTAATTTTCCGGTGAAATTAAATTCCCGGGTATTTTTGATTTTCCAGATTGGTAGAAACATTGTTAAATGTATTGGTAGAAACTAAAACCCGTCGAAGACGGGTACAACAGCTAGTGCTATATATTATCAAAATTTTTAAAATTCAAAATTAATCTTTTGAAATAATTATTGTCATCAATTTTACTTAAATTTGATACAGGGTTAATTTTAGTATTTTTTATTACAATTTAGTCATCAGAATGAAATTTAAGTTTTTCATTTTTTGATCATTAATTAATATAATATAATAGCAATTTTGAATTCTGTGCAATATACTGACAAAAGTCTCATATTAATTATATGGATATTGTTAATATTCTGACCTAATAGAATTTTTTTAAGAAAGTAAACTTATGATTTCAACAACAAATTTTTATTGTTGACCTAAGAAATACAACCGTATAAAAATTAATTACAAAAAAATTTCAATTTTTAATTTTTTAATTTTTCAATATTTAAATCTAACACTTTTTATTTGTTATTCAAAGTTTTATTATTCTGACGATTAAATCTTAATAAGAAACACTAAAATTAACCCTGTACCAAGTTTAAGTACAATTCACTAAAGTATATAAAAAAACTAAAAATTTCGAATTTTCGAATTTTTGAAAAAATGGCATAACTTTCGTCCATATTAATATTTTTTAATCTACTATCGCTAGGATTTTAAGTTAGGCTAATGCCTAAAAGACTGCCAAGTTTCACTTCAAACGATCGAACCTTTTTTCCGTGATACGCGGTCGAAAATTTGCGGACATACATACACACATACACACATACACACATATACACAAACACACATAATTTTCTTAATAGTATTTTCGCATTCCTTAGAGTGTAAAAATAAGGAATATAATAGAAATTTTGAATTCTATGCAATGTACAGACAAAAGTCTGATTTTATTAATAAGGATATTATATCATATCATATTATATATTCTTTTGATATATAATTATAATTTTTCCGTTTTCAGTTCCATTTGCCCATTCTGACTTCGTCAAGAATGTTTTTCTTTTTCTTATTCCAATTCTTTCATCCATCTTTCACCTTGTCCATTTTCACCGCGCAAAAAACGATTAAAATACTTGTCAACTTTTTCCTAAATATTTTCAAATTCGAGAGTAAAAGAAAAAATTATTATCGTAATAATGAAAATTTAATTTATATATATTTTATTCCGCGCCATGTACACATAACCTAGAAAATATTTATCATAATGAAAATACACGAACCGTTCGATTCACCAGTTGATTAATTAATGTACTTTTACCAGCATTTGGTAAACCAATTATTGCGACTTTCAATGATTTTTTTAGTTCATTACTAATATTATTATTATTTACAACTTCAAATTGATTGCACGTTAAATTATTGACATTTGTTTCGAGTTTTGTTGAGAAATGACGTAAAACACGTGAAAAATTACGACAAACGGCTTTTTCAATAAAAAACATCATTTTTATGTTGAAAAAAACTATTTTAAACACTTCATTATATTACTTTTTTTAAATTAAAAAAATGAACTTTAAAATTTTCTTTTATTCTTGAATTGATAGTATAGATGACTATTATTTTGAAGAATAAATGTTTTTAATTTCTTGAATATTTTTTTTTAGTACACACAGTGTATCGTCTGCTATTTGTCAGCGTTGGGAATGTGGAGACTTCTCTTTGCGCGGTAAAATTACAATAGTGCGCAGGCGCAAATTAAAATAATAAAGGTATGTTCACATGTTCATTTTAATGTCTAGGGGAGTTTGAATGACATTTCTTATTTAGAAAAAAAAATTCCCCCGCCTTTATTTTAAAAATGCACACGTGTATACAGTTTCTATTTTGTTTTTTTATTTTGACGTTTTTCTATTAGGTTTTGTCATTCATTTTAATTAGGTTGTTTTTAGTGATTTTTAGGTATATGCAGTAATGAACAATAAACATTGAAAGATTAAAAGGACAACAAATTTTTTTACATAATTGATTTTATTAATGAAGAAAGACAAAAATAATGACTGATCGTATTTGTAAGCAGGGTAAGAAAAGTATTTATTTTAATTACGCGTTAAATAAAAAAATTCGTTAATCAACAACATGTAAATACATTGGATTTGTTCTACAATTATAGGTTAGTAATTTATATTTTGATGAGAAATAATATTTATTTACGGTAACCTGATTGATTTATTAACTAATTGCTAATAAACAAAATTAAATTAAATAAATATTTATCAATTTTTCAATTTATTTATTCACTAAAATTGATAATTAAACTATTTATTTAGTTACTAATAGCTAATTATTTAATTAACTAATTGCTAATTAACCTAAATAATTAAATTACGAACTGCTAATTAACATAATAAATTTAAAAAATATTAATTTATTAAATTTTTCTATTTATTTATTAACTAATAAATTGCTAATCAAACTAATTAATTACAATTGTTCATTAACCCAATTAAGTATATAATTAACTAATGACCATTTAACGTGATTAATTAATTAATTAATTATTTGTTAATTAAAATTTATTATATTTATTAATTAACAATTTTTATTTACATAATATTTTAAGTTATTTTTAATTTTTATATAATTGAATAATAATTATTATTATTATTACAATGTTCAAAATAATTTTTTACATTGAATAATTTATTAAATTTAAATTATTATAAATTATTATTACGATGTTTTTGTGTTAAATAATTTTCTATAGTTTTCGAACAGTATCAAAAAGCAAGACTGCAATTCATTCAGAATGTCGGCGATTTAGCAACAAAATCATATAATGTTGAATGTTTGGTAAAAATTGGAGTTTTAGAAATTGTATGTCCTTTAATTAATGATATTGTACCGTCAATTAGTTATAATGCAGTTATGACTTTGGGACGTTTAGCTGGTCACGATGAACATGTTGCACAATTAATTTTAAAAAAAGACGTTTTACCATGGTTAATGAGAAATTTTAGAAAACAAAATGTAGGTAAAAAATTTTTCTATTTTTTCTATTTTACAACTTTTAAAAATTTCTCATATTTATAATTTTATGTAATTAATAATTAATAATTTTATTATTATTAATAACAATATAATTATAATTATGATTATTATTGTTAATAATTATTTTACATTTATAATAATGTATAATACAAATATTTATAAATAATATAAGTAAAAATACATAAATAATTAAATATAATAAAAATTAAATATAATAAATAATTATTAAAATAAAAATAAATTACCATATAATTTAGAAATTTTACAAAAAGGCTGCCCTCTTTCTTCTGCGTTCGATAGCGAAACATTCACCTGAATTATCAGCAATTGTCATTAGTGAAGATGGATTAAATCCAATAATGTGTGGATTGGAGGATTTTGATACGGGCGTTAAAGAAGCGGCTGCTTGGGCTGTTGGCTATTTAGCAAGACACAATAAAACATTAGCTCACACTGTTGTCGACGCTGGTAAATACAAAAAAAACAAAAAATTTACATAATATGAACAGACAGGCGACAAAAACAACTTTTAAACATGTTGAAACTATTTTAAAACGGTTAAAAATACTTTCGAACAAGTTAAAACTATTTTCGGACAAGTTCGAAACAAATTTTACATAATTGATTCTTTTTTAAACAGCTTTAAACTACACTGTGAAATAAAATTTTAAAAAAACTTTATTACACATTAGAATTATTTTGGACAAGTGTAAAATACTTTCAAACTGTTTAGAACCACTTTCAAACAAGTTGGAACTGTTTGAACAGATGTAACCTACTTTCAAACTATTTAGAACCACTTTCGAACAAGTTGCAACTGTTTGGACAGATTTAAACTACTTTAAAACTGTTTAGAACCACTTTTAAACAAATTACAACTGTTTGGACAGATTTAAACTACTTTGAAATAGTTTAGAACCACTTTCAAACAAGTTTGAACTGTTTGGACAGAGTTAAAGTACTTTGAAACTGTTTAGAACCACTTTCAAACAAGTTTGAACTGTTTGAACAGATGTAACCTACTTTAAAACTATTTAGAACCACTTTCGAAGGGGACGCATGATTATTCCCCAAATGTCATTTTTCCGAAATGTCATTTTACCGAACTGCACTTTTGCGAAATGTCACTTTTGCGAATTGTCATTTTTACGAAAATCTATTTTTGCGAATTGTCATTTTTGCGAATCGCAATTTTTACGAATTGTCAATTTTCCGAAAAGTCATTTTTGCGAATCGCCATTTTTACGATTTGTCAATTTTTCGAAAACTCATTTTTACGAATTGTCAATTTTCCGAAAAGTCATTTTTGCGAATCGATATTTTTACGAATTGTCAATTTTCCGAAAAGTCATTTTTGCGAATCGACATTTTTACGAATTGTCAATTTTCCGAAAAGTCATTTTTGCGAATTGTCATTTTTGCGAAAAATACAATAGTGAATTTATAGATACCTACAAGTTTCTATTGTATTTTTCGCAAAGATGACAATTCGCAAAAATGACTTTTCGGAAATTTGACAATTCGTAAAAATGGCGATTCGCAAAAATGACTTTTCGGGAAATTGCCAATTCGAAAAAATGGCAAATCGTAAAAATGACTATTCGCAAAAATGGCTTTTCGCAAAAATGACATTTCACAAAAATGTCTTTTCGTAAAAATGACAATTCGCAAAAATGAGTTTTCGAAAAATTGACAAATCGAAAAAGTGACAATTTGCAAAAATGACAATTCGCAAAAATGTCAATTCGCAAAAATGTCTTTTCGTAAAAATGACAATTCGCAAAAATGACTTTTCGGAAAATTGACAATTCGTAAAAATGGCGATTCGCAAAAATGACAATTCGCAAAAATAGCTTTTCGAAAAAATGACAATTCGCAAAAGTGACATTTCGCAAAATTGGCTTTTCGCAAAATTGACTATTCGCAAAAGTGCAGTTCGGTAAAATGACATTTCGGAAAAATGACATTTGGGGAATAATCATGCGCCCCCTTTCGAAGAAGTTGCAACTGTTTGGACAGATTTAAACTACTTTTAAAACTATTTCAAACTAGTTTCAAACCATTTCCAATTAGTTTCAAACTAGAACCACTTTTACACTTACTAAAATTATTAGGACAGTTTTAAAATACTTTCAAACTGTTAGGACTACTTACAACAAAATAAAACCACTTTGGTAAAGTTTAATAATTATTTTAAAGAAGTTAGAACAGCTTTGAACAGGTTTAAAATGCTTTCGGACAAGTTCAAACCACTTTCAGATAAGTTGGAATAAGTTTCGAACAATTTGAAACCATCATGAATAAATTTAAACTACTTTCATTCAAGTTAAAATTAGTTTCGATCAAGTTCAAACTATTTTCAACAGTTTTGAACTAGTTTGAAATAGTTTTGAAGTACATGTGTAATGTTTTGTACTACTTTTAAACCGTTTTCAACTACTTTCGTATCTGTATGAACTAGTTCTGAACTACTTTCGTACCTATATGAACTAGTTTTTAACTACTTTTTTCGTGTCTAAACTATAAGTTTCGAACTACTTTGTACATATTCGAACAAGTTTTGAACTACTTTCGTACCTGTTTGAACTTGTTTTGAACTACTTTCGTATCTGTATGAACTTGTTTTGAAATACTTGTATATGTGTATGAACTAGTTCTGAACTACTTTTGAACTACTTTTTTACGTGTTTAAACTGGTTTTGCACTACTTTCGAACCTGTTTGAACTTGTTTCGAACTACTTTCGTATCGGTATGAACTAGTTCTGAATTACTTTCGTACCTATATGAACTTGTTTTAAACTACTTTCGTACATGTTTAAACTAGTTTTGAACTACTTTTGTACATGTTTAAACTAGTTTTGAACTACTTTCGTACCTGTTTAAAGTAGTTTTGAACTACTTTGGTACCTGTTTGAACTTGTTTTAAACTACTTTCGAATCTGTTTGTACTAATTTTAAACAGTATTGAACTAGTTTCATATAATTTGAACAGTTTTCGTACTAGTTGAAACTATTTTCAACAAAGTTTAATTCTAGTTATACCTAAACTTGAGTCTACTTTTAAGCAAATTGAAACTACTTTCGTACACATATTGAAAAATTAATTCATTACAAAAACTAATTTCAGACTTGTCAGAACCACTTTTATGCGAAAATTTAACAATTTTTGTTTTCTTTTTGTTTATTTCCTTGTTTTTTAATATAACTATATTTATTTTAAAATTTATATTAATTTAGGATTAAAAAATTTTATATTTTATATTAAATGCACAATAATTACTTTTTTTCTTTTTGTTCTCCCTCTTTCTTTTTTTGTCATAAAGGTGCAGTTCCACTATTGGTTCTTTGTTTACAAGATCCAGATGTATGTCTTAAACAAATAAGTGCATCTGCCCTGTCGGACATTGGTAAACACACAATGGAATTGGCTCAATCAATTATTGATTCGGATACAATTACCATACTGGTCAAAGCCTTCACAATACCTGATGCAAAATTAAAGGTTCACTTCAATTGTTTATTGAGGGAAAAAAAGATCAGACTATTTTTTTATATTGCATATTTTTCAACAAATTTAAAATTTCTATTTAATAAAATGTAATGGCAATTTCATTTATTTTAAACATTATTTTTTTTAATATTATTTTTTGTCGTTTTATATTATTTAAAAAAATTTTATAGAGTTTAAAATTGTTATAATTATAACAAAACTGTAACAAAGTTATAATTATTATCATTAGTATTATTATTATTATTATTATTATTATTATTATTATTATTATTATTATTATTAACATTATTATTCATAATGTTTAATTTCTATAATTTAATCATTATTTTATAATATTAATACTTTATAATAATTAATAATAATAATAATTATTATTATTATTATTATTATTGTCACTGTTGTTATCCTTGACATTATCCTTATTGGCATTGTTGTTGTTGTAGTTATTATCATTGTCATTGATGTTATTGTTATTGTATTGTTGTTATTATTAGCATTACCATTGTTTTTGTTGTTATTGTTGTTGATGTTATTTGTCATTATTGTCATTATCGTTGCTGTTGTTTTAATTGTAATTGATGAAATTATCATTGTTGTTGTTGTTAATATTGAAAAATTATTAATTTAGAAATAAAAAAAAAACAATAATAATTGCTTTTTTCAGCGTCAAATTCTCACTGTACTGGGAAATATTGCCAAACACAGTGTTGAATATTCCGAACTTGTCGTAGAGGCGGAAGTGTTTCCAAGTTGTTTAATTCACATGACACATCCGGACGAGAATGTCGCAAAAGCGGCTGCAACACTAACAAGAGAAGTTTGCAAGCATACCTTTGAGGTAAATATTATAAAATTTTCTCAACTTTGGAAAAAAATTGAATTATTTTGTTGTTGTTAACTGAGTGGTTTCTTAATTTTTTGTTTTTAATTGTTTTAATTCAAACTCAATTTGATATATTTATTTATTTATTTATTTATAATTTAATGTACAGAAATGAAAAATATTAAATTAATTAAAGTTAAAGAATAAGATATGTTTTAATATTACAAAAATTAATTTTTCTTCTTGAACAATTTACAGCTTTTTTTTTCTTTAAAATAGTTTGAAAAAAGTATTTTTTTTTAAATAGTTATTAATAAAAAAAAAATGGTATTTCTTTAAGTTATCAAAAATGATTGTAAATTCTGGTGGAATTGCGGCTTTAATAGAATTAATTGGCAGAACTAAATCGGCAAGAGTGCCGGGAATAATGGCACTTGGTTACATTGCTGGTCACTCAGATCAATTAGCATTGGCCATTATTGATTCACAAGTAAGATCGTGTCATCATCAATTTTATTGTCAATAACTTCAATTAGGTTCAATAGAAACATTTTTTTACATTCCCAGACACACTGCAGTATTGTCATTTTATTATTAAATATTTTTTTTCATCATTTTCTTTTACACATTTCAATTTATTTATTATTTATTTTCTGAATTTATATTTCAATCATTATTTTTTTTTCTTTAATTTATTTAAATATCTAATATTCATTTTTTTTAAATTTAAATATTTGTTTATATTTTATTTGTAATTGTAAACTTTTATTTGCCCTTTTATATTTATTTTAAATATTTCTTTATATTATTTATTAACATTTAGGACTATTTGTCAATTTTTCAATTAATATTTTTGTTTATTTTTTTATTTATTTCGTTTATTTGTTTATAATATTTTATTACCATTTTGATTTGTTTTTCCATTTTTTCAATAAATATTTTATTATTTACTTTGTTTATTTATTAATTATTATTAACTTTATTATTATTATTTATTTGTTTTTTTTAAACTTTATTTATTTATTTTACAAAAAAGGGAATTATACAATTGGCAAGTGTCTTGAGAGAAAATGCTGATGATCAAGTCACGGCTGTGACAATTTGGACCATTGGACAAATCGGAAAGCACTCGTCTTATCATTCACAAGTAGTAGCCGAGGCTTTAATTTTTCAAAAATTACTCTCGGTATTTTCTTTAACTACAAAACTATTTTTTTTAACTAAAAAACTATTTTTCTAAACTAAAAATCAAATTTTCAGACTAAAAATCTATTTTTTAATTAATCTACTCTTTTAAAGAAAAATCTATATCATATTTCATATTATTTATTTATTGAATTGTAAAAAAAATTTTTTTTAGAAAATTTTTTATAGAAGAAAATAGTTTATATTTTTTTTTATCATATCTACAACAGATTTACACAGATTTAAAATCGTCGGAAGACTTAAAAACAAAATGTCAAATGACATTGAAGCAAGTTCTAAAAAATTGCACGTACATCGAGGCTTTAAATTCTTTACTCAAAGACGCACCGCCGGAGATTATCAAATACGTTCTTGAACAATTTAGCAAGGTACAGTGTTTTATTATAAATATAAATAATAATTATAATTTAATAGAAGTACACAATTAAGTCGTCTAACGAGTTCTACGAGAAGCGACTCCCCACCATGCGAGGAAACAGACCTGCGCGTTGGGTAGAAACATGAGGAGAAGGGAAAAGCGTCCGCGTGGTGGGGGGACGCTTCTCTTATAGCCTCACGCGCACTATTAAGTGAATATTTCATAATTATAGTAATAATTATAAATTAATAATTAATAAAAATAATATTCTTTTTTATTCTATTCTACAAAATAAATAATAATTAATCAAAATACTTAAAAATAAATAACTATTACTTTAAACAACTTTATTAATTACAATTTATTTATTTATTTATTTATAAATTAAAATTTACTGTAAATTACATTAATAGAAAAAATAATGAAAACAAAATTTTTAATTAAATTTAAAGGTCTATCTAAATTATAAAAAAACAGACATAAATAATTAGGATTTTAGGTAGAGAAGGGCGGTGGCAATTAAACAGCGAACACTATTACATTTAACGATATTTATTAAACGTATGATAATAATCTTCATTATAATTATAATTTTTAATCTCTATATATCTATACACATTGTACAAATTTTTTTGCAATAAAAGTCGATTTATTTTCATTTAGAAAAAAATTTTTTTTTATTTATTTTATTTATTTACCTATAAAGAAAAATAAAATGAAATAAAATACTTTTCATATACAATTTAATAATAAATTTGTAAATTTTATTGTCAAACAAAAATATTAATATTTTCTAAATAAACATGTACATAAATGAAAATTTTTAATTCTTTAATTTTAAAATTAAAAATTAAATTTTCTATTTCAATTAATAATTGAAAATTGAATTTTCAATAGAAATTTCAAATAGAAAATTAAATTTTCTATTTCAATTAAAAATTGAAAATTTCAATATGAATTTAAAATAAAAAATTAAATTTTCAATTTAAAATTAAAAATGTAATTTCAATTTACAATTAAAAATTCAATTTAAAATTTCAAATTCAAAATGGAATTTTCAATTTGAATTTAAAATTAAAAATTGAATTTTCAATTTAAAAGTAAAAATCGAATTTTCAATTTGAATTTAAAAATTGAATTTTCAATTTAAAAGTAAAAATCTAATTTTTAATTTCAGTTAAAAATTAAATATTAATCTTTCAATATTTAAAATTAAAATTAAAAATGTAATTTTTAAATTTCGGTTTAAAATTGAAAACTAAATTTTGAATTCCTTAAAAACAAACGTATATCGCCTGCAAAGTGTTAAAAAGTAAATTAATTACAACAATGCAATTCGCAAATTTCTGCTTTGATAAACAAACAAAAAAAAAGAAAAATTAGTTTGGAAGAAATTTTTAACAATAGACACAAAGACTATAAAAACAGACGACAATAAAATGTAAAGAATAATTTAAAAAATAGATTGATAATAGAAAATATTATTTAATATTATTATTAACAAATAGAATTCTTATTTATAAAAGCCTGCTGAATATTTACTTGTTTATTTATTTATTTTTCATTTTTTTTTTGTGAATTATAAAAATTCTATTATCGAGCAGGACTGATTGTCATGAAAAAGCCATTTTTTCGAACTCTTTTTTTTATTAAGAAAATTGACCTAAATTGTTTTAAATTAATTTTATAAATTACTTTAATTTAAAACCATTTTTTATAGAAATAATTTGCAAAAATGAAAATGAAAAAATTTTATTTTCCCGCTAATATTTTTTTTGTACATTTAATTATAAAAAATGTTATTCAATTCATTCTTGAAGAAAGAATAAATTATTTCTTCTTCTTTTTCTTGGAATAAGAGAAAATTATTTCTTTTTTTTTTGAAGTAAGAAAAAAATTTTTTCTTTGAAAGAAAAGAAAATTATTTTTTCTTCTTCTTGAAATAAGAAAAAAATTTCTTCTCTGAAAGAAAAGAAAATTATTTTTCATTCTTCTTCTTCTTGAAAAAGAAAATTGAAAATTATTTTCATTTCTCTTCTTTTTTCTCATGAAAAATAAAATTGAAAATTAACAATATTTTTTTTTTCTTGAACAAAAGAAAAATTGAAAACTATTTTTATAAATTAAAATGGCAATTTTTTTTTATCGTTGGCCCCCCATCATCGAATAATTTATACGATATTTCTCGACGCAGCGCAGTGTTCGTTTAAAAAATTCTGAGTGAAATGGAAGAACGAATACAAAAAATGCTTTTTTTAAATGTTATAATAATTACTTTTTTTCATTTAATCTCAAGTTCCTGAATAATTTATCAACTTTGTATATATATTGTATATAATAATCCAATTTCGAATTATAATTTTTCTAAATTTTTTTCAATATCAATTTTTTTATACTAAAGAATTTTTCTTTATTCTTATTTTTTCTCGTTTCTCTTCTTGTTTCGACTATGTGGGAATTATAGTTGTTTTTATTTATTTTTTTAAAAAAAAGGAACTCTGTAGTGCCAGGATTGTTCAGTCTTTTTTTTTTTTTTTTTTTTTTTTTGATCTTTGGTTCAGCAGCAGTTATTAATTGTTTATATGCGATCAAACAACAAAAAAGGAAATTGATTTAAAAAAACATTTTTTTTTAATCCTGTGACACGCTCTGAAAAAAAGTCTTTAGAAGCAAATCATTTTGAGGTTATGTTTGTGTTAATTTTTATTTAAAAAGTTTAAAAGTATCTGCGTTTAATTTAAAACTAAAATTAGTTTTTATCATTGATTATTTTCGATGTAAAAAAGACTCAAAAATCAGTAATTTATTTTAAAAGTTTGATTAACTTTTTCATTCCAAAACTTATAAAAATAACCTAAAAAATATTTTGCTTCTTAGGTACCTTAGAGCCTGGCATATACATATAATTATTATTAAAACAAAATTTTTCTAATAAACATTACGGTTAGAGTATTTTAGTAATTGTAAAAAATATTATTTAAGAAAAAAGTTATAAAAAGTTTGGTGTTACACAATTTTTTTTTTACAATATTAATATAATAATATTTAATAAAAATACTAGAAATAGAAAAACATTAACAAATATAAATAGGTATATATAATAAAAATAGAAATTAATAGAAATACTAATAATAAAATAGTAAAAATAAAATTATAAAAATAAAAATAATGATAATAAAAATATTAATAATAATAATAATAATAATAATAATAATAATAATAATAACATTAATATTTCGTACAGTGATGCATTGACGATTATAGAAACATTTTTTGCGAATTACTCCCAAGTTTTATGCAAATTTGAGAAATTTAAAAAAAATATCCGCCATTTTGGATCCACCATTTTGAATTTTTGAAATCTGACTTTAGATTCGTAGTAGTAAGCGACCCCAAGAACCCTCGAGTAACAACTTTTCTTCTAATATTTGAGCAATTTTCAAAAAATGTCCGCCATGTTGGATCCGCCATTTTGAATTTTGAAAATTTTGAAAATCTGGCTTCAGATTCATAATCAGTGACACCAAAAATCTCTGATTAACAAATAAAAACAAAATCCACTAGCTCTGGCTTTCCTAGGGCACGAAAAATAAAATGAAAATAAATTATTTTATTTTATAGTATCATTAATTAATCGTCAAATTCATCACTAGAAATAAAAGTATGCAATAAAAAATGAGAAAGAGTGAGAGACATTTGGAATTTTTTTTTGCGCATATATAGAAATTTATAAATAATGGAAAATTTTATGAGTTAATTAAATTTTTTTTTTTTTTTTTTTTTTTTTTTATAACATAAATGAAAAATGATAATGATTAAAACATAGTTCACTCATCTTGTTCCTCATTGGCTTTAATGCTAGCGTAATTATTAACGTTTCTATTCATTTTTAACATTTTGAGAAAACTCCCTAAAACGAGAATTGTTTTACGATGTCGCCTAAATATTCCTGTGTAGAGTGCCTCTCGAACATCTCGTCTATCGCTCACGTCAGAATCGATACTCGAACTCGCCGACACTAACGATGGTTTCGATGATATCGATTGTTGATGTTGAAGACCACCATGATGATGATGTTGTTGTTGTTGTTGTTGTTGTTGTTGTTGTTGTAGAGGTTCTTTTGTATTAATTATATTTCGCTGTTGATTATTAATCATCTTCAAACAATTTTTTCTTCTTTTCACAAAAATTCTTGTTTAAGAATTTTTTTTTTCTAATTTCAAATTTCCTTTTGTATCAAAATTTGAAATTCTTTTCGTTTCAAATTTTTTTTTGTCCTATTTTTATTTAATTTGCCTCTAAAATTCTCTTTTTTGGCAAAATAAGTTTATTCGTTTTGCAATTTCTTTTTTTTTTTAATTTTCTATATTTCTATTCTTGTTTTTTTTCAAATTGTAGAAATTTGAAATTTTTGTTATTCTATTTGTTAATTTTTTTTCATTCAATTTTTTTTTTTTGTTTTAAATTTCTATTTAGTGATAATTTTCATTATTGAGAGAATTATTTTAAAAAAAAACAAAAATATAAATGGAAATTAAAAATAAAAAAAAAACTCAAAGTTTTAGTCTTCAATTTTTTGATGATGAATATTTTTTTTGTATTCTTTGTTTTTTTCGAGGGGAAAAAATTGACGTATATTTATAAATCAGTGCGGCATTTATGATTTCATTGTGGGGAGAAAATGCATTTTTTTTTTGTTCTTCGACGTTTATCGACAGTTTCTTCTTAAACGAATAATTGAGAAAATTTCTTGATTTCGCTGATGGAAAACTGACAAATTCGTATCATGATGAATCAGTGAAGAATGGTCCATTCGAGACCGAATAATTTCTCCCCGAAATACTTAAAAATTCATTTTGTATCTGAAAAAGAAACAAAAAAGAAATATAAAGTTTAACGATATAAAAATTATTGAAAAATAAATTTAAAAAAAAATGAAAATTATTAATATTATTATTGTCCTTAACTGGGTGCCAGTTTTATTTTCTCGACTTTTTCCTACTTTCCATTAAAAATATTTACTTCTTTCTCATCTTGTTAATAATTAAAAAAAATGCAACGAATTTTATTATTCATGAAATGAAAGAATTTAAATATTTACAAAAATAATTTATTCTTGAGAAGAATTTTAAAAAATATTTTTAAATAATTGATTTCTTTCGACTAATTTTATGCAAATTCTAATTTAAATAATTTAATTCCTAAGAAGTTTTTATTATTCATGAAAAGAATTCAATTCTTATAAAGATTTTTACAAAAAATATTTTAAATAATTGAATTCTGTTTGGAAATTTTATGAAAATAGTAGATATTGAAAATCATTGAATTGCGAAAAGTTTTTAAAAATAATTAAATTTTACAAAAAATTCAGTTAAAATTTTTGAAAATAATTGAATTTCTAAAAAGAATTTTATTATTTATGAATATAATTGAATTCTTATGAACAAATTTTATTATAATTTTTTTAAATAATTGAATTTCCAAGAGAAAACATATTACTTTTAAAATAATTGAATTTTTGTGATAAATATTGTTGTTTATAAATATAATTGAATTTTGCAAAGAATTTTATTAAAATCCCTCAAAATAATTGAATTTTCGGGAATAATTTTGTTTTTTAACAAACATAATTCAATTCTTCCGAAGAATTATTTATGAATATAATTGGATTCTTGGAAAGTATTTTATCAAAATCTAAAAGAACAATTGAATTATTTCAAAAAAAAATTAAATTAAAATTGTATTTGAAATAATTGATTTCTTTCGATCAATTTTATTAAAATATTTGAAAATAATTTAATTTCTGTAAAAAATTTTAATATTTTTATAAATAATTGAATTGTTCCAAAGAATTTGAAAAAAAACATTTTTTTAAATAATTGACTTTTTCGAGGAATTGAAATTAAATTTTTTTAAATAATTACATTTTTCGAGGAATTCGATAAAAATTGTATAAAAAATAATTAAAATACTGTAATGAATTTTATTATTAATGAAAAATATTGAATTATTGCGAAAAATTTTATTAAAATTTACAAAAAAAATTGAATTTCTGAGAAGAATTTTATTATTTATGAAAATAATTGAATTGCGAAAAATTTTATTAAAATCTTAAAAAAAAATTGAATTTCTCTGAAAAATTTTGTTATTTTTTAAAATAATTGAATTCTTCATAAGAATATTATAAACATTGTTTTAAATAATTAATTTTTTTGAAATATAATAAATATTATAAAAATTTTATTTCAAATAATTGAATTCTTGTGGAAAACTTTATTTGTGAAAATAATTGAATTTTTCGATTAATTGATTTAAAAATAGTATATTAAAAATAATTGAAATTCTTCGATGAGACGCGTGAGTCCGAGGCTTGTTTTTTTAATTTTCATAAAATTCTAATAGATTTTTAGTATCTTATGGGAGAAAAATGTTAATTAATATACATTTTAGAAAATAAAAAATTTTACTGTAGCATAAAAAATAGATAAAATAAAATTTGTGGTATTAAAAAAGTATCATTTCCACACTTTTTTTAGCTAATAAATTATAAAATAAATAATTTAATTAAAATAATAAAATTAATTATACAAAATAAATATTCTGCAATATTTATTAATAAAAAAAAATGTAACTTTCACTAATATGGGAATAATGTTGAAAGATTTATTTTTCTCGAAACATTTATAATCGAATGATAAGTTAAAATGTTTGTGTATATATAGTATATAAAATATAAAATATATGAAAAAATAGATATAACCATATGGAGAAGAAAATAGGATAAAAAACTTTTTTAATTCATTGCGTTTATATACTTTTTTCAATAAGCTCTACTGAATAGTTGGACGTGTTTTGTTCGGGTTTCTGAAGCCCTATAACTTCCACTTTAATGTTTTTATCAATCTCAGGGACAAGTTAATAAACTACACTCGATGCCCTTTAATAACAAATATAATAATAAGTAATAATAATAATAAAAATAATAAACAGGAAAATTCTCTTCATCTCTTTTTCAATTCATGCAAAAATATACGTTTCACATTTTTTAATAATTAATTTTTATATATTACATTTTTATTACTATTATTAATAATATTATTATTATTATTATTATTATTATTTATTACTATTGTTTTTTAATTTTTCTTACTTTTGTTATTATTTTGCTTTTATTGTTATTTTATTTGTTTTATTTTTTATTGTATTACTATATTATTATAATCCTCTCTGTTTTTTTTTACTGTTGAAAATGTTTTTTAATAAAAATTTTTTTTGGCTTCATTTTATTATTTTTTTTTTATAAATTGATTAACAATTAAAAACAAAAATGCTTTTAAAAACGGATTGAATGTTTTCTTTTTGTATAAGAAGAAAAAAAAATAGAAAATAGAGAGTAAAATTTTTTTCCCCAATATTATATTTTATAGATACTTCCAAATGACACGAGCGCTCGTCGATTATTCGTGACATCAGGGGGATTGAAAAAAGTACAAGAAATTCGAGCAGAGCCTAATTCCACCCTTTCTGAGTGCATCACAATAATTAACAGTTGCTATCCAGAAGAACTTGTCAAGTATTTTTCCTAGAAAGCATTTAAAATTTTCTACTGCCACCCGAATAATATTAATAATAATAAAAACAATTTAATATAAAAATTTTATTTTTACTTATTCTATATAAATTTTTATTAATAATAATAATAATAATAATAATTTATTATAAAATTATTATTTTAACTTTTTTTCAAATTTTTTTAATTTTAATTCAATTAATTAATAAAAAAATTATTATAAATATTTAACAAATAATTATTATTGATATCATAATAATAGTTATTAAAAATTATTAATAATAATAATAATTATTATTATTGTTATTATGTAATTTTGTAGGATTTTGTAGGAAAGGTTTATAAATAAATAAAAAAAATAAATAAATAATATTATTAATTAATAATATTTATTATTATTTTTTCAGCATTACTACTTTTTTATTATAATTAAAAAATAAATATATATATATTTATATATAAAAATTAAATAATAAATTTTGTAAATAAATAAATAAAATTTTTTAATTTTTAAATGGTGCAGAGAAAATAAATACATTTAATAAATATACATCAATACCTAATTAAAACAAAAACAAAATCAAATAAAAATCATAAAATAAAAAAATAATTTAAAAAATGTTTGCACTTTATAATTAAAAATATATTTGAATAAAAGAAGATTAGAAAGTACAGTTCATACTAATAATAACAATAATAATAATTTATTAAAAAATTATTATTTTATTTTAATTATAATAATATTATTTCAAATGTTTCCGGATTTTTTAAAAATTTAAATAATAAAAATAATGTTTGTCTTACATATTAGTTAAATAAATAAAAAAAATATAATGTTTACGGACTGTGATATAAATAAAAAAAGTAAAAATAAAAAGTTAGTAAGAAAGTAAAAATAATAATTAATAATGATAATAATTATTGTTAATATTATTATTAAAAAAATAAAACTATATCAATTTTATTTAATTTATTAATATAATAAAATAAAAACTAAAAGAAAAATAAAAACTAATCACTATTATTATCATTATTAGAAAAAATATATTAATAAACAAATAGAAGATAACAATAAAAAAAAATTAAATAAAAAATATTTTTTAAATTTAACAAAAATTGATCTGAAAATATTGTTGATGGTAAACAAATCTAATGCATCATTTATGATTAGAGACATTTTTTGTGGAATGTTATAATCGAAGCAGGGATTTCGAAATGTGTTTTAAATGTGTTACTTTCACTATTTTATATAGTTATATATATATATACATACTCATAAACATAAGTATATATATATAATATGTATATATATATATCCATACCAACTTTGGATATCAAGGACACAAAAAACTAAAATATTTATGAGAACATTATAATTTCGTCATATTGTCTACTTTAAAATTAAATAAAAAAAGTAATTAACCCAAAAAAAATTTATTTCTGTCAGTAAATACATTTATTTTTTATTTTGAATTATTTTAATATCAGTAGCATTCAAAATTATTATTTAAGGCCTTTAATCTTTTTGTAATAACAAAATTTTTAATTTTTGAATTTTAAATTTAAACATTTTGTTTTTAAATAAATTCAAAATTTTTTGACCCAATTGTTTCAGAAAAAAATTTGTTTTCAATATTCAAATCCTTTTTTTTATTTTCGATATGGAAAAAATGATAAATTTGTATTTAAAAAAAAATTTTTTTTTTAAATAAAAAATTTCAAAAAAAAAAAAAAATTAATAATAATAAATTATTATTTACCATTTAGTGGATGAGCAAAAATACGTATATCGACACAAATATACACGAGCACTTGTCTGTTTGTTTTTGTTATATATTTCTTTTTATGAATTATTTTTCTTGCATTGTCTATTATTTGAATGAGAAATATATACAAACATGTATGATACACTAAAAAAAACAATTTTTATTTATTTATTTATTTTCCTTTTATTGGTATATGTTGAATTATATGACAAAAATGTGTCAGTCCCTTATATTATTATTATTATTACTAATAATTTATAATAATTTATGTTGATCATTTATAGGAAAATTGTAGAAAATATATATATAGAAAAAAAAACAATATCCATATATATATATTTCTTAAAAAACACTCGCATTACTGTCACATTTGTATATGCAACATATTTTTAAACACACCGATGACTTGAAATGCACGCGAGTAGAACGTCACTGAACGATGGAAAAGCTCGAGGCTTTTAAAGCAGAGTTCACAATTGATGTTCACCTTTATAACCAGGGACGAGAAACATATGTCTCATATGAGCCCCCTGTACTCATAAAAATAAATATAATTATAAATTACAGTTATTAACTTTCCCACTATTATTAACTTAAAATTATATTTTTTTTTTTCATTTTCAGGTTGTTTTTATTTTTTTCGATTTACTTTTTTTTATTAAATATATTTTCTATTAGAAAAAAAAAAAAATTAAAAACTTTTGAAATACGAGAAAATCTGCCACATTTGCGGTACCATTTTGAATTTCGTTTATATAATGTCAAATTCGTAATCAGCGACCCCAAAAACCCCCGAATAGCGATTTTTAAACAAAAATGTTAAATTTAAAAAAAATCCTTCATAATGTAGCCGCCATTTTGAATTTTGCATAAATATTGTCAAATTTGTAACCAGCGACCCCAAAAACCCCCCGAGAAGCGAATTTTAAACAAAAATATTAAATAACAAAAAACATTCTTCATATTGGAACCGCCATTTTGAATTTTGCAAAAATAATGTCAAATTCGTAACCTGGGACGCCAAAAAACTTTGAAGTAGCGATTCTTAACCAAAAATGGTTAAATACATTAAAAAAAACTTTCATATTGAAGCCGCCATTTTGAATTTTGCAAAAAAGGATGTCAAATTCGTAACCAGGGACCCAAAAACCCTGAAAAATGGCGATTTTTTAACAAAAATGTTCAATTGCAATAAAAATTGTTCATATTGGAGCCGCCATTTTGAATTTTGCAAATATAATGTCAAATTCATAATCAGCGACACCAAAAACTCCCGAGTAGCGAATTTTAAATAAAAATGTTAAATTGCAATAAAAATCGATCATTTTGGAGCCGCCATTTTGAATTTTGCAAAAATAATGTCGAATTCGTAATCAGCGACCCCAAAAATCTTGTTTTTTTTATTTTTGAAATGTATTATATTTTCCGCGATAAAATATTGACTGCCGGAGGTGGATTGTGGAAGAAAATGTCGCCGTCACGACAGGTTGCCTACATAAAGGATTAACACTATAATGATAAATCAGGAAAAAAATTCAAGTTTGAAAAAGAATTAATACTAATTGTACTTTTTTAGTCATAATTTATTATAAATTATTATTAATTAGGTACTACAAAATTTTTTTTTTAATTTAATAAAATTTATTTTTGTTATATATTTTTCATTAACAATAATTCTTTTATTTATGTTTTTTCTATAATTTTGATTGTAAAATTGTAAAAAAAAATTTTTTATTACTTTTCATATTAAATTTCTTTATAAAATTAATAATGCATTGTTATAAAAAAAATGTAATAATCATCATATAGCATAAAAAAATTCAAAATTAGTGAAAGATATTTCAGTAATAAAATATCATTTCAAGTATAAGGGTTGCTGATTTCGAATCTAAACTCTAAAAATTCAAAATGTCAGATCTAATATGGCGGACGAATTTTCAAAAATTAATTGAATTCGCTTAAAAATCGTTACTCGGGAGTTTTCGGGTTCGCCGATTACGATTTTGACATTATTTTTGAAAAATTGAAAATGGCGGCCCTAGTATGAAGGATTATTTTGTAATTTAACATTTTTGTTTAAAAATCGCTAATCGAGGGTTTTTGGAGTCGCTGATTACGAATTTGACACTATATTTGAAAAATTCAAAATGGCTGATCCAATATGGCGGACGAATTTTTAAAAATTGATTGGATTCGCTTAAAAATCGTTACCTAGGGGTTTTTTAAGTCGCTGATTTCGATTCCGAAATCAGATTTAAAAAATTCAAAACGATGGATCCAATATGGCGAAGACGATTTTTTAAAAATTGATTGGATTCGCTTGAATTTTGTTATTCGGGGGTTTTTTGGGGTCTCTAATTTCGTGTCTAAAATCCGTTTTTCAAAAATTCGAAATATATTAGAAATAAATTTTTACGAGCAATAAATATATTAAAAATAAATTATTATAAGCAATAAATTAGAAATAAATTATTATTAGCGCAATAAATTAGAAATAAATTATTATTAGCGCAATAAATGATTATTAACAAAATGTTAATTTTGTAAGAATAAATAAAAAAACATTAATAGTTGAATATTTATCAGGTCAAAAATAAAAATGATAAACAAAAATTGCGCAATTTCTTTTTTATCATCAAAACATTGAAGTTTTCACAATCTTTTATTATTGTTCATCGAATGAAAATAATTTCCTGAAATTTTCCTTATTTCAAGGAAGTACAAATTCAACGGTATATAAAAACTGATAAATTTTGTGATAAAATATCAGTTTGAAAAAAATGTATCTTTCAATAATTGCAATTTTAACATTATTGTCCCTGGCAATTCTCACAGGAATTGTTGATGCTGCTGTTATTACAACGACAACACCAAGGACATGTTCAAAAAAGGGGGCAAAATGTGGCAGTAATAATGACTGTTGCAGTAAAAAATGTAAAAAAAGTGGATTAAGAAGTGAGTATTTTTTTAAATAAATTTCAGAAATCTTTTAGTATTTCCAAATTTATGCGATTAAAATTAATGTTTACATAGAAATTCAGTGTTTTTAATATTTTAATGTTTACTTTAGATTTTTTATTGTTATTTCTTTGCATTTGAACTGTTGAAAACATTTATTCCTAATAATAACAGTTACTTATTAGTTCCTAATTATTGATTATCACTTATTTGTTTGAAAAGTAAATATTAATTTAAAAACTTTTTTTAAAATAAAATTTAGTAAATATTTTTTTTATATTTTAAATTTTGTATTTTTTTTTAAATCTAATTCACTAAATTTTATACTATTAAGAATTATTTTATGTTAATATTATGATTAAAATCGACAATGAAATTAAATAGAAAATTAGACTTCGCACTCGATAATTAATTTTTAAAAAATATCAAAAAGTAGTAAAAAAATAGCTATCGAAAAATTAAACTTGATTATTTTTTATTATAATTTTTGAGAATAGCTTTTAGTAGCTGAAATCTAAAAAAAAGTACCCAAATAGTAGCATAACGTATAAAAATTAGTAAATAGTAGGTTTTTATAATTATAAGCAACGATGTTTAATACAAACCTTTCTTTTATTACAGGAAAGAAGAAGTGCCAATAAAAACTGTTTTCTCAATTCAACAATTTTTGGAAGTTAATTGAAGAGTACTTGCTGTACAAAATAAATAAAATATAAACTGTGTTAAAAAACCAGAAAATAAAACAAATTTTCATTTTTGGTATCAAAAATTTTTATTTACATTTTAAAATTTTAAAGAATTTTAAAAAAGAAAATATTTTTCGTTGAGACTATATAAAATAAACAGAAAAACAGTTACATAGTTTAAAGAAACGTAAAATTACATGAACTTAAGAAAATATCTTTAAAAAAAAAAAAAATAGTAATTGAAGATGAAAATAGTTCTTTTTCTTTTGTATTTTAAACTAAAACTAAATTCTGATTCTTAAAAAATTTTTATATTTTAAGAATATCTGTATAAAAAAATAAAATAAACTTTTTCCCTATATTCATCACAGTCATGTTTTTTCTCTGTATTCGAAAATTATTTTTTATTTTTATTTTTCCTTATAAAAATTTTCTTTCCTCTCGAATATTATTCACTTCTTCTTTAAGTCGCAAATTCTCGCATTGGATTTTTGTCTCGTTTTCCTTGAGTCGTTTGATTTCTTCTTTTAATAGTAAAATTTCACGATATAAATCGACGTTTAGTGGCGAATCTGATGAATCGGTTTGATTCGATTTGGTTCCATCCGATGATGATGATATTAATTCAGAATCTTTAGTTTCGTTTGTGGCCATATTTTCCATTTGTGGAAATTTAATGTCAGTTTTACTCAAAACTTCCCCAATATTTGGAATTTTAATTAAAACTTCGGAAGTTTGGGGAAAAATTTCCGAAGTCTGGTTCTTTAATTCAATTTCGAAACACTTTTCGTTCGGTGTATTTTCAGTTTCAAAATTACAACTCATGGATTCAGTTTTTTTATCTTCTGATGATTTTTCGACTTTTGGTGTTAAACATTCAGACGAAGTTTCCCTGGAAATTTCTTGATTCACTTTTTCTTCGGTAGCTTTCGATAAAGTTTCCCCTACAATTTGGTTAGTTTTACAAAGTTCCTCTTCTTTTTTCCCAGTCGAAATTTCAGAAACATTTTTTTCATCTCCCAATTCTTCTGATTCGAATTTTTCAGTTAGATTTTCCCTCGAACCCTTCACAAGTTTATTTTTATCATCGTCCATTTCAAAAGTCAAAGTTTTAACTTCCAGTAAAGAATTTTGTTCAGAATTATCTTCTAGGATTGAAGATTCTTTTTCTACTTTTGAAAAGTTCGCAAGTTCCGTATCCAAAGTTGGGTTTTCATCAACTGGAATTATATTTTCTTCTTCGAGGTTTTGCACATTTTTCATTTGCTCTTCGATGTTTTTATTTGTATCGTCACTAACATGATCCGCAAGATCTTCAATTTTTAAATTCCGCATTTTGGATTCAAGAGTTTTTTCTTCATTTTTAAAATCTGAATTTTCTTCATTCGAAAGTTTAGGACCCGAACTAGTCTCGGAATTAGTTTCTTTTGGTTTAAATCTTGATTCTTCTGTTTTAGTTTCCACTTTGATTGGACTTTCTGTTTGAAGTTTCTTTAAATTCACCAAAAGACCCTGAAAAACGGAAAGTGGTTGGGAATTCTTAACATCCGATGGATTTGGTTCTTTGTTTAAGGAATCATCTATTTTTTGGCATCTAAATTCTGTCGAAGTTTCTAGTAATTCCTTCTGAAGATTATTCGCTTCTTTCAAATTTCCATCATCATCAGCATCAGCGTCTTTATCAGTTCCTAAAGTCTGCAATTCGTCTTCAATTTCCGAAATTCCGTTTTTATTTTCTGAATTCGGAACTTTTGTTTCTAATTTTAAATCCATTGAACCGCCTACGAGTTCTTTCGCAATTGCAAATTTTCCGGGATTTTTAGGTTCAATTTCCACTTCTAAATTCTTCAAAACTTCTTCGGGCGTCTTCGTAATTTCAAACGTACCATCCTCTGATTTTTTAGGGTCACTTTCCGCTTCTAAATTCTTCAAATCTTCTTCGGCCGTCTTCGCAATTTCAAATGTTCCCTTCTCCGATGTTTTAGGTTCACTTTCCGCGTCTAAATTCTTCAAATCTTCTTCGGGCGTTTTCGCAATTCCAAAAGTTCCATTCACCGACTTCTTAGGTTCACTTTTCGCTTTTAAATTCCTAAAATAGTCTTCGAATCTTTTCGTAGTTACAAATGTTCCATTCGACGATTTCTTAGGTTCACTTTCCGCTTCTGAATTCTTCAAATCCTCTTCGGGCGTCTTCGTAACTTCAAATGTTCCATTCTCCGATTTTTTAGGTTCACTTTCCGCTTCTAAATTCTTCAAATCTTCTTCGGGCGTCTTCGTAATTTCAAATGTTCCCTTCTCCGATTTTTTAGGTTCACTTTTAGCTTCTAAATTCTTTAAATCGTCCTCTAGGCTTTTCGTAGTTATAAATGTTCCATTCTCCGAATTTTTTGGTTCACTTTCAGCTTCGAAATTCTTCAAATCGTCATCAAGGGTCTTCGTAATTCCAAATATTCCATTCCCCGATTTCTTAGCTTCACTTTCCGCTTCTAAATTCCGGAAATAGTCTTCGAATCTTTTCGTAGTTTTAAATGTTCCATTCTCTGATGTTTTAGATTCCTGGAGGCTTTTCGTATTTGTAAATATTCCACTCTCCGATTTCTTAGGTTCACTTTCAGCTTCCAAATTTTCCGTTTCAACTCCCCGTTTTTCATTTCCCGAAATCGAAATCGAATTCGAAGTAGAACTGCTCTTAAAATTCGCCAACATACTTTTTAGTTCCGCATTTGCATTGGTAACATTAAAGAAAGGATTTCGCCGTAGTTTTTCAGTTCTAGTCTCCGATTTTATCTCCTCTTTCCTAATTGGTAAATTTCCCGAAGTTAATGAATCCTTTGAATCATCCGCATTTTCACTTTTAAAACTTTCTTCGAAATCACTTCGATTCTTATTTTCTGCAGCAAGTTCCGTTTTCATTTTGAATAAGTTCTTCATTAATCCACTGAATACGGAATCTTTTCGAGAATCTTCAACAGATGCTTTCGATTCTTCATTTCTTAACTTTGTCTCACCAATGTCCTCCTCGGTTATTTTGGTCAATTTTCTATCAGAATTTTCGGTTTCTCCATTTGTTGAAATTTCTTGTTGATTAATTTCCTCCTTTACTTCGACATCTTCGAAACTTTCGTAAATCTGAACGTCGTCTGCCTCCTCATCGTTCTCGGTGTTTGAACTTCCTAGCAGACTTTCGAATATTTCGCAACATTTCTCATCTATGTCAGTTGGAGTCGTTTCGATTTTTTCTTTCTTGAAAAAATCCTTTTGATTCGTTTCGATATTTTCTTTCTTGAAAAACTCCTTTTGATTCGTTTCGATGTTCTCCTTCTTGAAAAACTCCTTTTGATTCGTCCCTTTCATGAAAAACTCCTTTTTATTCGTTTCGATGTTCTCCATCTTGAAAAAATCCTTTTGATTCGTTTCGATGTTCTCTTTGGGAGGATCCTTCGCCGTACACTTAACGAATTGAAAATCAGGTTCCTCTAACTGTTTCCTTCTGACAGACGAATTCTCCTTAAATCCACAATCTTTCAGTAGGTACTTCAATTCTGAACTTGCGGCAAAAACGCTAGAAATCGGTCTTCTTGGTTCTTCCCATTCCTCGTTTACTTCCGGCACTTCATTCTTTTCAACTTCCTCATTCTTCGGTTTCGTGAATAACAACTCAGCCAATTTTTTCTCCAACTCATAACTTCGGGACAAATCGGCCTGAAAAATATCGATTTTCTCATCCTTCGACGACTTCCATTTCAGATAAATAACAACACACTTATTCAGATATCGTAAACATTCGGTTTCAAAATCCCTCAGGGGTTCTAGAGACGCGAAGGGATTCAAATAAGCAAACTCCGGTGCCACTGGTGTTTCGAACATTCGCGAAATCTTTCGATTATCATCACAAGCCCGTTCTTTGGTACCCGAAGTCATAATAAATGGAACTCCCAATTTTTTAGCAGCCAAAACGTCATTAATACAACTACAGTCTTTTAATTCACACTCATGAATATCTAAATCATAACCAATTATTATATCCGGTTTATTGAAAAATTTCCCCATTGAAAACTCTCCATACGTCAAGGGATATGATCTTAGCCGCAACGAATTCGAACTAGAATTTAAACTTTTTGTTCCCACTCCCAAGTAGATGATCGAAACGTTCTTTAATTTTTTCAACCAAACAAAGAGAATGTTCCAAAATTCTTCACCGGCGTGCTTCGAATTATGTGCACCAATCACGTGAACAACCATCGATGTGAATTCCAACTGTAATTTCTCCAAAGCAAACAAAAGTGTCAATGGTCTCGTCAACAGTTCGCCAATCAATATTTTCTCAATGCTACTAAACGGACGATCATTTTGACAAACTATCCAATCGGTTAGAAATTTCTGCATCGAGTCTGGCAGTTTATTATCAAATCCCGTAACAAACTGAAATTCCGGTAGTTGTACAACTTCCTCGTTCTCATGCAGCAAGTAACAAAGGTACAAATCACTGCAAATTGTCTTATGACCCCGAAAGTCCTTATGCGTCTTACAAAGTGTGGTTCCACATCTACAAATAAAGAGCTTTTGTAAATCGCTTTCATGACACGCGAAACAAGTTTTTGGGAATAAAAACATTTGCTGCTCGAATAGCAAAAGTTCCCGATCAAATTCGCTTTCGACTTTCGCTAAAATACTCAGTTTTGCCTCCAACCATTTTTCCGGATCGACCTTTTGGCAGTTCATCAGATCAAGTTCGCCGGCGAAAATACTTCTTCTCCCCGAAGCGAGAAGTAATTTCTGTATTAATTTACAAAGATCCTTGTGTAGATACCAATCTTCCCTTCGATGGACTTCGGAACAGTAGAAAACCATCTGACAGTATCTACAGGTAATAATGGAAGATTTCGCTCTACAGGCGCGACAAATATGGGAGAAGAAAAAATGCTGTTGATTCCAAAATTCCCCGGCTTCTTTTTTAAGTAAAAGGGGCGACTGATTGGGAAAGTGTTTCGCGCGACATTTCTCGTTTCGTCCCTCAGCGATTATTAGGTACTGATTTATCTTCCCAATTCCGTAGTTCGTCCATTCGCGTAAAGGTTCCAAGGCACCGAAACAATTCAAACCTTCGTATCTCAAGTTCGTGAAGAAGGTTGTTTTCAAACTCGCCCCAACTTTTTTCGCTTTACTTTCGGTAACGCAAGTTAATACCAAAGGACATCCCACCCTACTGATAACCTCCCGTAAATTTTCCCACTCGTTATCCTCGTTCCCTTCGACCGGCATCAGGGCAATTAGATCCGGTTTCGTGAACAATTCATCCTCGACGAATTTCTCATAAGCAAGATCCTTGGTTTGTAAAATTAACTTCTTCTCCCCCTCGCAACATTCACTGCAAAGTTTCATTTTCATCTTACTCGCTTCCGGCTGATCAACGAATATTATCCTCAAAAAAAGCAAATTCGGCAGAAAGTGAAGCAGCAGCTCCCAAATATCCGAATCTGGTAATTCGCAACGAACATGTAGGGTTAATTCCTTAGCACCCTCGAGATTTAATTTCCTCACCGCGTTATAAAGAGTCAAGGGCATACTCAGCATGTTTGATGCACAACTCTGAATCAAAATTGCATCACCCCCTGTAATATATTCCCGCAAATATTCCTCCATACTTTCGGGAATATTTTCCCGAAACGTAACCTCTACGATACTTTTAATAATCGACAGTATAATTCGTAATTTATTCGGATCTTGAACTTCGCCGTCCAAGTCCCTGAACAATTGTAATGATTCACAGTCTTTGTCATGTTCCGAACTCGATTGATGTAATTCGCAAAAATTCACGCATCTACAATTGGGGCAATTTGTTAAGGATTCTTGCTGCGTGTTATGGCAGACGAAACATGATCTTGGCATTAAAATTATTTGTTCTTCGTGCAGGAGAAGAGGACGACCGAGTAAGGTTTCTATCAATTGGGACATTTGCTCGCGTTCTTTGATCCATGTTTCTAAATCTGAATTCAGTTGTTTTTCGTAAATGTGTGATGTTCCGGTTTCTTTGAGTACAAAAAAAATTGCGTTACAAAATTCTTTATGATTGGACCAATCGAGCTTTTGGTGTTTTGATCCACAGTATGAGATCATATTACAACTACCGCATATTTTTAGGGTTTCTGTGGATTTACAGATAAAGCATTCGTTTGAAAAGAAGGACATGATGATGATACATCTGGAAACAAAATGAGAGGATTCTTTGTTTAATTTATTTTTCTGTTTGGAGAAAATTAAGAACTAACATTCAATACTGAAGTTTTGAGGCTAATAATAAGAAGACGAAAAACAGATGATTAACACCTTTGTTTAATATTTATATCAACGATATAACAAATTATATTAACTCTGTTATTTTACTTTTCGCAGATGACGTTAAGTTATTCAGGGTTACAGACTTCGCACTCGATAATTAATATAAAAAAATTTGCAAAAAGTAGCTTTCAAACTAAAAAAATTGGTAAAAAAGTAGCTATCGAAAAATTAAACTTGACCAAAAAAACTCGTTTTAGACACTTCAACAAAACTGACAAAAATACCATTCTATATTTGATTTTCATGACTTTTTCCTAATTTTCATTAAAAATATTTACTTCTTTCTTATCCTGCTAATAAATTTAATTCCTGCAAAGAATTTTATTATTCATGAAAGAATTTAAATAACTATAAAAATAATTTAATTCTTGTTAAGAATTTTATAAAATTTTTTAAATAATTGATTTCTTTCGACTAATTTTATGGAAATTCTAATTTAAATAAATGAATTCATGAGAAATTTTTATTATTCATGAAAAGAATTGAATTCTTACGAGGATTTTTACAAAATTTTTTTTAAATAATTGAATTCTGTTTGGAAATTGTATGAAAATAGTAGTAAAATAGTAGATAATAAAAATCATTGAATTGCGAAAAGTTTTTAAAAATAATAAAATTTTACAAAGAATTCTATTGAAATTTTCGAGAATAATAGAAACTGTCTGTGGCATTTTATTATATTGTTTTGAAAATATTTGAATTCCTAAAAAGCATTTTATTATTTATGAAAATAATTGAATTCTTGCAAACGATTTTACTAGAATTTTTTTAAATAATTGAATGTCCAAGAAAAAATGTATTACTTTTAGAAATAATTGAATTCTTGAGATGAATAGTGTTATTTATGAAAATAAATGAATTTTGCAAAGAATTTTATTAAAATACCTCAAAATAATTGAACTATTAAAATCTAAAAAAAAATAATTAAATTATTTCAAAAAAATTTAATTACAATTGTATTTAAAATAATTGATTTCTTTCGAATAATTTTATTAAAATATTTGAAAATAATTGTATTCCTGTGAAAATTACCAATATCTTTGAATATAATTGTATTCTTCAAAAACAATTTTAAAAAACATTTTCTTAAATAATTGAATTTTTCGAGAAATTGAAATAACATTTTTAAGAATAATTACATTTTTTGAGCAATTCCTGTAAAATTATATTAAAAATAATTGAAATCCTGCGATGAGTTTTATTATTTATGAAAATAATTGAATTTTTACGAAGATTCATACAAAAATTTTTTTAAATAATTGAATTCTGTTTGGAAATAATCAAATTTTACAATGAATTCTATTAAAATTTTTGAGAATAATTGAATGTCTGTGTTGCATTTTATTAAATTTTTTAAAAAAATAATTGAATTCCTAAAAAGCATTTTATTATTTATGAAAATAATTGAATTCTTGCAAACGATTTATTAGAATTTTTAAAAATAATTGCATTTTCAAGGAAAAATTCATTACTTTTAAAAATAATTAAATTCTTTTGATGAATATTGTTATTTATGGAAATAATTGAATTTTGCAAAGAATTTTATTAAAATGCTTCAAAATAATTGAATTTTCGGGAATAATTTTAATTGTCAACATAATTCAATTCTTTGGAAGAATTTTATTAAAATCTAAAAGAATAATTGAATTATTTCAAAAGAATGTAATTAAAATTTTATTTGAAATAATTAATTTCTTTCGATCAATTTTATTAAAATATTTGAAAATAATTGAATTCCTGTGATGAATTTTTTTATTTATGAAAATAATTAAATAGTTGCTAAGAATTTTATTAAAATTTTCAAAAATAATTGAATTCCTGAGACGAATTTTATTATTTTTAAAAATAATTGAATTTTTAAGAAAAAATTAATTACTTTTTAAAATAATTGAATTCTTTTAAATAATATTTTTATTTATGAAAATAATTGAATTTTGCAAAGAATTTTATTAAAATACTTCAAAATAATTGAATTTTCGGGAATAATTTTGTTATTTATCAACATAATTGAATTCTTTGGAAGAATTTTATTAAAATAAAAAAAAATAATTGCAATGTTTCAAAAAAATTTCTTTAAAATTGTATTTAAAATCATTGATTTCTTTCCAACAATTTTATTAAAATATTTGAAAATAATTGAATTCCTGTTAAAAAATTTACTATTTTTGTAAATAAATGAATTCTTTTAAAGAATTGTAAAAAGTCATTTTTTAAAATAATTGATTTTTCCGAAGAATTGAAATTAAATTTTTAAGAATAATTACACTTTTTGTGCAATTCCTGTAAAATTGGATTAAAAATAATTAAAATCCTGCAATGAATTTTATTATTTATGAAAATAATTGAATTATTGCGAAGAATTTAATTAAAATGTTTTAAAAAAATTGAAATTTCATGAAAAATGTTATTATTAGTGAACGTAATTGAATTTTTGTGAAGAATTGTATAAAAATTTTGTAAAATAAGTGATTTTTTCGAAATTTTTTTTTAAATAATTGAATTCTTTTGCGAAATTTTATGAAAATACTGGTTATTGAAAATCATTGAATTTCGAATATTTTTTGCAAATAATTGTAGTCAATTTAAAATAAAAGCAAAAATTATTTTTGTCGAAAAGGAATGTTTTCTAAACATCTTCCAAAATGGTATAGTTTATTTATAACGAATTCTTAAAATGGTACAATATAAATACAATTTAAAAATCGATTTTTCATTATTTAAAACCTCGGGAAGTCTTTTAACAGAAAATGTATCATTTAGCCCCAAACTTCCTTTATTGATATACATTTTTTTATCTGAAAAGCGTTTTAAAATAATGTAACCGGCATTATCAGTCGAAAGTATACTTAAAATAGTTCCAAGGAATTCAATCTTTAAAAATATTTTATTTTCAGACAAAAATTCAATATTATGTTAGTTCTTATATTTTCTACTAGAGTTCGCAAAAATAATACTTTTTATCCACTTCTAATACAACCGGTCAAAACATTGTTTACATCGTTTACATTATACCCGGTCTTTTTTTACAACAAAGAAAACTTAGTATTTAACAATGAAAAAAGACAGAAAAAATATTTTTTATTAAGTAGAAAGGTATAATTTACATTTTACAACTTTCAAAAAGAAATAAGTCTTTTTTGTAAAAGAAAAAGTGTTAATACTCACGTGTTTATTACTACTGTATATTATTGCAATTTTTTAGGTTATATTTATAGTCATTTATTGACATTAATAAAATTCTGTTTCTCTGTATTTATAATATAACTACAGAACAATTTTTTTCCTTTGTACTTTGCTTTTCGGTTGAATATCCTTGTTTTTAATTAAACAGCAACAGTCTTATGAATATTTATTCCTGAGTTTTTATTATGGTGAAAAATAATTTATCTGACGAAAGTATGTAGATGTACACGAATGGAAAAGTCCAATAGGATAAAGTGGAGTTGAGTGATGGTACGAGAGTGTTTCGGCGAATCGTCAACAACCGGGGCACTACGATCGTTTAGCGAAACTGAAGGATTTTTATTGTTGGTCATTATTTCTTAATGTTTCTTTACTTCATGCTGTCTTGACAGTTGACAGTTATTAATTATTAAGGGTGGAGTCCCATGACAGCGTTTTGCGTTGCGTCGTAATGGGAGAAAAAAAGACGCAAATATACGTTTGCTGCATTCTCTCTCATTACAACGCAACGCAAAACGCTGCCATGGGACTGCGGCCTAACGGTCCAAGAAGACCGTTAATAAGTTAGAGTGGATAAAAGAAAAGGAAGACTTGTGGAGGAAAATGTATGAATTGAAAGAACGTTTAATGGAAAATGAAGAGAAGGAGAAGGGGGAAGTTAGAATGTGTCTATGGAGGTGAAAATGGGGTACCATTCGTACCATTTGTCAAATTTTTCAAAAACACATTTTTTAAACAATTTTTTTCTATTAATCCCATTAAATGTCCATAATATATTATACGGTAATGGAAACTAGAAAATTTAAGCTTTATTTTCATATACTTTTGATAAAAATCGACGGGAAGGTGGAGGGGTGTTTTTAGATATTAAGAGAAGTTTAAACTTTCAAACAGGAATTTCTCTACGAAATTGAGAGAAATTTTAAAAAATAAAAATAGCACTAAACAGTTGATGAAATTCTCTTTCAATTCAGTGTATAATATGTTACAAATAATTAAATTTTTAAATAATAAAATTTATTAGAAAATCGCTCTCCTTGCGATTGTTTTTTGTCGGTGGAACGATTTGAAATGAAATGCCTTACATATTAAATATTTCTCATAATTTAATTCTAATAAAAAATTTTATTAAAAAATTTTTTTAATAAATGAATTGTTTTGGCGAATTTTAATAGAATTTTGAAGAACAATTACATTTTTCAACGAATTCGATTAAAATTTTGTATTAAAAATAATTGAATCCTTGTAAAAAATTGTTATTATTTATGGAAATAATTGAATTATTACAAAGAAATTTATAAAAAAATATGTAAATAACTGAATTCCTGTGAAATTTGTATTATTTAGAAAAATAATTTAAGAAAATAGGAAAAAATTGAAACGTGCGAATAAAAAAAATGATGAAAGGGACAGAGAAATTTTAAATTTCTTAATTGAGAATGCACAGAATGTAGATAAAGTGGGAGTTAGAGTGGATAAAAGAAATGGAATAAGACTTGTGGAGGAAAATGTATGAATTGAAAGAACGTTTAATGGAAAATGAAGAGAAGGTTAAGGGAAGTTAGAATGTGTCTATACAGATGAAAATGGGGGAATTATCGAGGCGAGTGGATGTCATGGAAAGAGATAAAAGAAAAAAGAACATTGTGATCAAGGGTAATGAATGTAAGTGCAATGGAGGGTAAGAGAAGAGGTGGAAAAGGTGTTTGGGTGGATGGGGGTCAGTGTAAGTATTAAAACGGTACAAGCGATAGGAATGGTCGAGAATGGTGTGCCAAAGTTATAGTTGGTGGAGTTGGGTAGTGAGGAGAAAAAGAATGTGATGAGGCTAAAAACGAGGTTGAAAGGAAGTGTGATAAGAATTGATGAGGATAGAACGTGGAGAGAAGGAAGAATTATATGGCTATTGAGACAGAAAACATGGAATAAAAGAAATAATGGAAGAGTGGTACGAATATTAGGTAAAGAATGTATTTGGATAGATGGGGTGAAAAGATCAAGGAGTAGACAAAATGTGGTTGGAATGATGAATGTGCATGAGTGAATAGAAGTAGTTTGGTTGGTCAAAAATATTAAGGTTAAGAGTAAGCCAAAAAGTGGTGGGCAAAATGGAATAAAGCCAGTAAAGGCCCGCAATTGGAACTGGAAACGAAAGCCCTGGCATTGGCGATTTTTGATAGGTTATGGTATTTTTTTGTAAGGTTAATAAAGAAGCGTATATAGAATAAGTGTGTTCATAATATTTAAAAATATGTAATAATTTTTGTATTTTAGACCTAAAAATAGTCTTTAGGCTCTTTTCACAGTTTGAAGGTGAATTCACGAATCCCTTCCCTGTTGATGATCTTTATACTAATCCTTCCCCACCTGGTTGCCAGGCAACACGACGCTATAGAATGCAATGTATACAGTCAAACTTGAGTCACGTGTATAATATATAGATATATGTATGCGTGTGTTCTACTAGTTCAATATTGAGCTCAGTAGGTTCAGTTCTGAGGGGATTCGCAGTTTTCTAATATTCCACAATGTATATATGGTATATATTTTCAGTCGTATAAAGAAAAAAGTGAAACAAAGTATAATAAAATTTCAGGCAGTGAAAAATCGTTATCAACGTTGTAAATTATTAACATTGTAATACTCATTTGAAGGCAAGTCTTTACTTTATTTAATTTTTTAATCCCCTTTCCTTGAATCAATGCAAACAAAAAACGCGCAGTAATTTCTTGTTCTGTATTCAAAATGGAATAAATCCCTTAAACTGATAATATACTAAAAATAAAAAAAAGGAAAATTGTTTTTTTTCAACTTCATTGTTTATAAAATAGATATATTTATAAGTCGAATATATCCATGTATTATAAAAATAAATTAAGTTACCGCATTTCTCAATTTTTATCCTCCTCACTAAATTTAAATACTTTTTTCTTTAATAAATTGTTTCAAATCTCTTCTTTTTACACTAATTTTATGATATTTTGAAGAATTGAATTAGTTTTCATTCATGATAATCAATTAAAGTAATTAGAATCATCAATTTTTAAGTCGTTTCTCACAGAATCATTAACCTAATTTTAGATTATTAAGAATGTCAATGGGGGTCTGAATTAATTGACGTTTATTGTATTTGATGACTGTAACAAACTTGTTTTTATGTAAAATCTATATTTTTAAAAGTGATAAACTGCTTTAAGATATTTTTGGAGTTTATCATTTTATTTATTTATATAATTTTCCCCGCGGCGTATGTGTACTACCATAGGGTTTTTACATGCGGATCTTTTAGTGAAAAAGTGCACATGACTTAAGAAACATATACCTAAGTGTAACATTACAATTTATAAAAATAATAATAATTGAAATTAATAAAAGAAAATTTAAGTTTATGACGCAAAAGTATTTAGATAATTTGCATTCACGCAGGCTCAATACACCTATTATAATAGTATACTATTATAAAATTTCAAAAATTTAAATTGTGCCTTTATTGATGATAGTCAGTTTCGATTGAAATATTATTTATCAGTTTTGCTTTATTTATTCTTATTTATTCGTCTACTATTTATTATATGTGTTTTATTAGTTATTATTTTTACTAATTGGATTATTTATTAGATTTTTTAAAAATTTTATATGGCACCAATGTGTGGGTGTAATCATTTTTAAATTTAACGAATTTTTATTTTATTTATGCCTTGAGTTCTGACTGTTACTATATAATTTAACTCCCTAAAGAGAAAATAAATTTTGAAAATTTAAGAAAAAGAAAATTAATGTTTTTACAATTGTACTTCATGTTTTGCTAATTGTTTATAAAATTCTTAAACATTGTTAAATAATTTTTAATGAATTTTTATACTTTCAATATCCATTCTCATTTCAAGAATAAGAATTGCTGAAAAAATATTTTTTTTCTACCACTTTGGCCTGTAGTTTTTAATTTGTTTAAATAAATTGTTTATAATATTGTTAAATGACATCAAATAACAATATTTCGTTGTAATAACACGACATTATTCAACTGAAGCATTTAAGTAAAAAAATATATAAATATTTGGAATTTTTTCATATTTTTACAAATTTAAAAATTTTGGCTGCCATTTTTGAGGCGCCATTTTGAATTTTGAAAAAAAATTTTGGAATCATGCACATCTGATAGTTTCAACATTTTAGCTCCGCTATTATAAATAAATAATATTTAAATAATTTTATTATTCAATCATCTAGAAAAAATATGACAATTAAACAATAATCAGAAGAACGGACACTCGCTGTAAAAAAATAATGTCCTTACAAAGCAGGATATCTGAAAACTACATTATTTTTTATTTTTTTCTTATTATCATTCTTAATGTCTTTTTATTTATTATATCTATTATAATTATTACTATTAATATGATTATTATTTTTATTCTTGTTTATAATAATTTATTCTATACTGTTGATTTCAATAATTCTTTATCTAATATGTTTATTTATAAATTAATCAGGATAGTTTATTATTACATTGTAAATGCTGTACTAAAAATAATATTTTTTTGTATTGGAAAACATTTATCAGAATGTATTTATGCAATTCCATTAAAGTTCTTTTTTATGTGCACCTTGATAATTTTTTTTAATACACCTCGATATATATAAAAAAATGATAACGCTATACATTTTTTTTAATAATAATAAGCGATACATTTATAATTTGTTAAATTATTATTTTTTATTACAATTTCTTGTTAAATAATATTTGTTATTACAATTTTTTGTTAAATATTATTCGTTATTGCAATTTTGATAAATATTATTTGTTATTACAATTTGTTGTTAAATATTATTTGTTAATACAATTTGTTTGAGGAATTCTATTATAAATTGGTTGGACTATAATTTCAAATAATATATAATAATTAGTTTTAATAATATTACCATTATTATTATCTTACTATGGTTGTTAATATAAATAGTTAAAAAGATGTTATAAGCATTAAAACAAAAATAATTTAAATTATGAAAACTTATTTCTATTATAGGTACAATTGTTTTATAATTGATAATTAAGTTTAAAATTAAAAACATAAAATTAAAGGAGTAAATAATAATAATAAGAATAATAATAATAATAATATAAAATAATATAATATACAATAATAATAAATAATATTAAACAAATATTCTAAGTCAAAAGACTTTTCTTTTAATTAACAATATTACTATTAATACATTGTTAATTAAAATTAAATTATGATTTGTTTTTTTATTTTTAATTATTTTTCAACATCCTCTTTATTTTTTTAACGCTACCATATTATATGAGTCACGCTTCGATATTAAAAATTAATAAAAATTTCTTTAGTTAATTAAAAAATATTACTGGTCTAACCTGTATGTATCATTATGTAATAAAAAAATTAAATTCAAAATAACTTTTTTAAATGAAAAATCACGAAAATATTTTTACAAAAATCTGCAGTACAAAAAGGACTTTGTAACTTTTTGTAAGCCCCCATTATTTATAATGCGTAAATAAATAAATTATTATTCCTGCGTTTATTATAATTATTTAAACTGAAACTATTATTTATTGTTATATTATCCACTAGTATAAAAAGTTAATTTTATCATCTACTTTTTTCTTGATTTTTTTTTTTTTTTAATAGGAAAGAATTAATTACTATGCATCAACCTTATAGAATAAAATAAATACGATTGGAATTTAAAAAAAATAAATTTCGACGCGAAAATAGTATTGTTTTTATAAGTAAATAATATAATAAAAGAAATTTATACATTTATCGAAACAATTTTTCCAACTTGAAGAATTTTTTTTTCTGCCTCTTCACTGTGGTATGCGGTTTATAAAAAAAGAAAAAAGAATTATGAAGTAGCGGCTCGCAGACTTCAATATTTTAAACGAGTTGCGTCTAAACAATTATTATACCCTCTCTTTCTTTCTTCCTCAATTCCTTTATACACTGCTTGTTTAGAGAACTCACAACAGGATAAAGACTTGAAGTATATCTTGTCTCTATATTTCACCTTTATTTTATCTGGAAAAATTTTGAAATTCACATGCAAAATCGCGTGTAATTTCTATACATATTGAAACAGAAAATATTTAAAAAATTGAAATTTTTTACTAATTTAAACAATTGTTATATTTACAAGTTAAATAATTAATGTAAGTAACTAAATCCAATTTACAAAAATATTAAAAAACAAAAAAAGTTTATTAAAAATAAAAGTGCATGAATTTTTTTTTATAAATTAAAATTTAATAAAATAAAAGTAAATAAATAAATAAAAATAAATAAGTAAATAATCAAGTAAACTACATACTTAATTATTTTTTAATAAATTTGAACAGTTTTCTTTAATATTAAAGAATTGTTTAATTTTAATTTTTTGTTATTCTTTTTACATATTTTTATTACTATTATTATTTTCTATATAATTATATATTATCTTATTTTTCATTTATTTAGAAAACATAATATAACATAACAATTATAATAATTTTTATTATTATTATATTATTAATATTATGTTTATTACTACCTATTTTATATATTTTAAACCAATAAATAATAAAATAAATATAATTATTTAATAATAATTGTTAATAATAAATAAATCGTAAATATGTTCAACTTTTAATTTTCACGAGTTTTTAAAATTTTTATTTCTAAATAAATAAATAAATTGTAAATAATATTATTTACGACTATAATTGAATATTAAATTATATACTTATGTGGCATTCCACGTCAAGTGATCCGGGTCAAAAATTTACATGGAATATTCGAAAAATTTGTAGTTTCTTTAAAACAAAACGAAAAGATGTTTTCTATTTTGGGTTTTTTTGCTGTTTTCCAGCACTTTCTAATGGTGTAAACAAATTAAAAAAAAAATTTTTTGACCTTGAAAAATTCAATTAAAAAATAAAATTTCATTTTTTTATCAAATGAACATTTTTTATTTATTTTTTAAAATTTTTTCATAAAGGTGAGATTTTTTCCTAAAAAAATGTATAGGTCAAAACGTGGGACAAGAATTTTTAACTGGTCAAATTAAGCATTTACTTCTGCAATGCACCGGCCCACAGTGGAATTTTTTTTACAATTTACTATTAAAAAATGTCTACAGCTTACAATTTTTAACCGATTTCAGTGTTCTTTGTCTTAAATTAAAGGGGAATAAATTCTTAAGTCATCCTTCGAGGCCGATTTTGGGGATTTTAATTGTTTATAATTTTTTTTTTTTTAATCAAAGTTAACAAATTAATACACTTTTTTTAAAAATGACGTTTATTTTCTTACTTCGTTGCTGCACATGATCTAAATCAATTCAAATTGATCCAATATGACCACCTGATAATTAATAAAGCATAAAATAATTTATTTCAATTGTTATAAACAATATATGTTTATTTTGACCAGTTAAAAGTTCTTGTCTCACGTTTTGACCTAAAACATTTTTTTAGGAAAAAACCTTACCTTTATGAAAAAAATTTAAAATAAAAAATGTCCATTTGATAAGAAAATAAAATTTTATTTTTTAATTGAAATTTTCAAGGTTTTGTTTAAATAAATTAATAATATTTGGTATTTTTAATTGTATCTAATAGGACTACTGTTTGTGCAAACTTTTAACCTGATCCCAAACATTTCAAATTTGGACCCGGATCACTTGAGGTGGAATGCCACATATAGGTAATATTAATGTACAAACTAATCAGTTCTATAATATAATTATAGCTTTTAAATTTATAATTGCATGTCTTAGATAATTATGTTTAACAAACATTGTTATAATAATTAAGCGTCTATTATAATATCGCTTGTTTACTAAAAAGTCAACTGTAAATATTATCTTCTAATTACTAACAACTTTGTTCAAAAACTCAATTCTTTGCCATGTAGGGAAAATAAATGGCAAATTATGAAAAAAATATCACTGAAGCTTTGGTTTTTAAATTGTTAATAATGATTAATTATAAAGTTGTATTAATAATAAATTTATATTGATAATTTATTTTTACTATAATAAATATTTATTTTATTAATTAATTAATTTTATTTACATTCATATTTAATAATAACAGACTTTCGCCCCCCAATTAATTAATATTAAAAAAGTACCTATCGAAAAATTAAACTTGACAATAAAAAAAACTCATTTTAGACACTTCACAAAACTGACAAAAATATTCTATTCTATATTTTATTTTCCTAATTTTTTCCAAATTTTCATCAAAAATATTTATTTTTTATTCTGTTAATAAATTAAATTCCTGCAACGAATTTTATTGTTCATAAACGAATTTAAATATATTTATAAAAATAATTGAATTCTTGCCAAGAATTTTATTCAAATCCAAAAGAATAATTGAATTGTATCAAAAAAATTTAATTAAAATTGTATTAAAAATAATTAATTTCTTTCGAGCAATAAATTTTATTAAAATATTTGAAAACAATTGAATTCCTGTGAAAAATTCTAGTATTTTCGTAAATAATTGAATTCTTCCAAAGAATTTAAAAAAAAAATTTTTCAATCATTGATTTTTTCGAGAAATTGAAATTAAATTTTTAAGAATAATTACACTTTTTGTGCAATTCCTGTAAAATTGTATTAAAAATAATTGAAATCGTGCGATGAATTTTATTATTTAAGAAAATAATTGAATATTTGCTAAGAATTTTATTAAAATTTTTTAAAAATAATTGAATTCCTGAGAAGAAATTTATTATTTATGAAAATAATTGAATTACTATTGCGAAAACTTTTATTCAAATTTAAAAAAAAAAATTGAATTTCTGTGAAAAATTTTGTTATTTTTGAAAATAATTGAATAATTCATAACAATTTTATAAACATTGTTTAAAATAATATTAATTTTTTCGAACTATAATAAATATTATGAATTATAAATTTATTTATAAATATTATGAAAATTTTATTTTAAAATAATTGAATTCTTGTATAGAATTTTATCGAACATTTTTTTTTTTTAATTGTATTTCCATGAAAAATATTATCATTAGTAAAAGTAATTGAATTATTGTGAAGAATTGTATAAAAATTTTGTTAAATAATTGATTAATATTATTACTATTAGTAATTATTAATTCGCTGTAGAAATAATTTCCATGCATAGTTTTTTTTAAATATAAAATGTTGGAAATTCTTTTTACACACAACGAATTAATAGAAATTTTCCTAAAGATGCGTATCAAGAATTTTTCTATCAATCAGTTCCAAAGTGTAATATTTTAAGATCAGTTAATCTATCGCCAATCTTATGAAAGCAACGCGACATTTTGAGGCGTGAATAAGTATGTATTATATAAATATATAATATACTTTATTTATTATCAGCATATTATTGTTAATTAATCCTTTAATTATACACTGGTAAAGATTAAATAGTTAATTAATTAATTAACTTTCAATTAGGTTCGTAATTAAATGTTAAACATTTATTTGTTGTTTTATCCTATAAATGATGTAATTAATTTTATATTTGCTAATTTTCAATTTTTTAATTCATGCGAGGAAATTTTTTTAAGTACTTCAAATGTCAGTGTGACGTAGGTAAAGTTACGAAATACGAAAGGGCTTGTCTCGATAATAAATATAAATAAATATAGTTTATAAATTATAAACATTATTTGAGTGTGTATTGAAAATATTGAAATACGTGGAAGAAAATTCAAGGGGGTCAAAAAATATTTTCTTTAACTTGACAATGATGCGTATTCCTCATGAATATTAAAACCATATCAATTTATAGTCACTACACTTATTGAGTATGTTAATAAATACCAATTTATTGTCAATCGTTCATCGTATATATAATCTCAAGTTGATTTGATAACGGTATATAAAATTTTGCCTATAGTTTTTTTTTATTTCTTAAACATTTTTTTCTGAATCTAAATAAAGTATTTTTTTTGTCTGATTTTAATGTTAAAGAAAAGGAAAATAGATCTTTTTGTATAAAAAAAATGTTAATGAATTTTCATCGTATTTTTTTAAAAATTGTATATTTATGAAAAGATTATAAATTATAAGTATAATAATTGTGATTATTTCATTTATTATTTTCTTAATTCTTTATTAAATTTCGAAAATTATGAGTTGTGCTTCTTTTACAACTGTTTAGTTGACATTAGACAATTTATTTTATATTATTTGTCTCCTCTAGGCAATTTATTGTAATCGTAAGAATCAGGCGATACATTTAAAAATGGATTTTTAATTGCATGCTTGCGGTGGTCTGATGTCTTTAAATATCGTATGATGATCATTCGATTTATTTCTTCATAAAAGAATTAAATTCATAAAAATTTTTAAGTATGAAAAATTATTGTAAAATTTACAATTTATAAAATTAATAAAATTCGAAAAATAATTGTATTTATTATTTTATTCATTGTTTTCTTTATAATAAATATTGAAAATATTAACTAATATTAACTTAGAATATATCAAGAAAATAATTTCAATATTCCATAGAATTGTATTTATACTATTTTTTAGGAATTCAATGGTCATAAAATAAAATAGGGCAGAAATATTTTGACCCTTTTTGAATTTTTTTTTTATTTAAAAAAGAGATTGTAGATTTTCAGATCTGTACTTAATTTTGTAGAAAGTATTTTTTGTATTAAAAAAAAGAAAAACAATGTTTTTTTTTTACTAAACAAATGTTTAGTATTAAAAAGTTGTAAAAATCCATTTTTTCAGTCAAAATTGTACTGACTCATTTTTTTCAAAAAAATGATTACCCCGGATTGTTTATTTTTGGCAACTAATTTGTTAGGCCAATCTCTGCGGTAATGCAAGGCAGAGTTAACCCATGACAAAGCTGGAGCAAGCCCCAAAAAATCTTCGCCGGTTTTAAAAAATCAATTCGATATTCTGACTCTCCAATGGAGAGCGTATCAGATATCAAGCTGATAAGAACAGATACTACACTTTGATCTTAGCCATAGGCCTCGAAGCGATATTGAGAATGATTTTTCAGCTCCTTATATACTTTTTAAGCGTGATGTTAACTGCGAGAAAGTCGTCTCTGCGCCCCTAGCTTAATTCGATCGCACTATTTCCCCTCCCTAATGCAAAATGCATGCAGCGGATAGTTCGATCGCAGTATGACCAAATTTTTTAAAATGCAATTTTTTTATGAACACTAAATACCTACACTAAATATTTTTAAAACTGCAAAATTTGCAGAATATTAATGTATTATAACGAATTGTTGAATAGTGTATTCTTTGAGAATGTACGTGCGCCATTCTAAATAAATTAACAAAAAAAAAAAAAAAAAAAAAGGAGGTAGAGAAACGAAAAACTATTTTTAATATAGAATGTCTGTATGGTATTTTATTAAATTTTTTTGAAAATAATTGAATTTCTAAAAAACGTTTTATTATTAATGAAAATAATTGAATTCTTAAGAACGAATTTATTGGAATTTTTTAAATAATTGAATTTCCAAAAAAAATGTATTACTTTTAAAAATAATTGAATTCTTTCGAAGAATCATTTATGTAAATAATTGAATTCTTAGGAAGAATTTTATTAAAATCTAGAAGAATAATTGAATTATTTCAAAAAAATTTAATTAAAATTTTATTAAAAAGAATTGATTTCTTTCGATCAATTTTATTAAAATATTTGAAAAGAATTAAATTCCTGTAAAAAATTCTAATACTTTTGTAATTAATTGAATTCTTCGAAAGAATTTTTAAAAAACACTTTTTTAAATAATTGATTTTGTCGAGGAATTAAATTGAAATTAAATTCTTAAGAATAATTACATTTTTTGAGCAATTCCTGTAAAATTGTATTAAAAATAATTGAAAACCAGTGATGAATTTTATTTTTATTTATGAAAATAATTGAATAGTTGCAAAGAATTGTATTAAAATTTTCAAAAATAATTGAATTCCTAAGAAGAATTTTATTTTTTATGAAAATAATTGAATTATTGCAAAAAATTTTATTAAAATGTTTAAAAAGAATTGAATTTCAGTGAAAAATGTTGTTATTTTTTAAAATAATTGAATTCTCCATAAGAATCTTATAAACATTGTTTTAAATAATTCTTTTTTTTGAAATCTAATAAACATAAAAATTTTATTTTAAATAATTGAAATTTTGTGAAAATAATTAAATTTTTCGCTTAATTAATTTAAAATAGTATTAAAAATAATTGAAATTCTTCTATGAGTTTTATTATTTATGAAAATAATTGAATTCTTGCTTAGAATTTTATCAAAAATTTTTTTAAAAAATTGATTTTTTCGAAATTTTTTTGAAAAAGTTATTCTAAATTAATTGAATTCCTGTGGAAATTTTATTATTTCTGAAAATAATTGAATTTTGGATGAATTTTATCAATTTTTTAAAAATAATTGAATTCTTTTGCGAAATTTTATAAAAATACTAGATATTGAAAATAATTGAATTTCCAATATTTTTTGAAAATAATTGAATCGTTTTAAAGAATTTATTTATAATTTTTGAGAATAGTTTTTTGATTTCTAGTATTAGCGAATTTTAAGTAGTGGGAATTCTCAAAAAAACAGAAATATTAGCTTTTAGTGGCTGAAATCTAAAAAAATTTCCCAAATAGTATCATAACGTAAAAAAAAGTAGTAAATAGTAAATTTTAGTAAATAAGTGCGAAGCCTGGACATGTTTTAAAAAAAGGATTTCTTAAATAATATGAAAAATATATTTAACGCATTCAAAAGTTATTTAAATATTTGATTCTTTTAATGTTTTATTTTTAATTATTATTGTTATTGCTACTAAGGGAGTTTTGTAACGAAAAATCGTAAGTTTTATATGAGACGAACGTGTCAATTTTAAAAAGAATAAAAAATAATGTGTATATATGGTTTAAATTCATATTTTAATTTAAAGTCTTTTTTCTCAATGTGGACAGGAAGAAAAGGGGGGAATATAGAACCACTGTAAAATCACCAATCGCATAACTTTTTGCTAAATCGTTGCAAGTAGTCTTCTCGTTGAATGGAATCAAGAAGTTTCATCTTCTCTTCGTTATAATTTCTTCGTATTCAGTAATTTTTTTTTGTACCATTTTATAATATAAAAGTAATTAAAAAAAAAAATTTTTTGTGTTCTAAAATAAGTAATTAAAGTGTAATTATAAAAATAAAATATTTTTCATTTTACTTTGCTAAGTGATAAAGTGAGTAGGAAGTAAAAATTTTATTAAAATATTTCTCTTGGTTTCAGTGGTAATTTTCTTTCTTTTTTTTCTAATTTTCAAACTTAAATTAAAATCAACATTTCTGAAAAAGTTGAGTTCCCTTTTCCAAAAAAATTGTGAAAAAATAGTGGAACTTAAAAAAACTCAAATAAAAATTTTGTTATTAAATATTACCTAATTTTTTCTTTAATTTTCTAACTTTTTTTTTAACATAAACAAAATTGATACTCTTTAAATGACTTCCGGTAAAAATAGTGAAAACTAAAAATAGTGAAATCAGAAATTCATTGCAAACAAAAATTTCTATTGTTATTAAACATTTGTATAATAGTTGAAGTTTTAAAAAAAATCTTTGCATTCTCGGCAAGGTTGAATTATATTTCTTATCATTGAAAGTTTCAAAACGACAGTAAATACAATTAGTTTCAATTTACAAAGCGATTGTTCTTTTAAATTCAATATCGTCCGATCGGGACATTCAATTTCTTTTACCTTTAACATTTTATTATTATAAAACAAAAATTATTTTTACACTATTTTTTTCCACTTTGAGTAATAAGTATTATTCATACACAAAAATTTTTTTTAACTCAAATTTTTTTTTTTAAACAAAAATATTTTTTTCCAATTTTAGGTAATTTTTTAACATTTTGAAATTAACAACAATTTTTTCCCCTAAAATTTAGTTTTAATTTGCAATAGAGAATTTTTTTTTTTTTTTTTTTTTATTTTTTAATTTGCAATAGTGATTTTATTAAAATTCAATTTTGTATTTTTAACACTGTCTCTTTAATAATAATTTTTCTTTAATTTATTTCGTAATTTTTGTAATCATAGAAAAAAGTCATCGGTTTTTTTTTAATTTTATTATTCGGTGAAATACAAAAGTTTTTAACGTATAGTAAAAAATAAATAAACAGAAAGCTTAAAGGGAGACTAGACATTGTAATTATATTATGACACGATGATTAAATTGTATAATCTGACAAAAATAATCTCTAATCTTTTAATTAATGAAGTTTATTGATTGACAAATGTGAGATAATCTGCTGGGGTTAACAAATTAAACACAAATTTGTCGTTATAAAGAAAAATTATAAAGAAACGCGGTATAATTATTAATTGTTTTTTTAATTTTTTAGGAAAAGGAACAATTTTTTTCCATAAATTCAATTATTGTTACTAAATTAAAAAAGAAAAAAAAATTGAATTAAAATTGACTTTTTTTTCTTGTTTCAGGTAACAAAGGTGGAAAGTTCTATGGTTCAGGAAAAAAAAGATATTAGCAAAATAATTATTATTGTTTTAAAAGAAAAAAAAATTTTCCTTCACGAAACTTTTTTCATCAAATCTGGTCAAAAATAGAAAATCGAGAAAATATTTATAAAATCGGAAAAAAATGGCCTACGACGATGTCCTTATTTTAATGGGCGAATTTGGTCGCTATCAACGTAAAACATATTTTATATTATGTATTCCCGCAATTTTTTGCGCTATTCACAAAATGTCTGGTGTTTTTCTTGAAACAACTCCAAATTTCAGGTAAATTTTTTATAATTTTTATTCTTTTACTGCCTTTCGATTTTTTTCTGAATTTTCCATTTTTTTAAAAATTATTTTTCTATTCATTGTATTTAATTTTTATTAAAATTTTTGTGAATTGGACTAAATATTTTTAAGAAATATATATATTACAATTCTAGGTGTCTTTTGCCTTTGGAGAATTCAACAAATGCAGAATATCAATTACCAGACGGTTATATTGATGCATTTCTTCCAAAACATTCAGCAACAACAACGAAAAAGGAAAGGCCCTCCCAGTGTCATTTTTATGATATACCAGTTCCTCCGAATGTGACGAATTTAGAAGAATATTATTTAATAGCCGCTAATAGTACTAAGACGTGGAATGAAAAAAATTGCGAAACATATGTTTTTGATAAAATGAGATATTCGAGTACAGTCGCCACTAAGGTAACATATTTTTAATGCATTTTAATTATGATCAACAGAAAAAATTTATTTTATCTGTTTTAATATAAAAAATACAAAATTATGACATTGGACTAAAATTTGTTCCGATTCTTTGTCTTTTTTTTTTTTGCATTTATTTAAAACAATTTTTATTTACATTATTTTTCCTCATTCAGACTTTGCACTCGACAATTATTTTCTAAAAAAGTAGTTAAACAGTAGCTGTCGAAAAATTAATCTTGATGACACTAAAAAAACTCGTTTTAGACACTTCACAAAACTGACAAAAATTCCATTCTATATTTTTTATTTTCCTGACTTTTTAATAATTTTCATCAAATATATTTACTTTTTTCTTATCCTATGCTAATAAATTGAAATCCTGCAACGAATTTTATTATTCATGACAGAATTTAAATATTTATAAAAATAATTGAATTATAGCGAAAAATTTTATAAAAATTTTTAAATAATTGAATTCCTGGGAAGAATTTTATTATTTATGAAAATAACTGAATTATTGCGAAAAATTTTATTAAAATGTTTAAAAAGAAATGAATTTCTGTGAAAAATTTTGTTATTTTTGCAAATAATTGAATTTTTTATAACAATTTTATAAACACTGTTTAAAATAATATATTAATTTTAAATATAATAAAAATGAAAATTTTATATTAAATAATTGAATTCCTTCCACTAATTTTATGCAAATTCTAATTTAATTAATTGAATTCCCGAGAATTTTTCTTCTTCATGAAAAGAATTGAATTCTGTTTGGAAATTTCATGAAAATAGTAGATATTGAAAATCATTGAATTGCGAAAAGTTTTTAAAAATAATTTAATTTTACAAAGAATTCTATTAAAATTCTTGACAATAATTGAATTCTTGCGAACGATTTATTAGAATTTTTAAAAATCATTCAATTTTCAAGAAGAAATGTAGGTATTGCTTTTAAAAATAATTGATTTCTTGTAATGAATATTGTTATTTATGAAAATAATTGAATTTTGCAAAGAATTTTATTACAATGCCTAAAAATAATTGAATTTTCAGGAATAATTTTGTTATTTATTTTTAATAATTGAATTCTTTCAAAGAATTATTTATGTAAATAATTGAATTCTTGGGAAGAATTTTATTAAAACCTGAAAGAATAATTTAATTATTTTAACAAATTTCAATTAAAATTTTATTTAAAATAATTGATTTCTTTCGATCAATTTTATTAAAATATTTGAAAATAATTTAATTTCTGTTAAATATTTCTAATATTTTTCCAAATAATTGAATTCTTCCAAAGAATTTAAAAAAAATTTCTTTAAATAATAATTGATTTTTTCGAGGAATTGAAATTAAATTTTTAATGATAATTACATTTTTTGAGCAATTTCTGTTAAATTGTATTAATATTAGAAAAAATTTTGAAATTCTTACAAAATCGAAAGTCTATAAATAATTTATATACCTATTTAAATAATTTTTTAATTTAAATAATTCATTTAAAATTTTTGTTTAATAATTTAAATAATTCAATTCTTGCAGTTGAATTCTGATAGGAAATGATTTAAAATAATTTCACTTAAAAATTTTAAAAATTGAAACAAATTGATAATTTTGTCTTGAAATAATGTTTATATTTTAATGAATTTTATTTTCTTACTTTTTAAAAATTATATTTAAATACAGTCGTATTTTTTAAGAGTTCTAATGAAAAATTTGGAAAATAATCTTTTATTTTATTTTTTACCATTGAATTCCTCAAAAAAAAATTAACTTAAAAATAATTTTGTGAAATATTTAAATTATTTTCTTATATAATTAAAAATATCCGTATGCCCTCCCCTTAATATTTAACGGAAAAGATTAACTTCTAATTTTAATTTATTCGAATTCTCATCAATTTTTATGAACGCATTTATATTAGACGAATTATAATTTATCTGATTTATTATTTCTTTGAATTATAATCGATGATAAATTTAAAAAACGAAGAACTTAAAAATAATTGAATTTTAAATATTACGAATTTATGTTCAACAAAAATATTTCGGAAAAGAAAATTAATTTGTAGAAATTTTTATTTCTGCTAAATTTAAGTTATTTTAAATAATAGTGCTGAAATTTATTAATTTATAAAGTCTATAACCTAAAAATTCTTATAAATATAATTTATAAATAAAAAATTCTATACATTATATCCCGATAGATTTTTTTTTGTTAGAAATTCGTAATAATTAAAATTTACTTATTTTCAAGTTCTTCAGTTTTTAACTTATCAATTATAATTCAAAGAAATAAAATAAGTCTATATTTTTTATGCAAATTCTAATTCGAAACAAAAATTCTAGTAAATTATATATCAAAATATATATCTTTTCCGTTAAATATTAATTCGAAACAACAAATTTCGTAAGACTGATGATAATACTGTCAAATAATGATTGTTTTTCAGTTGAAATTTATTTTTTTTCTGCTGACAGTAATTGGTTCAGGAAATTCGAAAAAAAAATTTGATATTCTTGTACATTTCTTAGAAAAAAATCGAAATTTCTTTTTTTTTTTTTTGATTTAATAACTTTAAGAAATTTCGATATTTTGATGAATAATAATTATACCTCAGGCCGATTTGAAAATAATTATATTATCAATATTCCAGTCATCGACTTGGTGTAAATATTTATATTGATAACAAATCGCAATTTGTCGTTAATTACTGATTACCTAACATTCCTATATATATTTTTTTGTGCAACGAACTAATAAATCTAGGTCAAAAAGATAGTACAAAAATGCAATTTTGTTTATCGATTTGAGCCATTTATTGTCACCAGAACAATGTACCTTGAATAAAATTAGCATTTTTAAAAATTGTCTAAAAATCCTTTCTTTGTTTTTACATGTCGTGAATTTTATTAATTAATATAATTAAGATTTTATTTAATATACTATTTAAATTTTTTTTTTTAATTACGATTTTATTTTATATACTATTTAAAAAGAAAATTTGCTTCTAGTGGAACATGGTATGCGATTCTTCCTGGTGGATATCAACAGGAGACTCGATCTTCATGGTAGGAGTAATGATTGGCTCAATGACTTTTGGTTTCTTGTCTGACAAATTCGGACGTAAACCAATTTTTGTAATTTGTTTAATTATTCAATTAATCTCAGGAACCATAGTCGGTTTAGCACCAAATTATGCCACATTTGTTGTTTTTAGAGCAATTCTTGGTTCGACAGCCAGTGGCGTTTTCATCGTTACTTACGTGATTGGTAAGAAAAAATCCTATTCAATACTTCAAAAAAAAAAAAAAAAAAAAAAAAATTATCATAATCTATACTAATTTAGTTAAAGTGAATTTTTATTTTACTCTTCTTATTAAAATTTTATTAAATTTACTATTTACTGATTCTATTGAAGACACTATTTCCTAATAATGTGGAAAAGAAGAAAACAAAAGACATTAAATGTCAACGTTCATTCCACGTTGAAAAAACAAGTTCTCGTCCGATCACTTAAGTTAAGCAACGTTGGGCGCGGTTAGTACTTGGATGGGTGACCGCTTGGGAATACCGCGTAATGTTGACATTTTTTTTTTTTTTTGCTTTTAATTTCTTGTTTTTATTTGTTTATTGTTAAATGTTGTTTATTGGTTTTCTTTATTTATTTTTTATATTGATACCAAAAAATAAATATAAATAATATATAACTATAAAAATAATATATTTTTATTTATTTATTTATTTATAAAGATAATTATTTTTATATTAAATAAATAAATTTTAGTTTAGATTAATAAAATTTTCATATTATGTAAATTGTTTAAAATATAATATTAATGTTTGATGTAAAATTACATTTGTTTTATAAAATTTACAGTTTAAAAAAAAGAATTTGTCTAAAATTTTAAAATTTATATAAACAACACTTTAGGATTAAAAGCAATATTATAGTTTGCATCTGATGAATGCTTAAAAGCAACTGACTATCTTAACGCCTTTTTTTTGGGAAACTTTCTCAGAAAATGTTAAAAATTTCATAAAATTTTCTCTATATTCATTTCGTGTCAAATATTTTCAAAAATTTTGCTGTCTAACAAAATCTATTTAAAAAAAATTGGGACCGAAAAGATCATAAAACTGACTCGTAGCTGGTCGTCCTAAGCCAAACCAGATGTGACAAACCTTTCATTGAATAGAAGAATATTTTGAAATTATATATTTGCCGAAAAGTGAAAATACATATTTTTACGGAGCATAAATCATTTTCTTTGAAATTATGCTACATCTTGAAAATTTAGAGGCGAAATTTATTTTCTTTTAATTAAAAATTGTATTCATAGAACCCTTCAATCAAATTTACATATTTAAGAAATTGGATCGAATTTTAATTTATCGAAATATGCTAGAAATTTAATGACTGAAATTCTTTTTTTTCAGCACTTGAAATGGTTGGACCAAAAAAAAGAATTTACGCTGGTGTTGGAGTGAATTTATTTTTCACAATAGGATATTTTACGACTGGTATTTTCGCTTACTTCATCCGTGACTGGAGAACATTACAAATAGCCCTTGTTCTTCCAAGTGTATTGTTCTTGTCATATTACTGGTAAGGGTCAATTTTTTTTTTAATAATTTAATAGTAAAAAGAAAAGAAAAGACAAATCTTATACAATTTGACTTTCTTTCTTATTGAGGTAATTTAGAAAACAATTTTTTTTAACAGGTTCATTCCTGAATCGTGTAGATGGTTGTTGACAAAAGGTCGTAAAGAAGAGGCGAAAGCATTATTACACAAAGCCGCAAAGGCGAACGGAGTTGATATTTCCGATGATACAATGGAGGCGCTTTTATCGCAAAAAGAAACAGAATCAAAAAACAGTGAAGCAAAATCTTCTGCTTTAGACCTTATAAGATATCCAAATTTAAGACGTAAAACTTTACTACTGTGTTTCAACTGGTAGGTATTTTATTTACAGATTATGGTATTTTATTCCAGGCTTCGCACTCATCTACTAAAATCTACTATTTACTACTTTTTTTTACGTTATGATACTATTTGAGAACTTTTTTTAGATTTCAGCCACTAAAAGCTACTATTTCTGTTTTTTTTTTTTTTAAGAATTTCCATTACTTTAAATTCGCTAATACTAGAAATCAAAAAAATATTCTTAAAAATAATAACCAAATCAGAATTAAATTCTTTCAAAAGATTCAAATACTTTCAAAAAATATTCAAAACTCGATTATTTTTAATATCTAGTATTTTCATAAAATCAATTTTTTAAAAAAATTTTTGATAAAATTCTAAGCAAGAATTCAATTACTTTCACTAATAATAACATTTTTTTTATAAAAAATCAATTTTTTAAAACTTTTTTTGTTAAAATTTTAAGCAAGAATTTTATTTTCATAATTAATAAAACTCATAGAAGAATTTCAATTATTTTTAATACTATTTTAAATTAATTAATCGAAAAATTCAATTATTTTCACCGCAAGATTTCAATTATTTAAAATAAAATTTTTATATTTATTAGATTTCAAAAAAATTAATTATTTAAAACAATGTTTATAAGATTCTTATGGAGAATTCAATTATTTTCAAAAATAACAACATTTTTCACTGAAATTCAATTCTTTTTAAACATTTTAATAAAATTTTTTGCAATAATTCAATTATTTTCATAAAAAAATAAAATTCTTCTCCGGAATTTAATTATTTTTGAAAATTTTAATACAATTTTTTGCAACTATTCAATTATTTTCATAATTAAAAATAAAATTCATCACTGGATTTCAATTATTTTTAATACAATTTTACAGAAATTGATCAAAAAATGTAATTATTCTTAAAAATTTAATTTCAATTTAATTCCTGGACAAAATCAATTATTTAAAAAAATGTTTTTTAAAAATTCTTTCGAAGAATTCAATTAATTACAAAAATGTTAGAATCTTTCACAGGAATTCAATTCTTTTCAAATATTTTAATAAAATTGATCGAAAAAAATCAATTTTTTTTTAAAAATTTTAATTAAATTGTTTTGAAATAATTCAATTATTCTTTTAGATTTTAATAAAATTCTTCCTAAGAATTCAATTATTTACATAAATAATTCTTTGAAAGAATTCAGTTATTTTTAAAAGTAATAAATTTTGTCTTGGAAATTCAATTATTTAAAAAAATTACAATAAAATCGTTCTTAAGAATTCAATTATTTTTATAAAAAATAAAATGTTTTTTAGAAATTCAATTATTTTCAAAAAAAATTTAATAAAATGCCATACAGACATTCAATTATTCTCAAAATTTTTAATAAAATTCTTTGTAAAATTTAATTATTTTTAAAAACTTTTCGCAATTCAATGATTTTCAATATCTACTAATTTCATAAAATTTCCAAATATAGAATTCAATTATTTAAAAAATTTTTTGTAAAAATCTTCGTAGGAATTAAATTTTTTTCATGAGTAATAAAAATTTCATAGGAATTCAATATTATTTAAATTAGAATTTGCAATAAAATTAGCTAAAAGAATTCAATTTTTCAATTTTATTTAAAATACAATTTTCATAACATTTATTATAATTAGAAAAAATTAATTATTTAAAATAATAATTATAAAATTCTTATGAATAATTCAATTATTTTCAAAAATAACAAAATTTTTCACAGAAATTCAATTCTTATTAAACATTTTGATAACATTTTTCACAATAATAATTCAATTATATTCATAAAAAATAAAATTCTTCTCAAGAATTCAATTATTTTAAAAAAATTTAATAATAAAATTCTTAGCAAATATTCAATTATTTTCTTAAATAATAAAATTCATCGCAGGATTTCAATTATTTTTAATACAATTTATTTTACAAGAATTGCTAAAAAAATGTAATTATTCTTAAAAATTTAATTTTAATCTTCGAAAAAATCAATTATTTAAAAAAATGTGTTTTTTTAATTCTTTGGAGGAATTCAATTATTTCTAATATACAATTTTAATTAAATTTTTTTGAAATAATTCAATTATTCTTTTCGATTTTAATAAAATTCTTCCCCAGAATTCAATTATTTACATATAAATAATTCTTCGAAAGAATTCAATTATTAACATAAATAACAAATTTTTTTTTAATTCTTTGGAGGAATTCAATTATTTCTAATATACAATTTTAATTAAATTTTTTTGAAATAATTCAATTATTCTTTTCGATTTTAATAAAATTCTTCCCTAGAATTCAATTATTTACATAAATAATTCTTCGAAAGAATTCAATTATTAACATAAATAACAAAATTATTCCTGAAAATTCAATTATTTTGAGGCATTTTAATAAAATTCTTTGCAAAATTCAATCATTTTCATAAGTAACAATATTCATGACAAGAATTCAATTATTTTAAAAAATTCTAATAAAATCGTTCGCAATGATTCAATTATTTTCACAAATAATAAAATGCTTTTCAGGAATTCAATTTTTTTTTAATATTAAATTTATTTTTGCAAATTCAATTATTTTTAAAAATTCTAATAAAATCGTTCGAAAGGATTCAATTATTTTCATAAATAATAAAATGCCACAGAGACATTCAATTATTCTCAAAAATTTTAATAGAATTCTTTGTAAAAATTCAATTATTTTAAAAAACTTTTCGCAATTCAATGATTTTTAATATCTACTATTTTCATAAAATATTTCATCATAATATTTTTTGGTTTATGAATTTTATGGTTTTAGTTTGAAAAGAAATATTTTTTCAGGTTAATAAACAGTGGGACTTATTATGGCCTTTCTTGGGGTGCAGCGAAACTTAGTGATAATGAATTTGCCACCTACTTTATGTCGGCGGGTGTTGAAATACCCGCTTATATTTTGCTCATGTGTACATTAAACAGGTGGGGCAGAAAAGCGATACTCTGTGGTTCTATGATTACCTCAGGATTCTTCCTACTTCTAATGACTGTTGTTCCTAAAGGTAATCGTCAGTTATCCATAAAATTTACTGTCGGGTCTCGTAATTGCAATTATTTAAAAATTTTCCACTTAATAAACTGTAATAAACTAAAAATTCCCACTAATAAACGACGACAAAAATTAATGAGCCAAACTGACTACAATTTTAAAATCACTTAACGAAGGGAATTTTTCAAACATAATTTATAGCATTATTTACTTTTCAGATATGGGCTGGTTAGCTATTACATTTTACATGTTGTCGAAATTAGCAATTACGGCCTCATATGGTGCTATTTATATTTTTACAACCGAACAATTTCCAACAGTTGTTCGAAATATTGGTCTTGGTGTTAGTTCAACGTGCGCAAAACTCGGAGGTGTTTGCGCACCACAAATTAATCTTCTAGTGAGTTTTTCACATTGTTCTTCAAAAATTTCTTTGTATAATTATTCATTTTCATCTTATTCTATTTTTCTGTACTTTATTTCTTTTTACCATTAATTTAATTTTTTAATTATAATTATTTTAAGTATTTCAATATTTTCAATTTTTTTTCTTTCTTTTTTTCTTCTTCTTCAATATTTTTTTTAATATTTTGAATTGAATTATTAATAACAAAAAAACATTAACATTTTTTTAGGGAGAAATTTGGTTCCCATTTCCACATGTATTTTATGGGACACTAGCTCTATGTGCAGGGCTAATAACACTGTTATTACCTGAAACGCTTAATAAAAGATTGCCGGACACTATTGAAGAAGGGGAGAATTTCGGAAGGTAAGTTTTTACTATTTCTTTTAAAAAATTTTCTAAACTAATACTTTGATAAATACAGTTATTAAACCTCCGTTGACACACTGGGTCATTTGGACCCCAATTAAGAATTAACTCAATTCAAATTTTACGAATAATTAATTTTGAAGTTGAATTTAGAATTTGATTTTTAAGAAACAGATTTTTGGAATAAAAAATATCGTAAGTAATACGAATTATTATATAGACTTATTTTATTTTATTTCTTTGAATTATAATTGATAAGTTAAAAACTGAAGAACTTGACATATTCATTGAAAGAATTCTTCATTTGTCCGAATTTTTAATGGCAAGAATTTTTCTTTGAAAGAATTCTTAAAATGCCGAATTATCATTTGACCGAATTTGCAAATGGCCGAACCATCAACTGTTAGAAATATTTCTGCGTGTTTTTTGAAATTTAACATTCGCAATTTACTTGATAATTTTTTATTGGTAAATTTCAAAATTCGAAATATTTCTGACATTTGTCTGTTCGGACATTTAGAATTTCGGTCAAATGATAATTCGGTGTTTTAAGAATTTTAATGATAAATTCGGAGAAATAGAAATTCGGACCAATAAAAGTTCTTTGAATAGAGATTCTGTCGAATATAAGTTTGATTATATAAAACTTGTGTCAATTTTAAATTATATTAAAATGGTACAACATGAAAATTTTATAAACTAAAAATTCCTATAAATACCACTTGTGAGAAATAAAAATTTCTACAAATTAATTTTCTTTTCCGACAGATTTTTGTTGAACAAATTCGTAATAATTAAAATTCAATTATTTTTAAGTTCTTCGTTTTTTAAACTTATCGATTTTAATTCAAAGAAATAATAAATTAGATAAATTATAATTCGTCTAATATAAATGCGTTCATAAAAATTGATGAGAATTCGAATAAATTAAAATTGGAAGTAAATCTTTTCCGTTAAATATTAAGGGGAGGGAACACCGATATTTTTAATTATATAAGAAAATAATTTAAATATTTCACAAAATTATTTTTAAGTTAATTTTTTATGAGGAATTCAATGGTCAAAAAATAAAACAAAAAAATGATTTCCCAAATCTTTAATTCGAATTCTTTAAAAATACGACTGTATTTCAATATATAAATTTTAAAAAGTAAACAAATAAAATTCATTAAAATATAAAATATATTTCAATGAACAAAATTTTCAATTGTTTGAATTTTTTATAATTATTTTTGGAAATACAACTGTTTTTAAAAAATTTCAACTACATTTATTCAAAACTTCAATACTTTTTGTTGAACAAAATTTTTAAAACTTATTCTTATTTTTTCACATGAATTAAAATTTCAAATAATTCCAATGAAAAACCTTTTGAAATTTAATTATTTCTAAAAATTGCAACTGGAATTCTTCCAAAATCAATTTTTTTTTGATAATAAAACAGGATTATACTGGATTAAGAGTGATTTATTTTTTCATTTTTTTTTATCAATATAAATACATAACTGGATGAAAATTTAAAACCATATCAATTATATTTTTTTCGAGTTTTTGAATAAAATTATTAACTTTAAAAATTTAACAAAAAATTTAGGTATAATTCATAATTTTTTTTAAATAAAAATTTTAATATTTTTATACTTTTGCTTCTTTCAAAATTCCAAAGAATTTAATATTTAAAAATCTTTTAAAATTCAATTTTTAAAAATTAAAAATTCTTAAACTTCCTGTAATAACGCTTTAAATATTTAATTATTTAAAAAAAAATCTAAATGAAATTTCTTTTAAATCAATTCCTATTAAAATTCTACTACGAGAATTGAATGATTTAAATAGAATAATTTTTGTAAATTCATAAAATTTAATGTATATATTTTTAAAAATACAATTATATTTGTAGGTGATTTTTAAAGTTGAAGAAATAAAATTCTTCAAAATATAAAATTTAATTTAATAAAGTTTTACAAAATTTCTTTCTGTTTCCGTTTTTTAAAAATTAGTTTTGGGAATTCAAGTATATCTTCAAAAAAAAAAATTTAATTACTTTTTTCAAAGACCTAATTTTTTTCAAAAAAATTAAAATTAAAATAATTTAAGTTAAAGTTTTGACTAAAATTCTTTTTTAAATCAATTCTTATCAGAATTCAATTATTTAAATATAAAAAATAAATAATTCATGAAATAATTAATTATTCTTTAAAATTATTGCAACTTTACCTCTTTACTGAGTTTTTAAAATTAAGATTAAATTATTTTTCCTTAAAAAAAATTGCCAAATGAAAAAACTGATTTTCATAAATTTCGAAGCATTTTTTTTTAAAAGAAAATCTTTGTTTTTAGGCTGAAAATACTATTATTATTCAATTCTTTTATTTGTGAACTCATTTCTTTATTTTTCTAAATAATCTTAGAAACCATAATTTTTTTTCAAATTTTGAAAAAATGTTTCTTTTGTTTATCATTATGAAAAAAAAAATTTCAAACCCCTTTGCAATTAATTTAAATTAATAGAAATTTTATTTAAATTTAGTAAAAATGATAAATTTTGAGTTTTTAAATTAATCCAATAAAAAAAAGTCTTTGAACATTATTATTGCTTGAATTTGCAAAAATGGAGAAACTAGACAAATTTCTGACTCATTTTCAAATTTTCTGAAATGTTTCAATGTCCATACGTTCATAACGTGGTTTTAATTCTTTTTTAATCGCATAGAGTCTCTTTTTTCCTTTTTTCAAAATTGAAATACTACATTGTCTCTTTTTTTTAGTTTATATGTATTTTCAGTTTTTTTTACTATTTTTTTTCAAATAAGAAATTTTTAACACGGCTAAATAAAAACATTGCTTGTTGGAAATTTCTTTATGATATAAAAGAATATAATATTGATTATATAATAATATTTATAATATTGATATGATTTATAATATTGATATAAAAGTATAAATACAAAAATACAAATATAAAAGTATAATTATACAAAAATATAAATATAAAAGTTTAAATATAGAATTATAAATACAAAAATATAAATAAAAAATATGAATATAAAAATCTGTGCTTATCTTATAATAATCATGCGTCAAATAAAGATTTCTTGTAAATTTTATATTATTTTAATACCTTAAAATCTATTTGGATATTAGTTTCATAATCAGTCTGCTTAAATATTAAATGTGGAAATAAAACTTTTATTAAAAAAAAGAAAAGTTTTTGAACATCTATTTACCAAAACTTTTAATGTTGTTTAAACTTTGTTTCCAGACAAACGAAGAACGTGTCTCTACAATCATTGACACCAACGAAGAAAGGTGTCGATGACAATCTAAATGGAAAAATAGCATAATGATAATAATAGTTATATTATAGTTATGCAAAAAACAAAGTACTTAGAAACATTCCTAAATTTTTAATTATTAGTATTAAATATTGAGTATTAAAATATTGAAAGTGAGCGTATGTACTGTTTTTGATTCATGCAAGAAATGTATGTGCCAATTTCAATTTTCTACAAACATAAGTAGTTAATTTTTTAATTAGTATTCGAAAATAGCGATATTTTATATATTTTTTTTTTCTTAAGTATCAATCAAATTTTCATAACATTTTTAGCTTTAATATTCAGCTGCAATATCTATTGCAATTTCGATTACGAAAAAAAGACTAAACATTTTTTTTTATACAATCATCTTCATACTTTTTTTTATATTGAATTAAAAATAAATTTAATGCTTTTAACGGTTATCTACATATTCCATTTCATTGAAATTAGTTGTTAGTTTTAGAATTTAGATTTTAAAAAAATGAAAGTGTTTTATAAGAGATTTGTTTTTAGAAATGTTTATAATTTTATATTAACAGAAAGTATGTTGATACTTGTGCAAAAGTACATTATTAAATATTAATCATTGCAGTATTCAATTTTTTTTTAATCATTGTCGATAAAATATGCGTTTGTCATCGTATAAGATATGTTATGCAATCAACAATATACGAAAGTTTTATTTAATTCCATTTATAGTATTGAAATAATGTTTAATTTATTACGAACAAAAAAAGTGTATTTTTTAAATTGTTTTTTATGCGATGTAAAAAAAAGTAAATAAAAATATACGAGAGATATTTACATTTTTGTTATAAAAATATGAAATGAATATTTCCTAATGTAAAAAAAATATCGTCAACACAATTGAATTGTACTTCGAATATTTTTTTCTCAAAAAAAATTAATTAATTTAATTAAAAGTTTATTTTCAACTTCACTGAAAATATTTCCAAAAAAAATGTTTAAAAAAAATTTTTTTAATTGTAAAAAGATTATTTTTAACTTTCTTAGAAATATTTTCAAACAAATAAAAGATTATTTTTAACTTCACTGGAAATATTTCCTAAAAAATGTTATGTTAAAAAATTAACTATTATTTTGTTGTTTATCAATCAATTAAATATTTATGAAACTTTATTAAGATTACTTCTTAAGTGATCTAGTTTAGAAATTTAGCCCCAGAATTGAAATCAATTTAATTCGAACCGAAAAAATTAGAATCAATTTAATTTCTTGTATTTAAAAATATTTGGTATTATTTTAAGTAAACACGCCGCGAGCTTTTAAAATTTTTAAAAGATTTTTGTCACCTTGCCAAATTTTCTCTCAATAAGTCATGGAAAATTTTTCATCTTCAAACAAGTTTAATTTTAATTTAAAATTTAATTTTTAATTTAAAAAAATAAAAAGTATTCTCAAAAAAAATTACAAAATATACTTAAATTGATAAAAATATAAAAATTTTTGAATATAGCGAATTTCTTACTTTAAAAATTTATTTGAAAAGAAGTGCAAAAATGAAATATGAAAAAAATAAGATAGAATTTAAAGAAATGAGCAATACAATATTTTACAAAGTTTATATACATACAATTAGATAAGAGATATAATTAAAAACTGATAACATAAATTTCAAGACATTAAGAAAGGTATTTAAGACTTTTAACGAATATAATTAAAACAACATTCTAACACATTTTATCTTTAATCATAATAAAACATTTTTTTTTAATACTGACGTGGTAAAATATTTTATTGTGAAATAAAAGGAAGTTCAATCGCGTCGTGCTAATTTTTTTCGGATGAATATTTTTTTAATTATTTTGTAATGCCGCTGCGATAATTTGCGAACTCTTTTTCTTATTTAGTACAAAAAAATAATTGTTTTTAAGTGAAAAATTTTTTTTAGAGAACAAAATAATAAAATAAAAAAAATATACATAAAATGTAAGATAATTAATATAAAAATATATGTATATGATACAATATAAAATATAAATATAAAAAACGATATAAATAAATATTATGAATGCATAAAATGTAAACAAAAAAAATTCATTTATTTTAAAAAAACAATTTTTTTTTCTTCAATGTTTTCTTAAAATTAAAATTATTTCTTGAATAATCATATACTTGTTTTATTTTAATTTTTAATTCTTCATTTTATGCAAAATTTAAATAATTTTTGTGTATCTTTTATTATTGTTATTAATGTGATAAATTTTTTCCAAGACGTTTTTTTTGCACGTTTAATAATTATATTTTTCTGCTAATAAAAAATTTTTTTAATTTTTCAAATAATTTCGTGCACGAAATTCAGTATTTTTTTCTTGGAAAAAATTATAGCATTAATAATAGTAAAATATTTGAATTGACTGTAAAATCACCTTTAAAAAACGTATTATCTTAAAATAAGGCGAAATTATTAATTTTAAGTAACCTCAAATTAATTAAATTTATTTTATTAATCTCCAATTTATTGAAAAAAAATTCTTTTTTTTAGGATTAATTTTAATTTTTAAAAAACAGAAAGATATTTTTTTAAAATTTTTAATTAAGAAGGGAATCTACTTACTATTTATTTTTCAACTCAGTGTAATATTAATTTCTATATAATAAATTCAATAAAATTGTAAAGAATAAAAAATAAAAAAATGTTTCTAGTTTTGTTATCAAAAGTATTATTTTCTATTTTTATTATTTTAATTTTAATAGTTTTTAGCTATATTTTTCAAAATTGTCAAAATGAAAATCTTTCAATTAAAATATTAATGTAAATACAAAAACAAAAAAAAATAATAATTTTGAAATTTACTTCGAGAATAGTAAATTTTACTCATTCGGAAACAGCAAAAAATTGTTGCAGAAATGCACATAATTTTATGTTATTCATGTTAATTTAAAAGTAAAATTAATTTAAAAAATTAATATATCTAAAAAAAATTTCAATTAAAAGTAAAATTCTGGAAATTTAGTTTTTACTGTAAAAATTTTTATTTTATTTTTTTATTTTAATTTAACAGACGTTAAATTTCAATTATATAAAAACTATAATTTATTTTAATATAAATTTTTAAATTACAAACAAAATATTTTTGATCTTCTTGAAATTTTCAAACTTTGAAAAATGGTCAATTTCTGAAAAATCTAAAAAAAAATTAAACTAAAAAAAAACTTAGAAACGGTAAAACTTTTTTTTTAAATGTTTTTGAAAATCTCTTTTTCAAAACCAAAAGTTTTACATTTTTTTTAACATTTATAGACCAAAGACTACAAATCAATATAAAGTTTATATTTTAAATAAAAAATTAAGGTAATTCTAACAAAACTAAATTGAAAAAGTAAAAGAAATTCAAAACTTAGAAATTTTTATTTTCCTATACATTTTTTTCCAAAAAATTTTGTTGACTATAGTAAAAAATTTTCTCATCATTTTTAATGTTGGAACATAATTTCATATTTTCAAAAAATGTTGAAAAATAAATTTCCCAAAAAAATTCTTTATTTCAATAAATTAGAATTTCACTGAAACTGTTAAAGTTTGAGGTATAAATTTAATAAAGTTTAAAATTTAAGTTCTAAATTAAAATTATTTTGAAAATTTTAAATTATTAAAAATTTTTTTAAATTAAGAAAAAGCTCCTGCTTTAAAAATAAGGGAAATCGTTTTTATTTTATAATGAAAAATACCCCCCACCCCCTCCAATTGTTGATTTCGATAAATTAGAATTTTTCTAAAACAGTGAAAGTTTCAGTTTAGAATTTAAGTTTTAAACTTAAATTATTTTGATAATTTTCAATTATACTTAAAGCTTTTGAGAACTCTAAAAAAGCTCCTGCTTTTAAAAAAAGGGAAAACGATTTAATTTTGATAAATTTGAATTTCACTGAAAACAATATAAGCTTCAGTTTAAAATTTAAAGTTTTAAATTATCTTGACAATTTTCATTTATTTAAAGCTTTTCAGAAATCTAAAAGCTCTTGGTTATAAAAAAAAGGAATCGGTTTACTTTCAATGTTGAAAAATAAATCCTTCCAAAAAAAATTTGTTTAATTCAATAAATTTGAATTTTACTAAAACAGTGAAATTCAGTTTAAAATTTAAATTATTTTGAAAATTTTTAATTATTAAAATTTTTTAAGTATTGAAAATTCTTAAGAATTCAAAGAAAGCTCCTGCAAAAAAGCAAAATCGATTGACTTTTGATAAGAATTTCATACTAAAACATCCAAAGTTTCAATTTAAAATTTAAGTTTTAAATTTAAAATATTTTGAAAATTTTAAAGTATTTAAAATTTTTGAGAACTGTAGAAAAGCTCGTGATATTAAAAAATGGAATCGGTTATTTACTTTCGATAAATTAGAATTTCTCTAAAACAGTGGAGGTTGAAGTTTAAAATCCAAGTTTAAAAATTTAAATTTTTTTAAATTTATAAAAAAAACTAAAAAATGGCCACTACTATAAAAGAAGGAGGGGGGTTAGCTTTAAAAAGGTGAAAAACAAATTTATAAAATAAATAAAAACGTTTATTATTCATTAATTAATAGATATGTTTTACAACATATATTTTAACGATTTTGTTATATTTGGGGTGTCAAAAATTTTTTTTGGTTCCTATTTTTTTTATAACTGAGTAGGTACATCAACAATATTAATTATAAAATAAATATATAGTAAAATAATTTTATTAATTATTATTAAATCATCACTTATTTTTAATTGACTTTAATTGAAATTTGAATTATAATTGTTACTTAGTATTTTACGTGAGCAAATATGAATATTATTTGTGGTGGGGGTAATAGCACCACTGAAAAGAAACCAATCCCAGGAACTTTTACCGAATCCTCTTCTCTCCGAAAGGTACAAGTGGGGTTTATGCATGGTATGATACGAGTATAATATAATAGTCTAAGTTGCGTCAGCTCCTCGTTAAGTTACTTTAGTTTTTGTATTTATTTCCTATTCTATACACTATGATTTTCGAAGACAGTCATAGTTAGTACGTGTCGCGTGTTAATGTGAAAAGTGTTTACTTCATGTCCCTTACTTTGGAAATAAGTAAAATTAGTTTTAAAAAAAAATTATTTTCGAAACAATGTCGAGAAATTAATTTTATTCAAATTGAAGAAATGTAAATTAATCGACAAATTTCAACTAAATTTTTAAATAGGTATGAGAGAAAAAAAATTTACCGACTAAATATAATAAATTCTAAATTTTTCATCACATCGAAAATTAAATACAAAACATTTTTTTTTTTTTTTTTGCAAAACTTACAAGATAAATTTTCAAGAGGGGGAAAATTGTTGATAAACTTACAATTTATTTAAAAAAGTACTTAATTTTATTTTTTTAATTTCCATGAAAAAATAAGATTTTCCTTCTTAAAATAAGAAAATTTTTGGTTGCTAAAAGTTTTGGAGTAAAAATTTTATTTTTACTCAACTTTTTTCTATACTTTAAATTCTATTTAATTTTTTCTATCACATTATTTTATAAAAAAAATAAACATTTAATCTGTGCTTATTCGTCAAAAATTTAATAGCTGAGTTTATATTTTTGTTAGTAGAGAACTTGAGGACTATACAAATATATTTTTCTTATTTATCCTTGAATATTGTACAATTAAATTAAAATATTCTTAATTATATTTGCAAGAAAATTGAAAATAGAAATTTCTTTGAATTAAAGTAAATAAAGTTTATATTGTACAATTCATAATTGATGTGCTAATTAAATAATCGCTGAAAAGTATTACATAAAAAAGATAATTTATACTTTTTTGTATAAATAAAAAAAATTTTAATTTAGAAATTTTTTAAATTAGAAAATTATTAAAATAACAATTTATTTTTTCATTTAAAAAGCATTTTTTTTAAAAACAATTAAATATTTGAAAGTAAATGAATTTTTGTTTTAAAAACTCGCTTACTCATTTTTATACAAAATGAAAATTTTGAAAAAACACATATTTCAAAGTTTTACGTTTAAAAAATTTTAAATACATTTTAAAATTTTTGAAAATGTTTTGACTTTTCATGCTATATTAAAAAATTGCAGTTCAAAATTTACTTCAAAAGTGTAATAATTCAATATATTAAAATTAAAATTAAAAGTATTTCTTAAATTAAAATTGTTTAAATTTAACAAATTTTTTATTTGAATTTGACTCAACAATTTGAAATTATTTACAACATTCTTTTAATTTTATTCCAACTAATTTTAATTTAAGAATTTTTAAAATTAATTAAAATTTTCTTAAATTTTAAAACCAATAAAACCCTACTATTACTTTTCTTGAAACATTTAATTTTTCGAAATTAAAAGAGCATTTTGCAAAAATTGTAAATTAAACTTTTTATAGTCACTTTTGGATTTCATAATAATTTTATAAAAATTCAATTTTTAAGGAAGTATTTTCGAATTTTCAAAGCGTTATTTTTAAAAAAATGCCTTTTTTTCCATAATTATTGAAATTATTTATTTTTTCACAAAATTATACTAAATTTAATAAAAAATCTCCAATTATTCTAAACAAAAATTTGCAAAAAATCATTTATCACAATTCAAATTTTTATGTTCATTTTGTTTTGAATCTTGAATTTCAAATTTTGAAATTTTTTTAGTACAAATTTAAAAAGTTTCTTTTTTATTAAAATCAATTTCAATTCGATTAACTAAATTTTATCTAGTAATTTACACAAGTGTAAATTTCAGTTCTCTAGGTTGAAAACTGCAAAATTTTAGGAAAGAGGGGGAAAAGGGGGTAATTATTTTCAAAAATATAAAAAAATGTTGTTAAAAACTATTGAAATGAATTTTAATTTGATTCTCTATATTTGTACTGTAATTTACACAAAAAAATATACACGTGTTCCAAATTTTAGTTTTTAGGTTCAAAATTACAAAAATAGAGAATTTTTTTTCAAATTTAAAAAATTTTCATTTAAAACTAATGAAATCAATTTTAATTGTATTCTCTATATTTTTACTATAATTTTCACAAAAGAAAATTACAAAAAAGGAGGAGATAATTTTTTTCAAAAATTAAACAAAATTTCATTTAAAACTTTTTGAAATCAATTTAAATATTCAATTCGCCATACTTTTCTGTAATTGACTCCAAAAAATATTTTTTTTAAATTTAAAAAATTTTATTTAGAATAATATTGAAATTAATTTTAATTCGATTCGTTAAATTTTTTTATTATTTACTCAAAAAAATACACATTTGTACCAAATTTTATTTTTTTATGGTTAAAAATTACAAAAATTAAGGGAGGGGGGGGGTCATATTTTTGAAAACTCAAAAATATTTTCATTTAATACTATTTGAAATAAATTTTAATTTGATTCTCTATATTTTTACTGTAATTTACATAAAAAAAGTACAAGTGTTTCAAATTTCAATTTTTAAGTTAAAAATTACAAAAATTGCAAAGAAGGTAATTTTTTTCAAAAATTAAAAAAATTTTCATTTAAAACTATTGAAATCAATTTTAATTCCATTCGCTATATTTTTTTCTATAATTTACTCAAAAAAATACACATGTGTGCCAAATTTTAGTTTTCAAGGTTAAAAATTACAATAATTAAGGGGGAGGTAATTTTTTTCAAGAATTAAAAAATTTTCTTATAAAACTATATTAAAATATTTAAAAAAAAGTACTTGAAATTTCAAAATTGTTTTTTATACACAGCGTCGACGTTAATTTTAAAAACCAAAGAATCCTTTTTTTCTGAAATTTTTCAAGTTTTTCCTGAAAAATTCAATTAAAATCAATTAAAAAAATTTCTGCTACATTTTTCGCGTAAACATGAGAAAATGCACTTTTAAAATTTATAATTAATTAAAAATAAATAATGTTATATTAGAATTAAAAATTAAAAACACATATAATTTATTTTTAATAAAAAAAAGTGTAGTTTTTAGTTAGACACCTTTTGAGACCCTTAAAAATTTAAATTTACTTTCACTTTTTATTATTCTAATTTTAAGCTTGAAAAAAAAAATAAAACTCTCACGTGGAAATCTGCCGTCAGACAGATTTCCGCTTAAAAAATCCACGCGGTCTTTTTTTATTTGGGAAAACGTCTTCACGAGGAAGTAATACATATGTTGAAACGCTTTATCGGTGATGTAAGCGACAGTTAATTAAATAATGAAATTTTATTGGGATAAGTTGCGAAATTTATTCCAAACAATATTTGGATGCATAATGTTTAAAAGCTTTTTAATATATTTAAGAATTTAGTTTGAAAACTTTTTAATATATTTAAGAATTAATTTAAGAGCTTTTTAATATATTTAAGAAGTTAGTTAAAAAATTTTTTAATAAATTTAAGAATTTGAAATCTATAAACTCTACTAAATCCCTAAATTTTCAAAGAATTGATAAAAGAAAATTTTAATCGTATGTACAAAATTTTTGACGAAGAAATACCGTGAACATAAAAAGAAACTTTAAAATTGTGAACAAAAGATTTAAAACATTTTTTTTTGTATATAAAATATAAATTCGAAATACTGCATTTTTAAAAATTTGTTGGGGTACCTTTTTAATAAAATAAATTTGTTTTTGTGTTAAAGTGATAAAAATTAATCCATCAATGAAATTTGCGGTTTAATCTTGGATAAAGAAAAAAACATTTTTATCTCCAACTGAAATTAGAAGTTTAATCATAAGTCGTTAACACTAAATTAAATTTTGTCAGTTATAGGCAGAAAGAGCTGATCATTTACTCTTCTTGGTGGAACATTTTGACAATTTGATTCAGTAGTCAAATTAATAAAAAAAAGTATTCGTAACAGAAAGTTATTAAAATATTTAAAAAAAAATAAAAATGGCTTACGACGACGTTATTATTTTAATGGGTGAATTTGGTCGCTACCAGCGAAAAATATACTTTTTATTATGTATCCCTGCGATTTTTTGCGCCATTCACAAAATGGCAGGTGTTTTTCTCGAAACTGCTCCCGACTTCAGGTAAATATGAAAATTTTTTATCTTATACAAAAAAAAACAAAATTTGGAATTATATTTAAAAAGTTTTTGTATTTTTGTATATAATATTTTTAAAATTATCTTTAAAATTAATATTTTTAAATATGTTTATTTATTCCTCAATATCAATATTTTCGAAGAAAATTTTGAAAATAAATTTGGAGGGACCAACCAACCATGTAATATTTTTATAAATATTAAAATTTTGAATATCTAAATCCTCTTAAATTTCTTAGGTGTGTTTTACCAGTGGAAAATTTAACGAATGCAGTGTTTAAATTACCGGCAAATTATGCCAATGTACTACTTCCAACAGAAGCAGCAACTAATACCAAAAAAGAAAGATTTGCTCAATGTAGTTATTACAATGTACCAAATTTACCGAATACAACAACTCTAGATGATTATTTTTTAATTGCTGCCAATAGTAGTAAGCCATTGGAGGAGAAGACTTGTAATAATTATATTTATGACAAGAGCAGATATTCAAGTACAGTTGCATCAAAGGTAAAATTTTATAATATGAATTTTGTATACATGAATTTTAAAAACCAAGATTTTTTTAGCTTTCCTCTTTTTTTTTGGTAGTAAAAGGAATTTGCATTAAAAATATATTTCTGGGTTCCTGAGTTCTACAAATACTTTAAATTTCAACTAATGAGAAAATCATTTAGCATAAATCCCTTTATTTTTCGTTTAAAGTTCAGTAGTCGAAAATAGACTTTTGCCGGATGGGACATTTTTAAAAGTGTTTAATAAAAGATATAGAAGATAGAGAGAAAAGTACAGACAATCGATGTGATCATCTTCCTTCTATTAATAATATGGCATGCAATGATTGTTAGTGTAAATATTGTTTAGAATTTGAGTCTTATTATGCTTATCAAACACATGACACTCTTGTATCGATCGTTAACGTCAATAGACGTAAAAATATTTGCTATTTTGTAGAGTCTGGAATAAATGTGTCAAGAGAATTATATTACCACTGCCGATTTATCTCAAGATTCTACATTTATAGAGATTTATATTTAAAACAGTGGCGTGTCAATACTGCGCATGTGTAGATGTTACAGAATACTACTGCGCATGTGTAGAAGTAACCGGACACTACTGCGCATGTGTTGAAGTAACAGGACACTACTGCGCATGTGTTGAAGTAACTGGTCACTACTGCGCATATGTTGATGTAACAGGACACTACTGCGCATGTTTAACTATAATAGGACACTTCTGCGCAAGCGTAACACTGACGTGTCACTACTGCGCACGTGTAGATGCCATAGGACAGTACTGCGCATGCGCAACATTAACAGAAAACTACTGCGCATGTAAAACTGATAATGAAAGATAAGTCGGTCGGTAGGTCGTTCTTTTTACAACTTAATTTAATAGAATGGATCTGCCCAAGTAAAAAAATTCTGCAAATTGTCCACGGACTCCTGGCTCTTCAGAAAGTCCACGAAAAATCTGGTGGTTTAATCCACTGCTGTTGCTAACTTGTCCCCATTCTATCGCCCAAAAAACGTAACTCCTATGGTCCCCACCAGGCGTCCAAAATGACGATTTTTGTCGATAGCGGTCATTAGCATCAGCAGAGAGTTCAAAGATTAAAAAACTTTGTGGAATAACAGTTTTTTAAATTTATGGAACCATCAGACTTTCTGCAGACAAGTGGCCGTTGAAGGTTCGCGGAAAGTTTGCAAATATTTTGTGGGCTTTTTTAATTGAGTTTATCCGAGAGGTGGATGACAACTTACCATCTAGGGAGTTAAATCTCAACATTCCTCGTTGATGATTGGGTCCTGACAGGACCCTATCAAACTGTCTGCTTCTTGGCTCCCCGGAGGCTTCTGTCAAAAATTGTTGGACCTCTTCTATCTGGGGAAAGTAATCCAAGTCGCAAATTTTAAAAGTTGTATTTCGATCCACATCTTATACCTTGACAACCTAAGTAATAGTCTTCTAATGTCAAACTCGCCTCCAATTTTAATTAAAAAGCCTCCCTTTTGTGTAGCTCTTGAGGCTTGTGTGATCAATGTCCGGATCAACTTTGCGACCGACTGATTTAATTAAAATAATATTTTAATAGCCTCGATATCTAAATCAGTAGACTAGATATTCTACTAAACTTTCCGCGAACCTTCAGTAGACCCCTGTCTATCCAGAACATACCCAATGAACACCAAAAAACTATTTCATAACTGTTACAGATATGGAACAGTTTTTTTGGTGTTCACTCGGTGCAAAAAACGATTACTTCTTAATTCTTGAATCCTTCAAAACCACTAGACTCTCTGCGGCCTTTTTGGAGCGACAGGAGTTCGCTAATGTCCGCGAAAATTCAGTCATTAAAATTCCAATGCAAAATAATTCTTTTCAGTGGAACTTGGTATGCGATTCTTCCTGGTGGATATCAACCGGAGATTCAGCCTTCATGATAGGAGTGATGATGGGCTCCATGATTTATGGCTTCATGTCTGACAAATTTGGACGGAAACCAACATTTATCATCTGCTTGCTTATTCAATTAGTATCGGGAGTAATAGTCGGCATAGCTCCAAATTTCCCAACATTTGTTGCATTCAGAGCAATTCTTGGTTCTACAACAAGTGGCGTTTTCATCGTAGCCTACGTAATTGGTAACTCTCATGACTCCTGACCAAAATGAAACATCCACTGACTATTTTTTAACCGACAACAATTTTTTTTTCAGCTCTCGAAATGGTGGGACCAAAGAAAAGAATGTTCGCAGGTGTTGGAGTAAATGTATTTTTCACTGTAGGTTACTTTACAACTGGAATTTTTGCATACTTTATTCGTGATTGGAGAATATTACAAATAGCTCTTGTTTTGCCGAGTGTACTATTCTTGGCATATTATTGGTTCATTCCCGAATCATGTCGATGGCTTTTGACTAAAGGTCGAAAGGAGGAAGCAAAAGCTTTACTGCAAAAGGCCGCTAAGGCTAATGGAAAGGATATTTCCGACGAAACAATGGAAATGCTTTTAGCGCAAAAGGAAACGGAACCAACATCCGAAACGAAGGTGCCTTCTGCTATAGATCTCATGCGATATCCAAATTTGAGACGCAAAACTTTGCTCTTGTGTTGCAATTGGTTGGTAGCAACATTTTCTGTTGTATAAAAACTTTTTGAATTTAGACTCTAATGATTATCTAATGATTCTAATGATTCTAACGATTCTAATGTTTATCACAGGTTGATAAACAGTGGTACTTATTACGGACTTTCATGGGGAGCCGCAAAACTCAGTGATAATGAATTTGCTACTTATTTTATGTCGGCGGGTGTTGAAATACCTGCATATGCTTTTCTCATGCTAACATTAAATAGATGGGGTAGAAAGCCAATATTATGTGGTTCTATGATAACTGCAGGAACATTTTTACTTCTTATGATAGCTGTACCTACAAGTAGGTTCAAAAATTTTGTTTTTAAAGTTTAAAATTTTTAGGCATACTTGTAATGGCATCTAAAAGATGACGTTAGTTACACGCACATCATTTAAAACTGTGAATTATTTTCAGATATGAGCTGGTTGGCCATTACATTTTACATGATTGCCAAATTAGCAATTACGGCATCTTACGGTTGTATCTATATTTTCACAACTGAACAATTCCCAACGGTTGTTCGTAATGTTGGTCTTGGTGTTTGTTCCACATTTGCGAAACTCGGTGGCGTTTTTGCACCACAAATTAATGAACTCGTGAGTATTTTTATTTCTGAATCACAAATGCTGTTAGTTTCTCTACTTAGTCTTATTAATATTAATGATTGATTAACGTAATTGGCTTTGTGGAATATTATGTTGAATAGAGAGAACAGAGAAGTAACGTGATGATCTTCTTGAGACCACAAAATTAATTTTAAAACACAAGAATAGAGCAATTCTCATAAAAAGAAGCAAAAAGTAGCTTTCAAACTAAAAAAAAAGTAGTGATCGAAGAATTAAACTGACAAACATTCCATTCTATATTTTATTTTTCTGACTTTTTCCTAATTTTCATCAAAAATATTTACTTCTTTCTTATCCTGCTAATAAATTGAATTCCTGTAACGAATTTTATTATTCATGAAAGAATTTAAATATTTATAAAAATAATTTAATTCTTGCAAAGAATTTTATAAAATTTTTTTAATAATTGATTTATTTCGACTAATTTTATGCAAATTCTAATTTAAATAATTCAATTCCTAAGAAATTTTTATTATTCAAGAAAAAAATTGAATTCTTACGAAGATTTCTAAAAAATTTTTTTAAATAATTGAATTCCATTTGGAAATTTTGTGAAAATAGTACATATTGAAAATCATTAAATTGAGAAAAGTTTTAAAAATAATTAAATTTTATAAAGAATTCTATTAAAATTTCTGGGAATAATTGATTTTCTGTGTGACATTTTATTAAATTTTTTTCGAAAATAATCGAATTCCTGAAAAGCATTTTATTATTATTGAAAATAATTGAATTCTTGCCAATGAATTCATTAGAATTTTTGAAAATAACTATAAATTTCCAAGGAAAAATTAATTACTTTTAAAAATAACTGAATTCTAGTGATGAATATTGATATTTATGAAAATAATTGAATTTTGCACAGAATTTTATTAAAATGCCTCAAATTAATTGAATTTTCGGGAATAATTTTGTTATTTATCTTTAATAATTGAATTTATTCGAAGAATTATTTATGTAAATAATTTAATTCTTGGAAAGAATTTTATTAAAATCTAAAAGAATAATTGAATTATTTCAAAAAAATTTAATCAAAATTGTATTTTAAATAATTGATTTCTTTTATTAATTTTATTGAAATATTTGAAAATAATTGAATTGATGTAAAAAATTCTAATATGTTTGTAAACAATTGAATTCTAAAGAATTTTAAAAAAATATTTTTATATTATTGCTTTTTTCGAGGAATTGAAATTAAATTTTTAAGAATAATTACATTTTCTTATCTATTTCTGTAAAATTGAATTAAAAATAATTTTATTATTTATGATAATAATTGAAAAGTTGCAAAGAATTTTATTAAAATTTTCAAAAATAATTGGATTCCTGAGAAGAATTTTATTATTTATGAAAAGAATTAAATTTTTACGAAGATTTTTATAAAAAAAATTTTAAACAATCGAATTCTGTTTGGAAATTTTATGAAAATAGTAGATATTGAAAATCAATGAATTGCGAAAAGTTTTTAAAAATAATTAAATTTTACAAAGAATTTTATTAAAATTTTTGAAAATAATTGAATGTCTGTGTGGCATTTTACCTATTAAATTTTTTTTGAAAATAATTGAATTCCTAAAAAGCATTTTATTATTTATGAAAATAATTGAATTTTGCAAAGAATTTTTATTAAAATGCCTCAAAATAATTAAATTTTTGTGAATAATTTTGTTATTTATCGACGTAAATAATTGAATTCCTGTGAAAAATTCTAATATTTTTGTAAGTGATTGAATTCTTCTAAAGAATTTAAAAAAAAACATTTTTTCAAATAATTGATTTTTTCGAGTAATAGAAATTAAATTTTTAAAAATAATTATATTTTTTGAGCAATATTGAATTTTTCATAATTATTTTATAAACATTGCTTTAAATAATTAATTTTTTCGAAATATAATAAACATTATAAAAATCTTAATTGAATTCTTGTGGAAAACTTTATTTGTGAAAATAATTGAATTTTTCGATTAATTAATTTAAAATAGTATTAAAAATAATTGAAATTCTTCGATGAGTTTTATTATTTGTATGAAAATAATTGAATTATTTTAAAAATTTTTATTTAATTGTTTAAAAAGAATTTAATTTCTGTGAAAAATTTTGATATTTTTGAAAATAATTGAATTCTTCATAAGACTTTTATAAACATTATTTTAAATAATTACTTTTTTTAAATATAATAATTGTTATGAAAATTTTATTTTAAATAATGGAATTCTTGTGGAAAACTTTATTTGTGAAAATAATTGAATTCCTGCTTAGAATTTTATCAAACATTTTTTTAAAATTGAATTTCGATCAAAAATGTTATTATTAGTGAAAGTAATTGAATTATTGTGAAGAATTGTATAAAAATTTTGTTAAATAATTGATTTTTTCAAAATTTTTTTGAAAATGCTATTCTAAATTAAATTAAATTCATGTGGGAATTTTATTATTTATGAAAATAATTGAATTTTGGATGAAGTTTATCAATTTTTTTTAAATAATTGTATTCTTTTTTGAAATTTTATGAAAATACTAGATATTGAAAATAATTGAATTTCGAATATTTTTTTGAAAATAATTGACTCGTTTTAAAGAATTTGATTATAATTTTTAAGAATAGTGTTTTGATTTCTTGTATTAGCGAATTTAAATTAATGGAAATTTAAAAAAAAATACAAATAGTATCTTTTAGTGGCTGAAATCTAAAAAAAAGTACTCAAATAGTAGCATAACGTAAAAAAAGTAGTAATTAGTAGGTTTTAGTAAATAAGTGCGAATCCTGAAAATATATTAAAATTTGTTTGCTTTTCTGTTTTAGGGAAAATTCTGGTTCCCCTTTCCACGAGTTCTCTACGGAACACTCGCATTATGTGCCGGATTATTGTCACTCTTTTTGCCTGAAACACTCAATGAAAGATTACCGGACAGTATTGAAGAAGGAGAAAATTTCGGAAGGTATGGAACATACATTCGACTTTAAAAAATTGTTAACAAAAAATTATTAATAATTATTATTATTTTAACATATTAAATCGTAATTTTTGCGCAATAAATCTTTAAAATTACCTTATCTTCTAAATATTTGATGACTCAATTTCTTCTATTTCATCCAAAAAAAATTCCCTCCTGTTTCCAATACACAAAAAATTAGAACTTGTTTAGAAAACTTAATTTCTTACTAATTCCAAAAATGAAAATTGCATTTCACTATATGTACTAGAATACATTTTCTAGATCTGCAGCACCAAAAATTTTCGTTCTTCTTTATTATCTAAAATTTATCAATTCTAACATATAAAATTGAAAATAAATATTTAAAGTTGAAACTTTTTCCCGACGTTTCTTGTTTTTAATCCTTAAAACGTCTTTGTTATGATAATTACACAAAATAACTAATTTTTCTTTTTACAGGAAAATGAAAAATCTCTCGCTACAGTCACTGACGCCGACAAAAACTGGCCACGAGAAAAATATAAACAAAGGAGAAGCATAATTAGAAGGGTAATCTCTTAATTATGCACAAAGTACTTATAGGACATTCCTCAACCTAGAGAGAGAAAGAGAATATTAGTATTGAAAGTGAGAATGTACAATATTTTTATTTTACCAAAAATGTACGTGACAATTTCAATTTTATTTTTAATTTTTTCTATGAAATAAGTAGTAAATTTTTTTAAATCAGTATTCATTATATAATTTTAATTATTTTCGCTCGAGTATCGATTTATACTTTCAAAGAAAGTCATAAAATATATTAAATTATACTGAATTATTTATTGTAAATATTTTAGCAATTATTTTCACTATAATTATTTGTGTAAATATATGAGAGAAATGAAAGTGATACTTGTGCAAGTTTGCAAATAACTTTTGTTGATGAACAACAGTATTCATTTTAGATTATATCCATTTAGTTTAGGCGCTTGTAAGTTTCAAAAAAAAGCATTATTAATTTCCTTTGTTATGTCCCTATACTTTATTAGAAATGTATTATAGTGTTGTAATTTTTAAAATAAGTGAATTTTATAAATTATTTTCTATGTAATGAAAAAAAATAAATATTTACCATTTTTTTGCGATTTAAATATAACTGCAATTTTTTTAATACAAAAAATTGATTCCTAATTTGCCTACGTCCTACGAAAAGAAACTAAACGATTAAAATCGTACGACATCAAAGTTATTCACTTTTTTTCTTATCCTGCAGGATAAGAAATAATAATAACTTCAATTCTAATTTTTATAAAATTCAATTATTTTTCAAACTATTATAGTTAAAATTCTTCAAAGTTCGATTATATTTTAAAATAATTTTTAAAAGTAGTAAAAATAAATTTTTTGAAAATATTAAATTTATTTCAATTAATTTTAACAAAATTTACAATTTATTGAAGAAAAATTCTAAGTAAAATTTTTTAAAAGAATAATTTTTAAATTAAATTATTCCTTACTTGAATAATTTTTGTTCAATAAATATATTTATTTATTTTTCCACAGGAATTAAAATTTTAAATAATTTTAATGTAAAAACTTTTTGAAACTGTTTCTAAAAAATTCTTACCATAACGCATTTGATAGTCAATTATAATCTAAAATTTTAACTGACATTCATTTTTAAATCAATTTTTATTAGAAAGTTCTAAAAGAATTAAATAATTTAAATACAAAAATAAATAATTCATAGAAAAATTTATTATTTTTTTAAAATTGAATAAGAATTTTATAAAAATTTTTGAAAATAATTGATTTCCTTCGCTTCGAAGAATTTTAATAAATCTTTTCAAAATAATGACATTTTTCGTAGAATTAATATAAATTGTATTAAAAATAATTGAAATGTTTCGATGAGTTTTATTATCTATGAAATTCTTGCAACGAATTTTATTAAATTTTTTTTAAATAATTGAATTTTTTTGAAACTCTTTTTATGAAAAATTAAAAGAATAATTAAATTATTTTGAATAATTTAATTAAAATTGTATTTAAAATAATTCTTGCTATGAATTTCATTATTTATGAGAATAATTTAATTCTTACAAACAAATAATATCAAAATTTTAGAAAATAATTAATTTTATTCAAAGAATTTTATTAAATTACTTTAAATAATTAATTCATTTCGAAAAATTTTCTTAAAAATTGTATTTGAAATAATTGCGTTCAAGTAAAAATTTTATTATTCACGATATAAATTAAATTTTTGCGCTAAATTTAAATAAAATTATTTTTTTTTAATTGAATTTTTATGAGAAATTTTATTAAAAATAATTGAAATCAAGTGAAAAATTTTATTTTCTATAAAAATAATTTAATTCTTATAAACAAATGTTATCAAGATTTTAGAAAATAATAAATTTTTTTCGAAGAATTTTCAGAAAATATTATAAATAATTGAATTTCTGTGAAAATTCATAATATTCATAATATTAATTGCATTTTTGTGTTGAATTTTGTTAATTTTTGGTTTAAATAATTGAACTCTTTTGAGGAATTATATATTAAAGTATGAGATATTGCAAAAATTATTCTGAATTTCGGTTAAAAATTTCGTTATTTAAGATAATAATTGAATTCTTGAGAAAAAATTTCCAAAAATTTTCGAAAATAATTGAATTATTTCAAAGAATTTTATAAAAAAAAATGTTTGAATTGATTCTAAGAGGAATTTTTACAAAATTTTTGACAATAATTTTTTTCAAAAAAACTACATTTTTCGAGGAATTTATTTAAAATTGTATTAAAAATAATTGAAATCCAATGAAAATGTTTATTATTTATGAAAATAATTGAATTCTTGCGAAGAATTTTTTTTATACTTTTTTTAAATAATTGAATTTTTTTGAATCTTTTTTTGTGAAAAATTAAAAGAATTTTATCTTGAAATTCTGTTGCAATTAATTTAATTTCTGTAAAAATTTTTTGATTTATTATATGAATTAAATTTTTGCGCTAACTTAAAAAAAAATTTTTTAATTAATTTTTTTTTAAATAATAGAATTCTTTCGTGAAATTTCTTTAAAAAGTACATATATATAGAATTTATTTTTTTAATCAATTTTTTGTTTAAATAATTGAATTTTTTTGATAAATTTTATTAAAGTAGTTGATATAGAAAATATTTGAATTTCAACCAAGAATTTCATTATTTCTGAAAATAATTGAATTCTTGCGAAAAGATTTCTAAAAATTTTTGAAAAATAATAGAATTGTTTCAAAGAATTTTATAAAAAAAATTTTTGAATTGTTTCTAAGAATAATTTTTTGTTCTAAGAAATATTAAAAATTTTGCAAGACTAATTTTTTTATTTTAACTATTAGCGGATTTAAATTAGTGCAAATTTTCAAAAAGGAAAGGTTATCATATCTTTTAGTGTCAGAAATTAAAAAAAAAAAAAAAATAGTGTCCAATTCTAAAAAAAAGTAATAAATAGTCAATTTAATTAGATAAGTGCGAAGTCTGAATTTAGATAAATAATAATAATTATATTATTTATCATTAAGCAAGTTCGAAAAAAATTTAAGGTACGGTTCAGTGATTTCGAAAAATTTCCAGTAAAAAAATTTTCCTTTTAAAAAAATTATTTTTCTAGAAAAACTGCAATTATAATAGTAAAAAAAACATTTTGATTTATTTACATCAGGCAAATATTTTACATTTATTATAAAAAACAATTATATTGTCATGTATAAAAATACCAGTTCTGAGAATCACATATTAATGTCTTTCATGTAAAAAAAATGTCTCTAAATTTGATGAAAACATCATTGATGATTATTTTCATCAACAATAATTGACATCGACTGAGATTCATTTTGTGAACGTGAATCGACTTTTTCATTACACTTCAAAGTTGTCAATGAATTTGCTCTTATACTAGTCAATATAAAGAGTATGGCACTGGCGGCAGTGTAAATATAAAAAGAAGCAATGTAAAATGAATTCCATCGTGAATCCGAGGCTGAAATTATATTACAAGAAATCAGAGTATAATATAAGACTTCTGGAAATTTAAAAACGAAAAGTGTTGCCACAGCCAATACTGTAAAATAAATATTAAATTATTATTAAACATTTTGTGAATAATTTTCGTCTTTCAAACTATATTTGAGCCATTTTGTATATTTCAATTTTCAAGTAAAAAAAATTTTATATTCCGAAAGTGAAAATTCTAAAAAATTCTAAAAAAAAAATTCTAAAAAAAGTAGAATAATTATAAGAAAATAACTTACATAAAAAGGTCACTGCCCTTTTCCTCCAATAAATTTGTTTTAAATTAAAATTAATTGCTTCTTGATTCGAAGAATATCCAGCCATAGAAATACTTTCGCGAATATTTTTTCTTATTCCAAAAAATAATATCAATATAATTATCATTGGTATGATGAAGAATATCAATGTCCATATACCTTGGACATATTTCGGCATTGTTTGATTACACAGCGATTGTTCATTCCCCTCTGAAAAAGATATTTTTTATTTTTTATTCTCTTAACTTTATAATACAAAATATTCTAACAATTTATATGAATATTTTATTTATGAATCTTTAAACAATATTTTATTTATGAATCATTATTATTATTATTATTATTATATTATTATTATTATTATTATTTTATTTATTATGTTGAAATCAACAATATAAATAAAAACTTGAAAAGAAAATTAAAAAGTTAAAAGAAAAGTGTTCAGAAATATTCGAAAATGTTAATTTTTATTTTAAAATAATTTTCGTTTACCTGAAAGACTTTTCACGGATATAACATTAAAATAGGAGAAAGGAATGGCACCAATAAAACTAAATAACAAAATTAGAAGCAATATGACTGGGTTTTGCTTCACGAACAATTTTGAGTGTCCTAAACATCTGGTATACTTGTACCAGTAAATAATTAGAATTAAAAAATGCATTACTATTGCGCTGAGAATTCTGAAAATAAAAGCAAAGATTGTTATTATTTAGTCAAAAATAATTGTAAATTTTCACACTTTTCAAAAATATTTTTAAAAATAAGTTGATAAATATAAGAAAATTTTCTATTTTAAAACAATAAAAGTTACTAAATAACTAAAAGTCTGCTAAAAAGAATTAATCATTTTAAACAAAATTTAAATAAAATCTAAATATTTGTGAAGCAAGAAAATTTAACCCAAATGTTAAAAACTCAATAAAGAGGTACAGTTGCAATTTTTAAGAATAATTAATTATTTTATGAATTATTTATTTTTGTATTTAAATAATTGAATTCTCATGGTTGAATTCAGATAAGAATTGATTTAAAAAAGAATTTTAGTTAAAACATTAACTTCATTTTAACTTTAAGTTTTCTAAAAAAATTAGGTCTTTGAAAAAAGTATCTAATAAAATTTTTTTTTGAAGATATACTTGAATTCCCAAAAATAATTTTTAACAAAATTGAAACAATTAGAAATTTTGTAAAATTTTATTAAATCAAACTGTATATTTTGAAGAATTTTATTTTTTTAATATTTAAAAATTACCTACAAATATAATTTTATTTTAAAAATTTTAAAGAATTTTTTAAATTAAATTCTTTGAAAATTTAAAAAAACAAAATATTTAAATTTATATTTTAAAAAATTATTAATTACATTATTTTTCTTTAAATATTCTTCAAGTTTTTAAGAATTTTATTTAAAAATTTTAAAAGAATAATTTTAGAATTCTAGAAGAATTTCAGTTGCAATTTTTAGAAATAATTAAATTTCAAAAGGTTTTTCTCATTGAAATTAATTAAAATTTTAATTCCTGTGGAAAAATAAAAAAGAATAAGTTTTTAAATTTTTGTTTAACCAAAAGTATTGAAGTTTTGAATAATTTAATTTAGAAATTCCGAAAATAATTTTTAAAAATTGAAACAATTGAAAATTTTGTCCATTCAAATAAATTTTATAGGTATTTTAATGAATTTTATTTGTTTACTTTTAAAAATTATATTGAAATATAATCACATTTTTGAAGAATTCGAATTAAAAGCTTGGAAAATAATTTTTTTATTTTATTTTTTGATCATTGAATTTCTCATAAAAAATTACTTTAAAAATAATTTTTTGGAATATTTAAAATGTTTTCTTATTATAATTAAAAATATCTGTGTATCCTCTCCTTAATATTTAACGGAAAAGAATTTTTTTTTAATTTTTTTTAATTTTTTTTAATTTAATTTTTAATTTTTAATTTTTATGAACGCATTTATATTAGACGAATTATAATTTATCTGATTTATTATTTCTTTGAATTAAAATCGATAAGTTTAAAAAACGAAGAACTTAAAAATAATTTAATTTTAATTATTACGAATTTCTGTTCAACAAAAATCTTTCGGAAAAGAAAATTAATTTGTAGAAATTTTTATTTCTCACAAGTGGTATTTATAGGAATTTTTAGTTTATAAAATTTCCATGTTGTACCATTTTAATATAATTTAAAATTGACACAAGTTTTATATAATCAAATTTATATTCAACAGAATGTCTATTCAAAGAACTTTTTATTTGTTCGAATTTCTATTTCTCCGAATTGATCTTTAAAATTCTTCAAACACCAAATTATCATTTGACCGAAATTCTAAATGTCCAAACAGACAAATGGCAGAAATATTTCGAATTTTGAAATTTACCAATCAAAAATTGCCAAGAAAATTGTGATTGTAAAATTTCAAAAAACAAGCAGAAATATTTCTAACACTTGATGGTTCGGCCATTTGCAAATTCGGTCAAATGCTAATTTGGCATTTTAAGAATTCTTTCAAAGAACAATTCTTGCAATTAAAAATTCGGACAAATGAAGAATTGTTTCAATGAATATCTCAAATATAAATTTAATAAAATAAAAATTCCGCCAAATTTAAGTTATTTTAAATAATAGTGCTGAAATTTATTAATTTATAAAGTCTATAACCTAAAAATTATAAATATAATTTATAAATAAAAAATTCTACATATTTCCCGATTGATTTCTTTTTGATAGAAATTCGTAATAATTAAAATTTAGTTATTTTCAAGTTCTTCAGTTTTTAACTTATCAATTCAAAGAAATAAAATAAAAATAAGTCTATTTCGTATCAAAAATAAATAAATACTGCGGTTATTTAAAATTTTATAAACTTCGGAACTGAATAGATTCAGAAGGTTGCAGTAAGTTAATTTCAACTTTCAGAAAATTTTCGGTGCTGTGTGGGCAGTAAAACGAAAATATAAAAAAATATTTTTCAGAATGACACCTTTCATTTTTTCTATTTATATAATTAAATAGGTCAAAAACAAGCCTTCTTGATTTTTTTCACACTAGTTTTCTTAAAAATTTGACGTACCAGAGCATTTTTATTTGCAGATTCGTAATTATCTTTACTAATCTTTATACTTATTAGAATCTATACCTACTAAATTAATCTATATTAATTAATAATTTATATATTTTTATATTATAAAGAAAATAACTTTTTTTACTTACACTTGTTGCAAGTAAGGAAATGTTTTACATTCAACGTAAGTCTGATGCAGACTATCAATTTTGAATTCTTTTATAAGATCTGAAAATAAACAAACTAATTAGTCATTGGAAGCCAAATTATATAAATAAAAAAAAAATTGGTTAAATTTCAAATTATAATTTTTTCATAAATTGAAATTTGTTTTGAATGTAAATAAAATTTCAAGTTAAAAAAATAATTTTTTTTTCATATATCTTAAAAATCTATTTAAAAGTCTCTTACTTAAAATTAAAACAGTTATATTACAGACAGCAAGGCTAATGAGGTAAGAATTTGTTTTCTGTACATGTCTCTTCCTTCCTATAACGTAAATTGTAATTAAGTTGATGACCAGCCCAACAATTGAAGCCAATATTTGAAGATAAGTTTCAGTCTGTTCCCATATATTGCTTATATCATCTAATGAGTTTGTGCTGCTATTGCTACTATCCAATAGTTCTATATTTCTTAGAGTCATTTTTATTTTTATTTTATCTTCAGCCAAAGATAATTATTAAATTCCTCTGCAATGAAAACAAAATTATTAGTTATATTAAAATCATTATATACAAGTTTTATGCACTGTGATTAAAATTCTTATAAATTATCATTAGTTTTCATGATGAAATAGCAGTTAAATTATGGCAAGGAAACTGAATTTTAATCAATAGTAAAAAGAAAAACTTGATATTTTTTTGTTAAATTTTCGAATTAATGACCGCAAGAAGATGGCACTTGCCATAAAGGGCGATAATTGTCTAGCTTGAATGCTCGAATTTCGCCCTTATGACAAATGCAACTTTTACCAGGTTTTTATTATATTATATTATATTATATTATATTATATTATATTATATTATATTATATTATATTATATTATATTATATTATATTATATTATATTATATTATATTATATTATATTATATTACGAACATTGAAAATATAAAATTTTTAAAATTACAGATTTTTAAATTTTTTCCTTTCTGAGTAAAAATGAGGAGAAATTAATAAAAAAGTGAAAAATAAAAATATTATTAAAAATTACAAAGACAATAAAAATAAGTTCAGTAACACTTACACTACTACTACATGACCTTGAGCTGAGTTGTGTGATGAATAACACAATACATTCTCACTGAAATCAGGCATTGCTATGAGATTTCTAAAATCATGGAAATTTTGTTCTCTATTTCATATTGAAATAAAATTGAGCAGAGATTCCTTATTTTTTTTATATAAAAACACTTATATTTTTATTGTAACATAATCGTATCGGTTGAACATCTGATTAAAATCAGACATATGTACATTTTACACATAAAAAAATAAATATAATTGTGAAAAAATTTCTTAACCGATTTTTAATGATACACAACGCTTCATCACTGACACCAACTGTGGTGGCAGAACTAACGCCACTGACGCCTTTCTATTTCGAGAATCAAGTCGTGATGGTAATATCACTTTACAGTTTGCAAGAAGGAAGGCTAAGGCCATGCTCTTGTTTGTGCAGCACCAGTTTGTCTCTCCTCATACAGAGAACTGCACAAGTTGCAATATATAATATATAAAGCTGCGGGCAAGTGCAAGGATTTATTGAAGGGCAGCAATTTGGTTTGCCTATGTTAAGGAGTTTTTGAGGAAAAGAACAAAATTTTTTGTCTTCAAAATTTTTATTTATTATTTAATACAGAAATTTTATCTATTCTACTTCTTTTTAATAAACCCAACTAGGGTTGCCACAAAAATTTTATTTTATTTTTCCCTATATAAATTAAAAAATTTAACTAATTTCAAAAAATTTGAATTATTAAAATTTTTTAAAAATCTTAATTCTTTAAAATTTTTAATTAAATTAATTGAAAATTGAAATTTTGTAAAATTATAATTTACTATAATTATTATTTACCTATTTATAAAAATTATAAACGCAACTCTTTTAAAATTCAATTAATTTTGAAATATTTAAGTAAAATTATTCGTTGAATAATTTATAAGAAAAACACAAAAATTCAGAATTTTCTCATGAATTCTAGAAATTTAATTTTATTCAGTATTTTTAATAAAATAGCCTGACATTTCTCTGACCTGTGGCAACCCTTCTAACAAAAGAATTCATAAATTTTATTTACCTACCTGTAAACAATGGTGAAACAGGTAACATAAAAGAAAACAAAAAATTACTAGTATTTCTAAGGAAAAGGAAAATGCTTCAAATTTTCAGCTCAATTCACTGAATATTTTATAATACATGTTACTTTCAATAACTTTTTTGTATTTTTATGCCACTGGATACCAAAATTTATATTCTAAATTAAAATTATAAAATTAGTTCTCATTTTATAATATAGTAAAATTAAATATTTAGGATAAACATTAAAAAAAAGCTCGATTATTAACTATAGTTGAGGAGTAAATTTTCAAAAGCTGATAAATCCATTTTTAAAAAAACTGAGATATTAAACATAAATTTAATATTTTAAAGACCTTATACAAATCGACCTGTCACTGTTAAATGTTAGAAAAAAAATTTATTAACAACGAATTTTCAATTTAAAAACTTTTTGACATAACCAGACTTATAATTTTTGTTTTTTATTAGAAAAAATTACCAATATACGTTTAAATCACTTAATTATGATAATGTTTAATTAAAAACAGAACGTCTTAAATATAAAAACATTGTTATAAAAATAAATTAATACAAATTTTTTAATTTAAAATTAACTATAGTGGTTATGTGAGAAAAGTCATTTGTTTCATTTTCTCGAAATAAGAAAATATGGATTTATCAAGTTTTGAAAACTTGCTCCTAAGTTAATTCCTTTATAAGCAATAAATAAATTTCAATATTTTTATTTGGAAAAAAAGGTTTCATTAGGGCAGCTATAGTTCTTGCAATTGCACAAATTATTAAGAATATTGTAAATTTTCTTCTTGTGCACAGCTTCAAAATCTGGACATACTTTTCGACCGTAGTGCATATTCATTTTTCGAACCTTAACCATTGCAAAAAATCGTAATTATTTAAATAATGGGTTAACTGTAAAATAGCAGCAATATAATACTCTGATTTTGCAATGAATGAAATTTATTTTGATTGTTTATTGTTTTTATTATAATTACAATCCTTTTGACCAGAACCGCTAGACACGAATTGTTTATATTGTGAATTCGAACGCAGAGAATTAAAATTATTTAATACTGTTTTTTAAAATATAAGTAAAGCATTTAATAGTGATTTAAAATTAATTTCGTTGTATATGTTTTTTTTAATTTACATATATTTTTATAAGAAATTTTTTTTTCTTTAATTTTTATCTACTGTAAAGACTGTTTAGCGAATCTGCTTTTCACATATTATATTTCTAATAGCAAGACGATGTTAATAAAAAATCAGCAAAAAATATGAAGGTGGATTTTTTGAGAAAATCGACTATATAGTTTTTATAAAAAATCGTCGACATTTTGTTAATAATGAATATTTTTGAAAAATTCTTGCTGATTATAAAAGAGTTCAAAAAACACATTAGAATTTACAAATGAATTCATAAATAAACGTTAAAATAAATTTATATACTATAGTTGTAAAAAATAACCTTAAACCTTCAAAAGCAATTCTATTAATTATATGTATTATACGTATAACATTTTATTCAACATATATTTTAGTCTCGGATTTAGTTAATTTCTTATTTATACTTACCTGATTACATTCTTCACATTTGTTCATTTTATCGCCTGGGTTTATCTTACTTTTTTATATTATTGTTTAACGACAAAACCGAGAAAACCTCCAATTATTTAGGCGCCGGGTAGAAATTAAACAAAGATGTAGATGGGAAAACTACATAAGGCAAAAAATATTAAATTCTAGCAATTCTATAGTAATTTTCACTTTTACGTTGAAACGTTGGAATCTGACATCTGGTGGCGAGTGAGCGTAATTTATATGAGAGAGAGAGAGAGAGAGAGAGAGAGAGAGAGAGAGAGAGAGAGAACTGCCAGTCTCGCGACCCATCTCTGACTAGGGGAAAGTTTTTCTCATTCTAATATCGTTCTTCGGATGTTTCACTGTATTAATCAACAACATCAACAATCAAGATTAGTCAAGTCAAAACAATTAGAATATTCCTTACAATTTTCACTTGTATTTTGCTTTCCCTACATTTAAAAATAAATTAGGTATAACTGCAAAGAAGGTAATTTTTAATCTCCAATCGCAAGGTAAAAAATATTATTTTGTAACAGTGAATACTCATAAATGTGTGAATATTCATAAATTGCTGTGAATTTCGTAAACCATTAAATATTGCGTAAATAAATAAACCATGTTTATTCGATGGATATCAAGATTACGTTTGTTTAATTATTATATATTTAATTTTTTGAGATTAAAATTGCAATTTCTTTCGATCCTAATATAATTTCTTTGTTTCAATGCACTCATCCTTCAGTAAATAAGGGGGGGAGGGGGTAAAAATCAGTCCGAAAAAGCGTGACGTAGTTTGTGAATGACCCCTAAAGTATTGTTTATAATAATTAATGTTGTCCCATTTATATATAAAGTTTTTTTTCGAAATAAAATGAAATAATAAATTCAATTAGAAATTTTAAAGAACTTAGCTTTTTGTAAAATTTTAATAATTCAAATTCTACTTAAATAATATAAGGGTAATTCCACGTGAAATTTTCCTGTGACATTTTAAAATCGGTTAAACGTATTCTTTTCTCGTTCTCTATAGAAAAATATTAAACGCGTATTTTTTTATTCCTGTATAATTGTCCAAATTTTCGAAAGAAAAGAAAATTTTTGTTTATCTTTAACCGTTACTTAATGTAAAAAAAATTATTTTTTAAAATTTATAATTAAAAAAAATTTTTTTTTTATAGGCAAAGCGAATTTTGAAGTGTTTTTTTAAAAAACTATTGGCTCATCTAAGGACTTTTAGGAAAATTTTCTCTATATTATCAGGTAAAAATAAATAAAGAAAAAATTAATCACGCCCAAATTAAAAAAAAATTAATTTGTTTAGAAACAAATTAATTTTAAAATATTATTGAACTGACTCGGAATGATCGTTAAATTCAATGTTTTATTAAATAATTAAAACAACCGTGTGATAAAATCAAATAATTTAAAAAAATTATTGAATTTTTTGAATAATTTAATTTAGAAATTCCGAAAGAATTAAATTAAGATTTTTTGAAAATTATTGAATTTCTGAAAATATTTTTTAAAAAATTGAAACAATTAAAAATTTTGTCAAATTTCATCGAAATAATATGTATATTTTATTTTAAGGAACTTTATTTTCATTTTACTTTTAAAAATTAGTTTGTAATACAATCGTATTTTTGAAAATTTCTAATTGAAAATTTGGAAAATAATTGAATTTTAAGAAAATTTAGAATTGAACTTATTATCAGAATTGTTCCAATGGTACACGAAGGTTCAATATTATTTAATCAAAAATATCTTACATTCAAGTTATAACTAAAAGTATTTTGTCGATTTCTATTTACGATTCGTTCAAAGAATTCTTAATTTTTTTTTTCTAATTTAAAGAAAAACTGTTCGAAAAATGATATTTTTTAATAAAGGGAAGAAATTTTCATTAAATTTTTTAAATTAACAATGGTTAACCATTTTTAAATTTTTATTTTTCTTAAAAATTGGCGGATTTTAAAATCCATGTGTAATTTTGTAAAAATTATGTTTTTTGAATCCACAAAAAATTACCAAATAAAAAAATTGATTTTCATGATTTTTTTAGAATTTTTGAAAATAAAAAGTCTTTGTTTTTATTCTGAAAATACTAAAAAATACTATTATTATTCAATTTTTTATATGAAATTTCATTTGTTTATTTTCCTAACTAATTTCACATAATTTCTATTAAAAAATAACAAATATATATTATTAATAATTTTTTTAGTTCATTTAAAAAATTACCCTTTATTTGTAAAAATTAAAATAAAGTTATTCATAATTACTTCAGTTTATACATCGAACTTAGACTTAAATTCGCTTTCTGCTGAATTTAAAATTTAACATTCTTCTTATTTTATACTTTTTTTAGAGTCAAAAATGGATAATTCGCTTGTTAAAAAAAGCGATAGCTCCACTTTACAAATGCCTTTACTGCAGCCACTAAGCATACCAAGTGTGACACTTCATTTGGAAGCCACTCGATATTTCAGTAACAGGTATATTAATGTTTTGTTTTATTTATTTGAACAAAACTAGAAAAATAACAAATTTTTTTTTAAAATTATACAAAAATTCTTATTCTTTGAAAATGTTGAATAACTATTTTATTTTACATTTTTTTCACCTTAAAAATTTTGAAATTAAAATGAAAAGAAAATCTTGAAATAAGAAGAAATGAGGAGAGATACAGTTGAAATTTTTTTAAATAATTCAATTCTAGAAGGTGTTATCGTGATATTTTTGAAAATTTGAGTTTGTAAAAAAGTAATGTTTGAATTTTTATTTTTAAAAATTACTAAACTTTTGAGTAATTTTGTTTAAATGTTGTGAGCATTTTTTAAAATTGAATTTTCAAAGAATAAAAATTTTTTAAAATTGATAAGTGAATTTTAAGAAATGCTTAAATTAGAATAAATTAAAATATTTAACTTTTTTAGGGTATTAAGAGCAGCATCGAAATAAATCGAATTGAATTAAAAAATATAATTGAATTTTAAAAGAATTTAAACTTTAAAAATTGATAAGTGAATTTTAAGAAAGTTTAAAATTGTAGATATTTAAATTTTTTAGGGTATTAAGAGCACCATCAAAATAATCGAATTGAATTTTAAAATATTATAATTTTAAAATATAAAATTAAAATTTTAGTATTAAAAAAATTTTTTAACCTTTTTTTTCTTTGCAGAATTCTTAGCGTTTCCTTTACAGAAGAGAACGGATGGTGTGTCAAAGAAATTGAGGTAATTATTTTTCAAGGGATCTCCGATAATTAGATTTTCGTTAAAAAAAATATTTATCCCTTCTTTCAATTTTTTGGTTTTTGCTAATTATTTTCAGTTCTTATTTATTCTTTTTAAAAATTTTAAATACAGATACCACTTGAGGCTTTAAATAATTTCAAGAAGCAGGAGGACAATAAGGCACCTTCTAGAATATCTAGAAGTGGAAGAAGACAGGTTATTAATTTTTAAATTCTTTACGTATGAAATTTGGAAAAATGCTTCTAAAATGTCCGTCAATTTGTTTCGATCTAAATAGAAATTAAATTTAAATATTTTTAAATCTAAATTAAATCTAAATTAAATCTAAATTTAAACTAACGTTTAAACTTTACTCTCAGTTTACAATAATTTAATAGTATAACAAAATTACGATTCTCGTCGAGTTTGAAATGAAAAAGTAAATAATTTTAAATTTCAAGCTTTTTATGATAATTTTTACCGACTAGTCGTTTTTATTTTTAGTTTCATTTTCCCCTAATTTATGACAATTTTCAGAAATTTATATTTTGTTTTTTATAGTCCACTTCAACTGATTCAAAATCGGATATCGAAGATGTAAAAGTCAAGAAGAATGAGAAGTTCAAGGATATCAAAGTAATTTTCTTTATTTTTTAAACTCGTAAAATTGATTTAAAAAAAAAATACAGAAATCTGGATGATAATTAATTTTATTTGTCTCTAAGTAAAATTTTCTATTTTTTTACAGGATATCAAGAAACTAATGAAACTGAAGTATTTATTATTCGGAACAACTTCGGATGAGCTTGCTCCTAAATCTTACACAGTAATGCTTAATGGCAAAGAGAAACGTAAGCAATGATTATAATATATTTTAATAATTGTTTCATTACAAATTTTTCAAAAAATTCTATTTTATAAATTGAAAATAATGTTTCCTTTTAATTTTTTAGGCTATCACTGTATCGAATGTTCTTTTAATTATCAAACTGCAGTGAGAGTTGCTGAGCATTTTTATACTGAACATAACCCAGGGACAAATTTTAAATGTCCTTATTGCAGTAACGGATTTAAATTGCGAAACACATTAAAAATTCATCTTATTACTGTGTGCAAAATAATACCTGTCGCTGACAGAGCGAATATCCTGAACACCACAAAGTTTGTTTCTTATCATCTTAATTTTTCCGTTTAATAATTTGCAGGCTTCGTATTCATTTACTAAAACCTACTATTTACTACTTTTTTACGTTATGCTACTTATTTGGGTACTTTTTTTAGATTTCAACCACTAAAAGATACTATTTCTATTTTTTTTAGAATTTACTTTTAAATTCCCTAAATACTAGAAATCAAAAAACTATTCTCAAAAATTATAATCAAATTCTTTAAAACGATTCAATTATTTTCAAAAAATATTCGAAATTCAATTATTTCCAATATCTAGTATTTTCATAAAATTTCGCAAAAGAATTCAATTATTTAAAACAAAAATTGATAAAATTCATCCAAAATTCAATTATTTTCATAAATAATAAAATTTCCACAAGAATTCAATTAATTTAAAATAGCATTTTCAAAAAAATTTCGAAAAAATCAATTATTTAACAAAATTTTTATGCCATTCTTCACAATAATTCAATTACTTTCACTAATAATAACATTTATCATGGAAATTCAGCTTTTTACAAAAAATTTTTGATAAAATTCTAAGCAGGAATTCAATTATTTACATAGATAATAAAACTCATCGAAGAATTTCAATTATTTTTAATACTATTTTAAATCAATTAATTGAAAAATTCAATTATTTTCACAAATAAAGTTTTCCACAAGAATTCCATTATTTAAAACAAAATTTCGAAAAAATTAATTATTTAAAACAATGTTTATAAAAATCTTATGATGAATTAAATTATTTTTGAAAATAACAAAATTTTTCACAGAAATTAAATTCTGAAAAATTTTAATAAAACTTTTCGCAATAATTCAATTATTTTTATAAATAATAAAATTCTTCTCAGGAATTCAATTATTTTTTTGAAAATTTTAATAAAATTCTTTGCAACTACCATTATTTTCATAAATAATAAAATTCATCGCAGGATTTCGATAATTTTTAATACAAATGTCCGAATTTTTTCATTTCTTTTACTTTACACAGACATTCAATTATTCTTAAAAATTTTAATAAATACTTTGCAAAATTTAGTAATTCTTAAAAACTTTTCGCAATTCAATGATTTTCTATATCTACTGTTTTCATAAAATATTTCCAAACAGAATTCAATTATTTAAAAATTTTGTTGCATAAATATCTTCATAAAAATTCAGGTCTTTTCTTAAATAATAAAATTCTTCTAAGGAATTTAATCATTTTTGAAAATTTTAATAAAATTCTTTGCAACTTTTCAGTTATCATAAATAATAAAATTCATCGCGCACGATTTCAATTATTTTTAATTCTATTTTACAGAAATAGATCAATAAATGTAATTATTCTTAACAATTTAATTTGAATTCCTCGAAAAAATCAATTATTTAAAAATTTTGTTTTAAATTCTTTGGAAGAATTCAATTATTTACAAAAATATTAGAATTTTTCACAGGAATTCAATTATTTTCAAATATTTTAATAAAATTGTTAGAAAAAAATCAATTATTTCAAGTAAAATTTTAATTATTATTTTTTTTTAATAATTCAATTATTTTTTTAGATTTTTATCAAATTCTTCCCAAGAATTCAATTATTTATACATAAATAATTCTTTCAAAGAATTCATTTATTAAAAATAAATAACAAAATTATTCCCGAAAATTCAATTATTTTAAGGCATTTTAATAAAATTCTTTGGAAAATCGAATTATTTTTGTAAATAACAATATTCATCACAAGAATTCAATTATTTTTAAAAGTAACAAATTTTTTCTTGAAAATTCAGTTGTTTAAAAAAGTTCTAATAAAATCGTTTGCAAGAATTCAATTATTTTAAGAAATTATAAAATGCTTTTAAGGAATTCAATTATTTAATAAGAAATTTAATAGAATGCCACACAGACATTCAATTATTCTCAAAAATTTTAATAGAATTCTTTGTAAAATTTAATTATTTTTCAAAACTTTTTGCAATTCAATGATTTTCAATATTTACTATTTTCATAAAATTTCCAAACAGAATTCAATTATTTAAAGAAAATTTTGTAAAAATCTTCGTAAGAATTCAATTTTTTTCATGAATAATAAAAATTTCTTAGGGATTGAATTATTTAAATTAGAATTTGCATAAAATTAATCGAAAGCAATCAATTATTTAAAAAATTTTTTTAAATTCTTTGGCAAGAATTAAATTATTTTTATAAACATTTAAATTCTTTCATGAACAATAAAATTTGTTGCAGGAATTGAATTTATTAGCAGGATCAGAGAGAAGTAAATTATTTTGATGAAAATTAGGAAAAAGTCAGGAAAATAAGATATAGAATGGAATTTTTGTCAGTGTTGTGAAGTGTAAAACGAGAGTTTGTTTGGTCGTCAAGTTTAATTTTTCAAAAGCTACTTTTTTACTGCTTTTTAAAATTTTTTTTTAGTTTGAAAGCTACTTTTTGCTACTTTTTTAAAATTAATTATCGAGTGCGAAGTCTGTAATTCGTCAAACATTCTTTACTTATCATTAAAATTAACATTAACATTAACATTAACATTAACATTAACATTAACATTAACATTAACATTTTCCATTAATTTACAGGAAGAATTTTCTACAAACTGATGTGTAAGGAGATTTCCAAAGATGACTTACGTTTCTTCCTCTTTTTTGCAAATTTCGATTTAATTTTTTAATATATTTATAATAATCAGAAGGAATATTTATTTTCTTTGTTAGTTAAATTGAAGATGATCTCGAATTTTTTGTTGTATAACTATTTTTTTTACTATTCTTCAATGTTTTTCATTGTAATTGTCTGGTTAGGTTAAAAGTTTCTTATCAAAAGACATGTAATTTAAGTGTCAGGAATGGATAATAAGATTTTTTTTATCAATATTGATGAGGTGAAGTATATTTACTAGTCGTTGAGTTTAAGAGAGAAAAATTGTGTTTAAAACGCAGAGCGGTAAATCATGATATTTAATGATTTTAGTTTCTGTAAATATCTATTTTGGTTTGATAAAAGTGACTGCAGAAATATGTTATATTTGTAGACGAATGAAAGAAGTTTCCTACAATTACAGAAGTTGTATGTATAAATACAATAAGCATAATGCTATAAAAGTATCTTTAAAAGTGTATCGAAAATGTTATTTATGCAATATAACTTATTTAATATGAATATGAAAATTATTTTTTACATTACTTTTTTTACTACATATGGTGAGTTTAATTCTTTTAGTTTTTAATTTATTTTTCTTTTTTGGTATTTCTTTTATAATTGTATTTACATACAAAATGGGATAAATTTGATATTTTAGATATTGAACCGAATCTTAACAAAAGATTGTTATCACAGAAAAGTTTTCCATAAAAGGAATGGGAATAGAAATGCATCCTTTCTAATTCTTAATTACAATTATTGTTTTAATAAAATTCAGTTTTTGAAAAATAACTAGGAAAAAAATGTTTATAAATTCTATTTGTCAATTATAAATTTTAATTCAAAATGAAATTGAAAATTTTTCTATTTTTAGAGAATAAAGGAAAAAATTCGAAAAATTTTCGAAAATTTTACTCTAAAAAATGTTATGTTACATTTATTTACGAATTTCTTTAATTGTAAAATTATTCGAAAACATCAATTACTTCTTTTTTAAATAAATATTTAATTATTATTATTTTTCCATAGGAACTAAAGATTTTCGAAAATTTCAAATTCAAAACTTCTTGAAATAAAATAACTTATAATAATATTAAAGATGACCGAGTGATAAAGTAATTATTTTATATTATCAATTATTATTTTCTAGAAATTTGAACTAAAATTCTTCTCTAAATCAACAATTTTTAATAATTTGAAAAATAAAAATTTTCAAATATTTTAATTTGAAATCTATTCAAAATTCAATTATTTCTAAAAATTCACGCTTTAATGCTTTTAATATTCAATTATTCTTATTATCAAAAATTTTTACTGAAATTCATTAGAAAATTCTACGAGAAATCCATTATTTAAATACAAAAATAAATAATTTATTGAAAAATTGAAAGTTTCTTTTTCTAATAATGAATTTTATAAACAAATTTCTAAATAATTGAATTATTGTGAATTAATTTAAAAATAATTTTTCAATTCAATTCCTGTGAAATTTTTTATTATTTTCGAAAATAATTGAATTTTTGAGAAGAATTGTATCAAATTTTTTTTTTTTAATAATTGGATTCTTTTGGAAATTTTTATTAAAATAGTAGATAATGAAAATCATTGAATTGATGAAATTTTTTGAAAATAATTGAATTTTAGAGAAGAATTATATTATTTATAAAGATAATTGAATTTTTGAACATAATTGAATATCTGCAAAGAATTTTATTACTTTTGAAAATAATTGAATTTCTGCAATCATTATAATTCTTGACAAAAATGTTATTAAAAATTTTGAAAATAATTAAATTCTTAAGAGGGAATTTATTATTTATAAAAATAATTGAAATCTTGTGAAGTATTAGGTTAAAATATTTAAAAATAATTTACTCTTGTCGATAATTTCTATTAAAATTTTAATGAAAATTATATATAATAATCGTCGTGATTCCAGATTTCCGGATCTCTGTCCACACTTGAAGTTAGTTAAAGTTATTCTTTTATTTTTTATACGTTTTGATAGAAAATAGAAATATACATATACATATACATACATTATAATAATCGTAAGTTTCCTTTCCGTTAGCAAATTATCTGCATTCATTTGTTTGTTTTGAAAATTTAATTTTGTGGGTTAAGTATTGGCATTTTTTATATATTTTTTAATGTCAAACTTTTTAATGTGGAAAATACTTTACTTATTAAATTCTCTCGACTCTTTGGTAAAAAATCTAAAATTATCGAAAATTATCAAAAATTCAAAAATCCGATTTTCTTAAAATTCAACATTTTTTCCTCTCTTTTATGGGATTTAGCTTCATTATTTTTGTGCTTTTAGAAAATACTTTACTTATTAAATTGTCTCGAATCTTTGGTAAAATATCTAAAATTATCAAAAATTCGAAAAAATTCAAAAATCCGATTTTCTTAAAATTCAACATTTTTTCCTCTCTTTTATGGGAATTAGCTTCATTATTTTTGTGCTTTTAGAAAATACTTTACTTATTAAATTGTCTCGACTCTTTGGTAAAAAATCTAAAATTCGAAAAAATTCAAAAATCCAATTTTCTTAAAATTCAACATTTTTTCCTCTCTTTTATGGGATTTAGCTTCATTATTTTTGTGCTTTTAGAAAATACTTTACTTATTTATTAGTCTCGACTCTTTGGTAAAAAATCTAAAATTATCGAAAATTATCAAAAATTCAAAAATCCGAATTTTTTAAAATTCAACATTTTTTGCTCTCTTTTATAGGATTTAGCTTCATTATTTTTGTGCTTTTAGAAAATACTTTACTTATTAAATTGTCTCGACACTTTAGTAAAAAATCTAAAATTATCAAAAATTCGAAAAAATTCAAAAATCCGATTTTCTTAAAATTCAACATTTTTTCTTCTCTTTTATGGGATTTAGCTTCATTATTTTTGTGCTTTTGGAAAATACTTTACTTATTAAATTGTCTCGACTCTTTGGTAAAACATCTAAAATTATCAAAAATTCAAAAAAATTCAAAAATCCGATTTTCTTAAAATTCAACATTTTTTCCTCTCTTTTATGGGAATTAGCTTCATTATTTTTGTGCTTAAAGAAAATAATTTACTTATTAAATTGTCTCGACACTTTAGTAAAAAATCTAAAATTATCAAAAAATCGAAAAAATTCAAAAATCCGATTTTCTTAAAATTCAACATTTTTTCTTCTCTTTTATAGGATTTAGCTTCATTATTTTTGTGCTTTTGGAAAATACTTTACTTATTAAATTGTCTTGACTCTTTGGTAAAAAATGTGAAATTATCGAAAATTATCAAAAATTCAAAAATCCGAATTTCTTAAAATTCAACATTTTTTCCTCTCTTTTATAGAATTTAGCTTCATTATTTTTGTGCTTTTAGAAAATACTTTACTTATTAAATTGTCTCGACACTTTGGTAAAAAATCTAAAATTATCAAAAATTCGAAAAAATTCAAAAATCCGATTTTCTTAAAATTCAACATTTTTTCTTCTCTTTTATGGGATTTAGCTTCATTATTTTTGTGCTTTTGGAAAATACTTTACATATTTAATAGTCTCGACTCTTTGGTAAAAAATGTGAAATTATCGAAAATTATCAAAAATTCAAAAATCCGATTTTCTTAAAATTCAACATTTTTTCTTTTCTTTTATGGGATTTAGCTTCATTATTTTTGTGCTTTTGGAAAATAATTTACTTATTAAATTGTCTCGACTCTTTGGTAAAAAATGTGAAATTATCGAAAATTATCAAAAATTCAAAAATCCGAATTTCTTAAAATTCAACATTTTTGCCTCTTTTTTATAGAATTTAGCTTCATTATTTTTGGGCTTTTGGAAAATACTTTACTTATTTAATAGTCTTGAATCTTTGGTAAAAAATCTAAAATTATCAAAAATTCGAAAAAATTCAAAAATCCAATTTTCTTATAATTCAACATTTTTTTCTCTTTTTTATGGGAATTAGCTTCATTATTTTTGTGCTTTTAGAAAATACTTTACATATTAAATTGTCTCGACACTTTAGTAAAAAATCTAAAATTATCAAAAATTCGAAAAAATTCAAAAATCCGATTTTCTTAAAATTCAACATTTTTTCTTCTCTTTTATGGGATTTAGCTTCATTATTTTTGTGCTTTTGGAAAATAATTTACTTATTAAATTGTCTCGACTCTTTGGTAAAAAATGTGAAATTATCGAAAATTATCAAAAATTAAAAAATCCGAATTTCTTAAAATTCAACATTTTTTCCTTTCTTTTATAGGATTTAGCTTCATTATTTTTGTGCTTTTGGAAAATACTTTACTTATTAAATTGTCTCGACTCTTTGGTAAAACATCTAAAATTATCAAAAATTCGAAAAAATTCAAAAATCCGATTTTCTTAAAATTCAACATTTTTTCCTCTCTTTTATGGAAATTAGCTTCATTATTTTTGTGCTAAAAGAAAATACTTTACTTATTAAATTGTCTCGACACTTTAGTAAAAAATCTAAAATTATCGAAAATTATCAAAAATTCATAAATCCGAATTTTTTAAAATTCAACATTTTTTCCTCTCTTTTATAGAATTTAGCTTCATTATTTTTGTGCTTTTAAAAAATACTTTACTTATTAAATTGTCTCGACACTTTGGTAAAAAATCTAAAATTATCAAAAATTCGAAAAAATTCAAAAATCCGATTTTCTTAAAATTCAACATTTTTTCTTCTTTTTTATGGGATTTAGCTTCATTATTTTTGTGCTTTTGGAAAATACTTTACATATTTAATAGTCTCGACTCTTTGGTAAAAAATGTGAAATTATCGAAAATTATCAAAAATTCAAAAATCCGATTTTCTTAAAATTCAACATTTTTTCTTCTCTTTTATGGGATTTAGCTTCATTATTTTTGTGCTTTTGGAAAATAATTTACTTATTAAATTGTCTCGACTCTTTGGTAAAAAATGTGAAATTATCGAAAATTATCAAAAATTCAAAAATCCGAATTTCTTAAAATTCAACATTTTTGCCTCTTTTTTATAGAATTTAGCTTCATTATTTTTGGGCTTTTGGAAAATACTTTACTTATTTAATAGTCTCGAATCTTTGGTAAAAAATCTAAAATTATCAAAAATTCGAAAAAATTCAAAAATCCAATTTTCTTATAATTCAACATTTTTTTCTCTCTTTTATGGGAATTAGCTTCATTACTTTTGTGCTTTTGGAAAATACTTTACTTATTAAATTGTCTCGACTCTTTGGTAAAACATCTAAAATTATGAAAAATTCGAAAAAATTCAAAAATCCGATTTTCTTAAAATTCAACATTTTTTCTTCTCTTTTATGGGATTTAGCTTCATTATTTTTGTGCTTTTGGAAAATAATTCACTTATTAAATTGTCTCGACTCTTTGGTAAAAAATGTGAAATTATCGAAAATTATCAAAAATTCAAAAATCCGATTTTCTTAAAATTCAACATTTTTTCTTCTCTTTTATGGGATTTAGCTTCATTACTTTTGTGCTTTTGGAAAATACTTTACTTATTAAATTGTCTCGACTCTTTGGTAAAACAACTAAAATTAT